ACAGTTATCTTTCCGTTTCTGGTTGGTTCGCCACTTACCACAAGCAAAGAAAGCATCAATAAATCTAGACATTCAAGCGACAACAGTACACATCACCTTCATCGAAAGGACTCCAAGACCCCTTCTACAGGGTTGCGCCGCAGACCCTGGCATGAGGGAAGGCAGTTCTTCTTTGAAAAAAACACAAAAGGAACTTGACTACCGGCCATTCGGCAGTAGTCACGCAAACAACTACAAAAGTCCATTGGGCAGAAGTCGGGTGCTGGAAACCAACCCAAGCTTTCTCCCATCCTTCTGTTTGATCATCTGTTTGCAGAGCAACCCTGGCTCTCTGCAAGTCGCCAACTGCAGGGTGAACTGGGCCCCAGGGCTGCCAAAGCTCCTCGCCCCCGTCATCGCTCGCCTCTCTTGGAGCCAAGCACACGGTTTACGCGAGCCGAGGTCCCGTTTTGTTTGTTTGTGCGGCCCTGCGGCCCTTTTATGCTGGTGACCAACTCCAGTGTCGAACATTTGCAGGAGCAAATTTGTGCCAGGTTGGTCTTTGACCTTCGCAAACGGTTTGGGAGTGTCTGTTTCTGATTTGGTAATCCGGTCCGAAATGGTTGAATATTTGAGGATGCACCCACACATGTTGCATCTTGCTTGTGTTCACTCGCATGTTCCAGATCTTTTCGCACCACTCTCCTTTTGCCTTTTGCATAATATTTCCGGTCGCTCCCAACATGTTCGAAGCATGGAAAGGGGGCGGAAAGCTGCTTATGGCAAAAGGGGACTGCCTCAAAACAGACTGCCCTTGAGTCTTCATCTAAGTGGAAACCCTCTTTCAGAGGGCAAACCAAAATGAAACCCTTTCTCCGATGCCCAGTGGATTTCTATGGGAACAAAAAGGGCACCTTTTTTTGTTGCTTGAGTTTAAAGGGGAACCCTTACCCAGAAAAAGGAAAACAGGGCACCACAGGGACCCCGCATATTTTGAGACGCACGCGACCCCAACACGTCTGCCGCTTCTCATTCTACGCATGTTCTATGCCGAGCCCCAGGCCACACTCGGCGCGGCGAGATCCTCCTCGCCCGCTAAGGACGACCTAGCGGCGGGGGGAGGGCGGGGGACTTTGCAGTGCCTGACTTCCTGCGTGGATTGGCCAACCAGTCCAAACTTTTTATGTACCAAAACTGGTCCCGAAAAGTGAAAGTCCACGAACTCAGGGAGCGAGCTTCCCAGTGGATCCCCGGGCCCAAAAGTGACCGACCGTTTTCCCTTTAGGTCATGGTACTTCCATTGGTTACACTATCAAACTGGTAAGTAGAGTCACACTCATTGGACCGCGCACGTCACGCCAGAACAGCCTTCACTGTTGAGGGCCCCAAAGCGAGAGTGGGCACCTCGGGACCCAAGCCTCGCTGCAGCAATTCCAAGGATCAAGTAGTCTGGGTGAATTCCAGCAATCTTGCTGGTGCGATAGACAGGGAATGAGGGGAGTGACCCCGATAAGCCATCCATCCCACGGTTTCCTTTCAGAGAATTTTCAGGTCCATTCCATTTCTCATTCCCTGCCTATCGCACCAGCAAGCAATGCACACTTCCACATTCAGTGGCTTTCTTGTCATTCGTGACATCGTTTGCTTGCCGCCACCGCCAGCTAGGCCACGTCTAGGTGTTGCGTGGGCCCCCAGCCCCCCTCTCCCGCGCATGAGCCCCCAGGCAGATCCAGCTGGTCGCCCTCATCGACCCAGCCTGGCGACACGAACAACATGGAAGGCTACCAACTTTTTTCTGTAGTCTATTTTAGTAGGGGAACCCTCAGGCCTCCCAACCCAAAAAGGGGTGAGAAAGGTTGCACCGATCGCTCGGGGACCTAGAACTGAAACACCCCAATCGAGGTCTGGGCTGTCGGCTCTTGGGCCGCGCCTTGCTGCTGCCGTCTTGCGTGCGCCACATGCTGCTGCGCCTGGCATGACTTTTGGCTCGGGAAGCGGAGGACGCTGAGATGGGCTGTCCGTTTTTTCAGATCCGGCTAAACGTTCTGAACCTGCTTCCATTTGCTTAAGCCCCTGGAAAAAAAAGTGTCCAATAGTGATAGCTTCCCTTTACTGCACCACTGGAGGTCTAGAGACAGGAGCCACCCAGTGATGAGGATACCCTGTTTTGTGGCAGATCTGAAAAAGCAACACCCGGTCTGGAGAAACAAGCTTTCAGAATCAGAAAAAAAGCAGAAAAACAAGCAAAACAAGGTCGGATCTGGAAAAAGCAAGGTCTGGAAGAAACCAGGTCCCTGGATCTTCTTGTGGCGCTAAACTGGAGAAACCAAAATCAGGTGAACTTTGCTTCTTGGAGCCCGGTGGAACCCCGCTTGCCTCCTATGGCCTGCGTCGCGCAGGGTTTGGTGGCCTGCGCAAGGGCTCCAATAGGCCGTGTCACCGGAAACCAGCTAGGTCCTCCAGATTTGAGGGGATAGAAAATAAAATAAGTTGGTGCCCGACTTTCTTTTTCAGTAGTCAAGTTTAGCAGGGCAATCCTGGAACCCTCCCAATCAAAAAAGAAAAGGGTGAGAAAGGTTGCACCTAGCTGGGGGACCTAGCCAGGACACCTCTGTCCACCTTGAAGCCCTGCCCGGCGACTCGTTCCTTCGCCAGGCCCGGGCCTGCCGCGCGAGCCTGCGCAGCGCATGCCTGCAGGAGCGGTTCAAACATCCCCAGGTCCGAGGCTCCGAACCACATGGGGGCCAAGTTGCATGCCCAAAGGACCCAGACGCAAAAGGTTCACCTTGTGGGACCTTTACTCAAAATAGACCAAACTAGGAAAACCAAAAGGTTAAAAGGTCGGGTTTGGGCAACTGAGTAGCTCCTCGGGATGTGCATCCAAGAACAAGTCGTAGAATAGAGAACTTCCCCCTCCTTGGCGGCTTCTACAAGAAAACCAGCCAGCTTGACAGGCTCCTGCTTTGATGCACCCTATTAACAAACAGACATGTGTTTTGCAGCAAACCACCAATCGCGTAGAATTTGCATCCTCAGCCTCCCAACCTCTCTATCCATTTCACCCCATCCACGACCCCATGGCGAAGACCCTGTTTCTCCACCCCCTAAACAAGTTCTGTTAACCCCATCAACCAAAAGTCCAACACGGAGGTAACCCCAAAAACCAGGTGGCTTGAACAAAAAAAACGAAGCCGGCCCCGCTCCCCTCCCCCAATTACCCTCCCCCCCATCCACCCGTCACCACCCCCTCCCCGCCTGGAGCTACCCTCCGCGCCCACCAGCAGCAGCAGCAGCGCCCAGAGCTTCATCGCAGCGGGAGCCTGGCTGAAGGTCCGATCGCTCACTGCCCGAAGCTTCCTCGTTGGCTTCGGCGTTCCTTTCGATTTGTGTTAAAACCAGGCAACATGAGAGGTTTCCGATAGAACAAGACATTTGGGAATGGGTCAAACTTACATCAGGTATGGACCGGTTCCCCTATGTTTGACCCACAGGCACAGTGGAATTTGGGTTTGAACCTGGGTTCAAGGGTTTGAACCTGGGTTGAACTTGGGTTCGGCCGAACCTGAGTTCAACACAAAGCACAAGCTGCAAACAAAAAAAATAGTTTTCGAAACATGCGCTCGGTTTTCCAAACCACAGGCCTAGTTCTTGACCCGCGGTTGACCTGGCATCTGCACCCCCAAAACAGGTTGGGGTTGAACAAAGAGGGTCACCCTTTCCACTACTCCGAAGAAGAAAAAAGAAAAACGGCTGATCGTTCCCACTACAAAAGGCTAAGGAACCGGATGGGAGCCACCAAGATATGAGACGATCTCCTTTCCCGTCGCCTCCGATTCTCGGAGGCCGCGGGGCTAGCCCATGGCCATCCCGCGGGCGGCCGGAGGACGCGCCCACGGCCGCCGGCTAACTTCGGGCTGAGCCGACATGGCGTCAGCGGCGTCAGCGGCGCGAGGGTCGAGCCCGACTGACGAACTCAAAAACGTTGAGCATTGGACGAAATTTGATAGATGGGTGTGGCTCAAAATTAACCAGGAGGGGCAAACCGCAGGTTTTGGTCCATGTTTCCACTTACCAGGGCAACCCACTTTGGAATTCCGGTTTTTTGAGCCACAGCCAGATGGGGAAAAGGGCGTCATTTGGTACCCTAGAAAGTAGGGATCCATAGCACCTTCAGTCCATGAGATCAATTCAAATGTCCTCTGAGTGGGCATCCATCCTGAGCGAAGCGTCCAGGATCGGCCAGAAAAGTTGGAAGTTTTCGTGTGCCACTAACTCGGGAAGTGAGGACACCGTGCGCCAAACCTTCTGCAGCTAAAGATCAGCCATGAATGCTTCGTCTGACAATTACTGAAGACAACACACCATACACACGCTAGGAAATGGTGGGAAAACCGGACATGCGTTTCTGAGTGATTTCTCCTGGCTTGTCTCGTCTCGCCTTTCCGGACATGCATCACTGAGAGGAGTTGTGTCAAAAGCCCTCCCGAATACCTCCCCCGCATGCCTGTACCTTTTGACGCTTTGACTATTGAAGGGCCTCTACTATTAGGGGATGATGTAAGCGGAAACATAGGGAGCCCTGTATGATACCAAGTGCGGGTCTGCCACATGACAAACTCCTGGTATCACAGAAGTGGGCACCTTCCGGTCTTAGCTGTCCTGCGTGTGCCGTTCAGTGGCTCACGTTTTTTTGGGGGTTCGGTGGGCTCCGAACAAAAAGGGTCAGCTCAATTAAGGGACTTGTCCTACAGCGAGGCTTCCGAGGGGCCTGTGCCCAACAAACAGGGGAACGGTCAAACCGCCCAGCGGAGCCTAAGCAATTCAATAGTGCTTCTCAAAATTCGTGACCCCTCCCAGTGTCTGGTTTCCACTTGGTTTCCCTTAGCCATCCAAAAAGAAGTGCGAGTAGCAGGCCGAACGGGCGAGGTTGAAACCCACCGAAAAGGGAGCCCGAGGCAATTCCCCGAAGCCTCCCTCAGACTCTGAGACCCGCCCCACGCGCGGATCATGGGCTCCCGGGCAGAAGCTGCTCCTCCCGCGCCGCCCGGCGCCACTCCCCCTGGCAGCTGGCCTTGCGCAGGAGCTTGCGGCCTGGGCGAGGGCTGAAGAAATGGCCATGCCTGGATCTTCCAAATCATGGAAATTTCACGTAAAATCCGGAGACTACCAGTTTTTTGAGGGTCTCAGTGAAAAAACACAGAGTTTTCAAACTCCTGGTTTTTGAGGTAAAACTCCTAGAAATTGATTGTCGCTTCTGGAAATGGTTTGCACACCTGAAACCCCTAGAAATCGCAATTATTCGGTACTTGACGGAAGGAGCTCTCCAATTCAGACATATTCTGAATCAGAATCATTCACCTGAATCAGAATCGTTCACCTGAATCAGAATTAATTCAGAATTATTCTGAATTCGGAATTATTGCCTGTGGGCGACACATTGGCAAAACCAGAAAGCACCACACCTGAAACTCAGCGCAAAACACCCGCAAAAAGCCCGCAAACTCCCGCAAAAACCCGCAAACTCCCGCAAATCAAAAAAATACGGAGTTTCCGGAGTGTGCGTAGTAAAATCAGTGGAATACCCACTCCAGTGCAGAGTTGCATAATTGCTGGGATAGTGTACAGAGTTGCACAATTGCGCGCCCAAACAACGAAAAAAGACAACAAAACTTGAATCCAATTGTTTCCCCCAAGAACCACTCCTAGTTTTTGATGTTCACTCCTGCCTTTTGCAAGCCACTCCTGCTTTTTGATTCCTGCATTTGAAACACCTGAAACTCCTAGTTTTCAGAGGGTCTCCTGGAAATATCCCGGAGAACGGAAAAACAGAGAAATAACCCGGAGACGGAGGACCCAGGTGGGTCAAAATCCAAATCGTACCAGTGAACATCAATCCCCACCAAAATAGGTTCTAAAATGGGTGGTGCACCTATTGGTTTTGACCCACAGCCAAATCGTGTCAAGTGGGAGTTAGGGGGTGGGCGGCTTTTTTTTGGGTAGCCGGTAGCCTTGTTAAGGCTTCATAAGCTTGGTTCAAAGCGATTTCAAAGAGGGGGACCGCAACTTGGCGGTTATTCTAAGTAGGAGTTGGGTGGGCGGTTTTGTTCTGGGTACCCTCCTGGATCTTCCAAATCATGGAAATTTCACGTAAAATCCGGAGACTACCAGTTTTTTGAGGGTCTCAGTGAAAAAACACAGAGTTTTCAAACTCCTGGTTTTTGAGGTAAAACTCCTAGAAATTGATTGTCGCTTCTGGAAATGGTTTGCACACCTGAAACCCCTAGAAATCGCAATTATTCGGTACTTGACGGAAGGAGCTCTCCAATTCAGACATATTCTGAATCAGAATCATTCACCTGAATCAGAATCGTTCACCTGAATCAGAATTAATTCAGAATTATTCTGAATTCGGAATTATTGCCTGTGGGCGACACATTGGCAAAACCAGAAAGCACCACACCTGAAACTCAGCGCAAAACACCCGCAAAAAGCCCGCAAACTCCCGCAAAAACCCGCAAACTCCCGCAAATCAAAAAAATACGGAGTTTCCGGAGTGTGCGTAGTAAAATCAGTGGAATACCCACTCCAGTGCAGAGTTGCATAATTGCTGGGATAGTGTACAGAGTTGCACAACTGCGCGCCCAAACAACGAAAAAAGACAACAAAACTTGAATCCAATTGTTTCCCCCAAGAACCACTCCTAGTTTTTGATGTTCACTCCTGCCTTTTGCAAGCCACTCCTGCTTTTTGATTCCTGCATTTGAAACACCTGAAACTCCTAGTTTTCAGAGGGTCTCCTGGAAATATCCCGGAGAACGGAAAAACAGAGAAATAACCCGGAGACGGAGGACCCAGGCTGGTTAAGGTTGGTTTGAAGAGAATTCAAAAGATGGGGAACCGCGACGCAAATCTGGAAGCCCCCCGAAATGGTTGGTATCTTGGGGTCTCCCATAAACACTTTCCACGCTTCCCACTGGGCATTCTCGCAGCGGGCGGCTTCCTTTGGGGAACCCCAGTGATAACACGCCCTGGGGGCATGTGCGCGCAGCATACTCCGGGCATAGGAAATCCTCATGGGAGTGTATGGAACCTCACAAGGAATGTCCAAGACTATGCTCCTTTAAAAGACACCAGGGGTCACTGGTGGGTTCCATGGCAACGTGGACCAGAAACTAACCACTCACTCTATGATTGCGGCTTCTTCAAGCAAGCCCGGCTGCAGGCACCCCAACTGGCGTGAATTCATGTCCCATAAACATTTTCTGGCCATGTTTGGGGTTGCCGGAACAACGGGTTTGTATCTACATGGGGGGAACCCGCGACTAGTGGTTTCCCTTTAGTTTCCGCTTAACACGACCTCCAAAAGGGTACCCCTAAACAAAAGAGACCCAAGAACACTTGTTTGAAGCAAGGACGCTTGCTTAAGCCTTGCCTTTTTGGAGGTTGCGTGGCTTAGTTGAACCTCAAGACTCAAGAGAGCATGACAAAAGAGAGGACACTGTGTTTGTAGGGATCTGTTGGGAATAAAACGGGCTGGGTAAGGAGCGCTCTTTTATCTTGGCTCTGATTTTGAGAAGGGAAATCCGCAAAACACACACACACAAAAAAATGGAGAAAGGAACACACGCACGCACACACACACACACACCACTGGAGTGCCTCCACTGGAGGCCGTTTTGGGCACCGCTCACTGGGGTCCCCGGGCGCTCATGCGCGTTTCGCCAGGCCTCCAGCGCTGCCCGCCGCGTGCGACAGGCGCACCTGAGCTCGGCTCGAAATCGGCGAGGATGTTCGGTTTTCCCCTGCCTTCCTTGCTGGGACTCCAACTGATCCGAAGGAGGAGTCCTTGTCTTACAGGGAAGCCCCGCAATTCGTGTGTCTTCAATCAAGAGTACGCCGTCAAAATAGAAAGGATCCCCCTCCAACAAAATACGGCTTGCTTTTGGTCGCCCCTTGAACCAACACTAAAAGGGTGGCCCCCAGAAAAGCAAAAACACTAGTTTCAATATATGGCGGACTGCCTTTTGGTTGGTAAGTAGATTTTGAGAAACACCCTAAGGATCATGACTTGACCTGGCTCTAACAATCCCAAGCCCTCATTCTCCGACTTAGCACCTGGCGAATGTTCAGCCACCAGAGAGTAAGATACTACCAGCTTGGTATTCGGAGTGGGGGATAAATGGAGTCTATCAGGGAAGCCCACAACCGCTTGGACTTGGATTTTTCCGTTACCCAGATTTCCAAGCAGCTTCGCGTGCAACCTAGAAACAACGCTTGGGGGATTTTGGAAGCTTAAACCACAATTGGGCGGAACCATCTGGATTTGCCGGCAAAATAAGGGGAGCACCCAGTACCATCTTGCACCCCTGCGTTTTCCCTGCACATCCATGCAAGTCCTGTACAGCAAAGATGCTAAGCGGTTCAAGGGAAACCAATGGGTGTTGGTTTCATTTGAACCTCTGGCTCAAAATAAGGGACCCGGAACAAAACTATACCTTGATTGTGCCGCTTGGGTTGCGCTTTAGAGCCACCCCGAAAGCGAGCACTGAGCCTCAAACCGCAGAGCTACTCTTTGCACGAACAAAACCGCAGAGCTACTCTTTGCACGAACATGCAAATTGAACACACCAATGTCGGTGGACTCAACTGAGTTTCGGGCGACTTGCCTGCGTCCGGCCCTTGTCAAGTGAGCCAAACCCTTCGCTGGGCGCGCGGCTGCCAAAAGCGGTGCTCGGCAGCAATTCTCCTGCACGGCTTGTGAATCCAAAACTCGGGGCCCTGCCGTCAAGCACCAGCCCAACCGGAAACTCAATGTGCTAAACAGGTGGCCCGTCTTTTCGAAGGTTGGACTCCCAAAATGGTGAGTAAACCTTTTGGTTTCCAGGGGCACCCTCCAGAAATGACACCCCAATTTGGCGTTGAACCCAAATTGGACGGAGAGGGCGCCAACCGTTCGACCCCGCAGGCAAGGTTCGAAGGAACCTTAGGTTCTGATCGAGGGCTCTTGGGAAGGCTGCGGGCGGGCTCTCGATCCTTTCAGCTAGCCATTCCGAAAGCGTGCTACTGAGACCCACCAAAAGGCTTCCAGTGGCCCTGTCAACAAAAGCACGCCCTTTGGCTGATTTCAAGGAGAACTGGACCCCCCGCTCAAGAAAAGGACATGCCAAAAACAGATTTGGGGAAGCCGCCACCCAGGGTTCCGGAGCTGTTCCAACCTATAAACATGCACCCTACAAAAGGAAACTCGCTGCAACTATATCTAATTGGTCCAAAATGGTGATGATGCAATCCACCCTGTTGGTTTTTAGAGGGAATCTGTCACTATTGGACATTTTTTTGTTTTTCCAGGGGGCTTAAGCAAATGGAAGATGTTGTTTCCGTTTGGGAGTGTCTTGGTTTGATGGCGCCTCTGTGGAAGGCGAATAAAGCTGGACTGCCAACAGGAGAATTTTGCAATCCTGGAAACAGCCCCGCCTCCGCTCCCGTTGCTGCTCCCGGAGTGCCTCCTCCTGCGCCAAAGGTGCGCCCCACTGAAAACAGACGGAAAGCCACCTGGCACATCTCTTCGGGATCTTATGTCCACCAACACTCTCTTTTAAGACAGCCCATTAAATTAATGAGATTGTCGTTATACGAGAAACTACAAGAGATGAGTGTTCGGCGGGCCTTGACCACCGCCCCGCAAGATATCGCGGCCTTTCGCCCACATCTAAGTTGGATTTCGTGTAAGCGTGGATCTGCATATTCACATCCAAATCCAGAGCAAGGGAATCCACCCATGTCACGGTATCAGAGCAATGCACCACCTGGCCTTGTAAACACAAACTTGGATGCAACATCAGCGCCAACTCAGTTTCTTTGCCGGTAGATCCCAAAATGTTCATCTGAAGCAGCCCCACTTATCCCTTTGCTAAGTTATTCTACGCAATTGGCAGTCCCATTTCAAGGTACCAATCAGTACAGGTTTACAGGAAGCCGCATATTTGCTTGCTCACGATAGGCTTGCGACCGGCTCACGCAAAATGGTCATGCCCGTTGGGCTAAACATGCTCAAGCTGGGGCCCCTTGGTGTCTTTGTCCGACCTGGCCAAAACTTCAACCCCCACCACTCCGCAGGCCGCAGCGGCTCCTTGCTCTGTCTGATGAAATCTACCCATGCGTCTAGCATACAGCACCTCAGTCAGCAATGTCTTGAAGCAGCCCGCGTCAATCTCATGCAAAGTTGCCATCACTTTGTCAAATTGTTGGAAGTGCATGGCGCGTTGCACATGTTGCCTCATTCGCAGGCACACCCAACCTTTGCTATCCAAGGCCCCTGACAAACAGGGTCAGCCAACAGGCTTGCATATTTAGGGTCCCGCAATCAAGGAATCATTGTAGTACATGGCTGAATGGTCGGGTGTTCCCACCTCGTTCTCCGAACCTGCACCCGCTTGGACTTGTTGACCTCGTTTTCCAACGCCTCATGTGCTTTGATCTCGGGCACCAATTTGTCATGACCCTACCTCGTTTTGGGGGTGTTCCTCCCCCACTGCCTAACGGCAGTCGCTCATGGAACAAAGGGCCTTAGGTTGCCACTTTCTCTGATACCAAGCGATTCGCCTTAAAAGTGATTAACATGGGAATGAAAACCCCACTTGGGCGAAAAGGTTAGTTATGTCTCACAAACCCCAAAACATGGGACCCCTACAATGCTGGTTTGCGTTTGGTTGCCCTGCCAAGCCATCTGGAAAGGAGTTCCTATTCTGAGACAAACCCACTTTATGATGCTACGAGTTGTTTGGGGTACACACCTGGAACCACAAACTTTGGCGCATTTAAGGCCACTGGGACCTCAGGAGAAGATAGCGGATGCTTTCATACATGGCGTTTCTGATGCCAGCCTGATGACAGGCAAGGGGATCGCCCAAATCTGAAAAGGGGCTCCTTTGTGGAATGGGGTCCTATGGCATCCATTCGGTAGGTTTGCGGACCCCCCTTTAAGGAAACAATCATTGACAGTGTCCCTTCAAACCTTTTGTTTACACCACCAAAACAAAGGGGTACCTTCAAAAAAGGCGTGCCTAGTTGGGCCCCCTTTGGCATGTGAAGCATCCACATTGGAAGCTGACCGGTTGCGGTCTCTGGGCCATGGACAGCTGCTGCTTCTGAAGCTGAGCTATGGCACTTTGGCCTGGATCGACCCAGGGCACCGGAGGCCAGGGGGGATGGGTTGCACCCGCCTGATCAAAAGCAAGCGGGGGGTTGCGTATCAACTGGGGTCCCACCACCCAAAGGATCAAGAGGTCGGAAAACGACCACGCTATCCCCTGAAGGATGATTCTCAGAGGGGGGTTAGGCCAAAATCCGTAGGCCAACTGGACTCAACCAAGCCATAAGTAGCAAGCCTTTGCGCAATCTGCAGCGCGATGAGCATCTCTCTGCGGTTGCCAATGATAAAACGGCTCCCAGGTCAAAAGCCGTCGAGCTCATGTTAGCCAGCTGAGTGCGCCATAAGGCAGGCACACATCGCCGTGCACCTGTTCAGGCAGAAGCCTGCTAGGGGGCCACACTATGGGCATGACTTCAGCAGGGTACCTCTTGATGAAGTAATTCCGACATCAAGCATAGTTCTCCCTGTCCGACATGTTGGAGCCCAAGCGCAACACGCGCACACTGGCGCGCACACACACAAGCAAACACCGCGGTAACTCGTCACTTGAAAGTGGGCAGCTCGTCACTTGAAAGGCGGGTCTCTTGGCACTTGTCGGCCTAAGCAATGCGGAACATGAAGACATGGGGCTGGGTGGAAACCACACACAGACTTCAACTTGCCAATCCCGGAGCCAGCACCCGCTCAGCCACTAGTTCAAACATGTCTGAACCAAATTTGCTTCAACTAAATGGATTTGGGTTTCCCTTTACTGGGCTGCCCTCAGATCCCCCGCTAAAAAAGTTTAACTTTTAGGTGGGTTAAATGGAAACTACCGCTAAACACTGCAAAGCTAAAAGGCTAAGGGATTGGTTCTTTGAACATTTTGCCCACCCCACCCCCACTTCCGAGCGCGGGACCGAGCTCCAAATTCCTGCGCTTCTGCCGGCCAAGCTGGCAGAACAGCTGCCACGCCTGCAAAGGCTGCTGTGCGATTCGCGAACTCCTCTCTGACTCAAATTGCTGGGTCCACTCAGATTCCTGACTCAATTTTGACCCCGTTCCTTTGGAGGATGGCCGGTTGAGGGCCTGAAAAGGGGTCAAAGTATCTAGCAAATCCGAAGTACTCACAACATATTGGGGCCAACACAATTTGCATGTCAACCGTTCGCCACAGCTTCATCGCAGCATCCTCATTTGACGGTCTTGGCGTGATCATGGTGTGCTTTCTGCAAGCTCACTCACATGGAGATTTTGTCCAGCTTTTTCATCTTTGGCTGCTGCATCTTTTACTGCTTGCCGGCAGCGAACATTGCGACTTCTGGGCTGGGCAAACGCCAGTGCTGAAGCCCTTGAAGGCTTGCATCCGTGCGCTGCTGAGAGACCACGTCAGACACGTCGCTGCGGAGCTTCCGAATGCGGCACTGCGATGACAAAATGTCATGCTCTACCTTCAAAGCTGCCAACTGTACCTGTAAGCCATAGGCCCGGCTTTCCTGTTGAGAACGAAGCGCATACGACAGCCTATTGCTTACTCGCTTGATTTCCCTCGCTCTTTGGCAACCATCTTCATCCAGCTTCCTGTATCGCGCCTGATTGCCCTTGTTGATTTCGCTGCGGAAGCGCAGCAAGGAATGGCTGGAGGTTGTCAGCACCTGCTCAGCAGCGTGACGCTTTAGCAGCAAGCCAGCAGCAAGAAGGCGTGCCAACACCACTTGACTTGCATCAAGAGCGGAAATAACGAGAACGTAGTGAGCACCTGAGATGCAGCGAACTTTGTAATCGCTGCATTGTGGAACCTCTGCCCTCAAGAACGAACAAATTGCGTCCAAGACGGGAGAATCTCGCTGTACCACATTCAGCATTACCCCTGTGTAAGTCGCCGGAATTTGGATGCACCCCTCAGCATCAAAAAATCCGGCTAGGTATGACCATGACATGCTAAAGCACTGACCTCGTGCGGGCTTCAACTGCTTGAGGCGTTTAAGCGTTTCAGAGCATTCCCGCTGCTGCAACGAGCAGCGAGGCCATGTGGCTCCAGCGATAACTAACTGATCATGCTTTACGTGACTGAAGGCCTTCAATCTGTGAGCTGCAAAGCGAGCTTTGGTCCCAGAAACACACCAACTCAGCATTGGTTGCTGCGTACCTGAACCTTCACGATTCAAATAAATCGCGCCACCAAAGCATCGAACAAAAAGCAGCAGCACTGCAGCCGCAGAAACTCTTTGCCCCACCATCAAGTTGCAGCCAGATAAGTCAGAGCGTGGTGAGACGCATCCATCGCCATCAAAAAAGCCAGCCAAATACTCAACCCTCGCATCCAGCAACTCTGTCGACGGCTCCTCCTGCCACCGAAGAGGCAACGCATACCGCACGCTCTCCACCTCAAAGTGAGTGATGGGCGGCCGCTTCAATGCCCGGAGATGCGTTTCCAAGCGCTTGCCTAAAAGAGCCAATTTGGTTAAGTACTCCTGGTGTGGAAGTCCAAGGTCTGCATTCCATGTAGCCACGCTGCTTGGAAGTCGTAAAAGCAAGGAGGACGCCCGGCGCACCGTTGTGCTTACGCGGAGAGGTACTGACCCAAGCGGCGATACGCAGCGATGGAACCACATGGAATCACATGATGGGGCGGTTGGACATCTTGGCAGTAATTGCCAGAGTTCTTGGGCCCAAACTACCATATAAACTCAAATTGATCTCGTGGCGGGTCAGCGAATTGCCCAACCTCGCTAGATCAAGTCTAATTCGATGTTTGCATTGCTACCTAATGTTGTTCTTTGGAATAGCATCGATGCTACCCTGCTCACTACATGCAGACGGCTTGTATCTACAACACAGGCTCGACAAGGTGGTTAGCTGCGGTTCTAGACGGCCACTGGAAATAAGTCGAGTTGCCCTCGAACGCCACCTCCTTAAACAATGGAGCCGCGCAGGGAGTCGATGCAGCACGGCAACAAAGGCAACAATCACAATGGCCCTGAACCGGAAGAGAGCTCTCATTCAGCCAAACATCAAACATCCAGCCACTCCACCACCATATGTCCCACCAAAGCATTGCACCACATCAGCTTGAAAACTTTCAACACATGTATGTTGTTTTTGGTCAGAAGAGAAATATCTTCAGACAACAGGCCCTGATCTGCCTCTCACACGCCCGCAAACAAGGAAAAGCGCAATAACATTTATGATCAAATCGTGGACCAACAACAAATGTTCAATTGCCGCTCCTACAATGATCATGCTCCGTTCAACAAAAAGCAAACAAAAAACAAAAACAAAAAGAAGCGCCCTCTCCAATCCAAAATCCCCAAACCTCCAGTGGCCATGCGAAACGAAAAGGCACCTTATGCACTTATGCGGTTGAATATCAGTAGTTGGTTCTACAGGGGGAACTCCTTCCAAAAGGACCAACTACAGAGTAACTCCTTCCATCTCCTTCCAACACAGGGACCAAAGAGGCCATCCATCTCCTTCCACTTATGTGTTTTCTATTTGACTCTGAAGGGGAACTCCTTCCAACAAAAGGGGAACAACACAACAAAAGGGTCCCAGCAAAACGACAAAAGGCCCCTTTGTTGCCTTTTTTTCCCCACGAAACGACCACAGGGTGCTGGGAGGTCCGGGACTCGGCCCGCTCCATTCGCGCGGAGCCGCCTGCAGCGCCCCCTCCGCTCGCCGCAGCCGCAGGGCCAGACCTCGCGCGGCGAGGCGCTGCCCGCGCCAACGGCTGGCCTCCGGACGCGCCGGGCGCGTTTTGTTGCCAGCCAGCGGTTTACCTCCGCTGGCGTGCCAAAACGCTGTTTTTTTGTGGGACCTGCCGTTGTTTTTGTTCCTCTTGCACATCTCGTTGTTCTGTCCTCGTCCGATGCCCCCCACCTGGTTTTGGTTGCACCGCCATGTTTGACCTCTTGGTTTCAAAGAAAAATAAACAAGATACGCCCTTGACCTGATTTAACCTCCGCTTCTCCTACTGTTTTACCTCTGGCACATCTTGTTGTTTTGTCAATTTGGGCCGCAAGCTATGGTTTCTGGTCCAAAGACCAAAAAGACAAGATACGGCTTTGACCTGTTGGACGGTTGCTGTTTCCCACCGGCAACTGGCAAGCAGTTGAAACTGTAGACCAACCCAGAAAGGAACACCAAAGAAGCGTCACGTGGCAATTCGGGGCCCGGTTTCCCATGATTCAGCAATCGTTCATGGCTGATCAACCCACCAGGCAGGTTTACCCATGGCCGGATACATCTGCATGAATTATACCTTACTGGGAATTTCTTAATTCAGTCGACCCACCTCAGCTTGTACCCCTCCCCCCTCATTCTGGACCATGACTAACGAACCTAAAAATGCGCAAAACTTCCGAAGAACAACATCTTTCTAGGCCCTTCATTAATGCGAGATGAGCCACTGGAGGTGAGCCTCATCACCTAGGTCCTCCAGATTTGCGAGCTTACAATAAGTCGGCACCCGACTTTTTATTCCTGTAGTCTATTTTAGTACAGAGGGGTTCCCTCCCAACCCAAAAAAAGAAACGGTGAGAGGTGGGGCACCGATCGCTGGGGGGCCGAGTCCTCGGCACCCTCCATGCGCGCGGCCCCCCCTTTCGCTCCGCCTGTCGCAGGCGCCGCCAGCCCAGCCAGCTGCCTTTCAGCAGCTCCCTGAGCGACGGCCGGAGGGCGGTTGGTGTCAAGAGGAGAAACAGGCGTTGGAACATCTTGGTTGACCCCTTTTGAGGTTGGAAATCGATGGGTATCCATGGCAGTTTTAGGTTGGAAATGGATGAGGATATCCCTGGCAGATGAAGATAAAACACCAGGTCAACCAGGAATCGAAAAACCCATCTATGTTTCGACCGAAACAACCAAAAAAAAGACACCTATGGGTTGGGAAGGGCCATCAGGGCCCCTTTGAATGGGCACACAGGAAAACAACAACCCGGAAACAAACACCCACTTCTCCCAGGAGCTCCACGGGTGAGTGACTTATACCAGTGAGCTCTGCTATAATCTGTGAAGAGGGGCCAGGTGGGGGCTGGGATTCGGTGAAGAGTTTTACGCTTTTGGAGATTTCCTCTAAACTCTAAAAGTCCGATGGCTGGCAAACACCACGAGGTCACCCAAGCACCAAGCGAGGCAACCCCCCCAATGCCCGATTCTTCACTGAAATGGGGGGGAACGAGTCCTGAGAGGTGAATCATCGCAGAATATGTTTTCCCAACCCCTCATTCTTCCAACCCCAAGCAGGAGCATGTCCAAACTTACCTCTGAGCGTTTCAAAAAAAAAAAGAAACGCGTCCCTGCGAGTAAGATCCAACCTCATTCCCCCTCTGACTCCGCTGGTGCTCGGCCGTGGCCCTCTTGAGCCTCTTGCTGCCAACTGCCCACCATCGATCTGGGGAATTCGCGCGCGAGCCGTTCACACGGGGCCCCTGAAATCGGGAGTGCTCCAACCCGAGGTCGCAAGATTCTTTGCCCAGATCGATCCCAAGATTTCGTGTACAACAAGTCGTGGAGGAAACCCCATCTGGCTGTTCCCCCCGCAAGTGGGTCCTCAAGCAGATTCCTCCACGAATCCGAGTGCTTTTTGTCTTTTGATCTCTGGCTCAAAGTCAAACTTTTGGTGGAACATGTCACAAACCCCTGTATAAGCTATGAACAAGTCTAAGGGCATGGCTGGAAACCACCAACAGGCGCTGTGTCGGATGCCTCCGACAAATCGCGCCTCTCCGTGCGGGCGGTACTGCGTCCTGAGCGTCCGACGGGCTCGGAAGTGGATGGAATCGGATGGTTCGACTTTTTTTGAGGGTACCTTTTTGTTGGTTTTAAAGGGGAACCAACAGGAAACCCACATTTTGGGGGGGTCCCCTCACACAGATTCTTAAGCAACTGGAAGCTGTGTCAGTTGGGCGCGTTGCTTTTTGCTGAAGCCGGACCTTGTCAGCTCGGTTTGAAGGGAAACCAGGGGCGCGGGTGGGGGGCGGAGGCCCCCGAAGCACAAGCCAGAGTTCGCAGCTTGGCTCTGACAGATACCTCGCTGATTCACTTGGCGCTTGAGCGCCCGACATCCTTCGACAATGGCAGCCCGTGTCCAATTGTGTGAACAAACAGACAGACAGACAGACAAACAGACAAACAATCAAACGAGCGAGCAAGCAAGCAAGCAAGCAAGCAAGCAAGCTAGCTAGCTAACACACACACACACAACAAGACAAGTCAACATACGCGATGCGGTCGATCCCTTTGAGCTATCTTCGAACCGGTTTGACTTGCAACATGTCCCATAGATCCCCAGAAAAAATCCGCTCTGCATCTCACCCTGGGAGAATCGTGTGCACCTCCCTACGCATGATTTCCCTAGCCACATTCCTGGAACCATGGAAGAGATGTCCAATCATTGGGAAGTAGCTTTTGCCTGTTACAATACTAAGGCGGCGGGAGGGGGGACAACAAAACCTCCACTGAGTATACACCTGGTGAACGGGTACATTGTGTCCAGCAACCAGGTTTTAGCGTGTTTCCGTTCCGAAATTCATAGCCATCGGAGCTCATAGCCACCGCCAATCGGACTTCCTAATGGATCCCAGATCCCAAATAAGCCCATCATATAGTAGATAACCCTTCGCTATGTTCCTTTTAAGGTTTTAGGGAGGCAAGCCCTTGGTTACCTACCTACAGGTACATGGATCCACTGGGACTGATGACCCTGAGTGGACGGCCCAAACAAGTACACAAAACTTCTTCCTTACCACTCAAACTTGATCCTAGGTCCTCCAGTAGAGGGGTTAGAATACGGCTACCAACTGTTGTCTGTAGTCTATTTTAGTAGGGGGTTTCCCTCCCAACCAAAAAAGAGAACGATAAAAGTTGGCACCTGGCTGGGGGACCTAGTCTGATCCAATCCCAACACGTGGGCCGCTCCGGAAGCCCTGGGGCGCCCGGCGCAAACACCCCTGGCCAGCTGCTTGCAGCCGTGCCTTGCCAGGCTGCCACGGTCAAAACACCCCGCTCGCAGCAGCTCGCAACCCCGCAGACGCTTGGGTCTAACCACTTTTTTGCTCTAATGGCACACCACCACTAATCCAACTAACAAGCTAAAGAACCTAAGGAACCGGATGGCTGGGAAACTACCAAGAATTATCAGCCCTGCCATGAACAACTGAGTCATAATCAAAACCCGGTATCAAGATGATCTACCCAGAACCACGTAAAGAATGAAGAAGGCGGCCGCAACTATTTATGGCAAGGGGATTGTCCCTTCACAACGTTCATCTACACGGGATTTGATTGTGGCTCATATGGCTATACATGTGTATACATATATATATATATATATTTAACTTTGGTTGTGCAGGTGTATACTTGTAACTTATGAGCGTTACTCTAAGCTGTATAAAACAGGAAAGTCGAACCACCCAAGAACATTCTACCAGCTGGTTGTTCTAGCTTGTACTGTAGGCCTTACTTTAAGGCTATCACGTTTGCCAAACCAGGTAGGAGAACCCCGCCTACTAAAATTGGCCAATGGAGATGCTCGGCGCTTCTCATGTGGGGCATGGCATCTCATGGAAGTCCTCATGGCTTCTCTACGGAGTTGACCATCCCCACGACATGTGAGCAACAGAGGAAACGGTTCTTGGAGTAAAAGGCAACCACCCTTGGTGCCAGGTCATGAAGTAAAAGGTCCTTTTGACCTTGGCACATCGAAAACCTGGAAAAACCAGTAGGAAACCGAACAAAGATTCTGAAACCCTTGTGGAGGAGGACCCTACGTACTGTCTCTCCTCAATGGGCGTGTGCGTTTGGCGTTCAAGGACGCCCATGCCAGAACTGCCCTTTGGCTTCCTTACACCTGGCGACTGCAGCTTGCAGCGCTGCTTTCTCGCATTGAAAACAACTCCTTTGCTACCATACGGGGCGCCAAGCCCGAATTTGCCAAAACCATGAAGCCGTTTGAAGCGCCTTTTGCAAAAATAGTCCAACCAAAGGCAACACTGTGCCAAGCTAGTCATGAAATTTCATGTGGAAACCCAAAACGTCTTCGCCCCTGATATGTTTCCATGCAGTACGACTCTGCGAATCTTAGCAAGCACTTGGATTTGTGGTTTTGGGCTGTTAGCGGTCCTTGCGCGTGTGAAGGCCCTGTGGTGAGTAAGTTGTCTTGGGCTCCTTAGCTTTGGGTTGAGAAACAAGGATGCCATCAGTGCTCTTGGCGCGCAGTGCCCTCCCCTTCGCTTAAACTGCAAGTTGAGGGGTAAGGGGCCGTTTTCGGTTTGTTGTTTTGAACATGACAATTGAGACCCTAAACGTGTAGGAACCCTCTTCAAGGAGTTCCTTTGCTTCAAAGGGGGATCAGAGATAAAGCTGGGCTGGGGAAAGGTAACATGCATAAAAGGCTTCCAGGGTTTGGTTTCCTTGAACAAATAGCCGCCTGCTCCTAAAGGGATACCATGAAAACAAGGTTCCCGATGTGTCTGGCATTCCGCTGGAACAGCTCGCCGACTGGGAAAAACACAAGCAATAGTACAACACACCAAATGATAGCATGACAAGCCCGCAAAAGCCCAACTAAGCCCAAAAACGCCAAACAAAACGCCAAGAACCAGCGAGCACTCCAGCACATGAACATAACATCCCCGTCTCCAGCGCCTTGTTGGCCTCGCAGCTCTGCAGCTGCTTTTGCCTCGTTCCGGCCGACTGCATCCGGAATGAACGGTCTGAGTTTTGGGTGAGCCTTTGTAAGCTGTGCAGGTGGATAGTGAGCGGCTTTGAGGTGGTCATGCGGAAAGTGTCAACTTGGGTAACCCTCCCAAACAAAGAAGCGCGGTCGGAGTCATTTCGGCCATATAAGAGCCGGCAAACCAAAAGGACGCTTCCGAGCTTCTCTTAACTGCCTTGCAGAAGTCCTGGTGGCTCCTTCGCTCCCCTTTTAAACCCAGACGCTCCAATTCGATGGATTTTGGGCCTTGAACGGCCAGGTTTTGAGACCCCAACACCCCTCTGAGGTGTGCAGAGGGTTTCATTGGAAGCCGAAGCCAGGAGCGTCTGGGAAGCCAAAGCTTCATACCGGCTCCCGGCTCCGAGTCCCTCCCTTCCAACCAGCGACTGCGATGCCACAAGGCCCCTCAGCTCCAATGAGCGCAGGCTCGTCTTTGTGATGCTGCCCCCCTTTGTTGGTCTGGGGTTTTCCAACGGAAATCCGCATCTTGCGACCCGGGCCCCTAAGAGACCCGCCCATTTTGGTTTTGGAACTGCCCTGCCCTGGGAAATTGAAGCTCAGCCGACCAGGTAGCTACGTGCGCGCGTGCGTCATGTCTGCCTGCCTGCCTGCCTATGGCCATCTGTTTGAGTACCTTCTGAGATTCTGACCGCGAAGGCAATCGAAGGTAAGCTGGGGAAATAGATGGATATCCCTGGTAGATGAGCAAAAACCACCAGGTAAACCAGGAATCGCCCTCTATTTTTAGGCCAAAACAACCAAAAAGGACAGCTATGTAAGCTAACCTAAGCAACACTTGCGCCCGAGATCGCCGGAGGTAGGCCCGAGCTAGGGTGGGCTGCGGTCTGTCACCCTACCAGCCAGCCAGCCAGTCACACAAGCTAGCAAACAATCTAGAAGACAAGCTGGCACGCAAGAAAGGAAAGAAACCGCAAGCAAACCGCCAGTCGCGCAAGTGCGCGGGCACCCAAACAACACCAGGCAGACATACATCATACCCTTTGAAAAGGACGCCGCAAAGTCCTTGGCTCTAGGGCCAAGAGCCGTCTCAAGGCACACATTGACCCCACTCGGTTGACGTTGGAAGAGCAACAACTTGAAATAAATGCTTAGCAGTTCAGTGGATTGCGAGTTCAACCACTGAACCACAAAATGCAAACATGCATAACATGTTTCCCAACAACAACAAAATGTACAGCCCTCACCGCCTCCTCCTCAAAGGGTACCGCTTGCCACCCCGGGATGCTGGGGGCTCGGCAGGTGGTCAGCCACGCCCAGCATCTCTTGCAAGGACATCTCCGTGTCCTACCCCGATGCAGCGAATTCGATGCGAAACTGTTTTTTGTGTTTCTTGTTCTTTTTTCTCCAAGTGGCTATGGGTCAAATTCCAACACCAAATACCAACAAATACCAACAAACCTCATGGTTTTTCAAGTTCGCTTCTATAGGAGTGTCATCCATGGTGTCCACCAAAATTTGTCATTTCGTGCTGTGCAACTTCCCCAGTGGCTATGGGTCAAAACCCAAAAATCGGTTGGCCCCCAGTGAACATCCGATTCAATCCAACCACTAAAATGGGTGGGGGTCAAGAAATAGGTACCCAAAATGGCACCTTGGTAAATGGAACCAAAGACTAAAACCTGCGTAACACTGGCTCTTTAGTTTTGAGCCACACCCAAATAGGTTCGGAAATGGGCGGTGCACCTACCCAAAAATGGTACCATTGGTGTTGACCCACGGCCAAGCGGATGTTGGGCTGTCCGTTTAACAGTGACGGACCACTTTTGGTGGGTGAAATTCGGATACCCGACCACTAAACCAACTAAAATACTGGAAAGTTGAGGGAATGGTTGGGAACCACCGAGGATGCCTTTCGTTAAGGGCACCTTTGGTGAACATCATTTACACGGGGATTTACGTCCACCAACCTTGTTGAAGGGTGGGCGCTCCTCAATAGAATCCGTAGACAAGTTCTTCAACCAATCCTGGGTCACCCTAAGTGAGCGTGGCAAGGGTAGAGTCGCAAACAGCCTGAAGGGACATTGCCAGCATACATGCACTGAAGTCATCTTTCAGTTTGTGAGAAGTGCTGCATGAAGCATGGAGTGTGTTGCAAGGAGGGTCAAGTAGCACTTGAACTCAAAGCCAATGTGAGTCATAATCAAAACCCGGTATTAGAATGGTCGACCCAGAACCATGCTTCAAGAATTAACAGGGATCCTTACAACACCTGAACATTGCCTTGTAAATGGTTGTGTCCGTTTATTTTGGTGGAAGAAGCCATGTTTCAAATGGTTGCAACATGTATCTTTTAAGGAGCCATGTTCATCAATCCACGGGTTTTGAGGACGTGGCCGTTGTCAACCAAGTTTTTCTGAAAAGGACGCCGACTGCCCTCTCGACTTGCCAGCTTCCGTATGTTGCACTGGTCCTTTTGACGTCCCATATCCGGGGATCGCACTGGGGCACAACCTGAAAGTGATTGACTAGGTCCTCCAGTAGAGAGGTTAGAACCCCTAAATCGTCATTTGACAATTGTGTTTGGAAAGCTCGACGGTGTGTCCTTCAGCAAGCGTCCTGCGGCCGGCTGAGACGGGACACTGTGACGTCTCGCACAGCAATGTTGAGTTGTTCCTTCCCCAGGGCCTAAGGTCCCACTCTTGACTCCCAACCCGCAAACACCCTGCTAGGGAACCAAAAGACCCTCTGGCTTTCTTTCAAGCAACTCATATCGTCATGTTACCCAAACGAATCCTTAACCCAAGAATAGATCCAGATATTGGATTACTTTTCACCGACAGCGCGCCTATGTTCCTCTGCTAGGTTCCCTGATCCCGCTGATTTCCCCCTTCGGCCTTCCCCCCAGTCGCAACAAAGCGGCAGTTGCGCCAAATCAGGGTCTATGTGGAGACTTGGAGTTCCATCGAAATGGACCCCTAGAATATAAATGCGAGGCAGCGAGTGCGTGATACTGTGGATGGCAACAATTCCTGCATCACCGTTTAGAAACCATGGTTTCTGATTCGATTTCCCTGTCAATACCCACCAACGTTATGGTTTCAAAGTGGTGCGAAATGGATTTTGTCCATCCACAGTAGCTCGCAATCATCATGTTGGGCTGTGCCAAAAGGGATTCGGCCATTCCTCATTAGCCCGAGAAACTACAAAATGCCCTGCGGAGTCCGAAAAGAAGTCTTGAGCACTGCGTTTGAACAAAGAAACTGTCCCCATATGCATCCACAGTGGACTCGAGAGAATTTGAGGACAAATGCCTACTGAACGGCACTCTGAAGCTCAAGACGGCGACCACGCGATTGCCTTCATTCGCTGGGAAGCCTCCTGAACCAGCAAGCAATATAGGCCAGTGCATATAATACTCGAGGACCGCCCTCTCTGGAATGTAACGCCGAAAAATAGCCAGCAAATGCACCATGATCGACTACTGCAGCTCTTGCCCCCGATGTACATGTCATATTCTGCTCCCACTGGTGTGAGTATCATTGAAAAAGATGTTCGAAGGTTCCAGAACGGGTCGACCCTTCCAAGGTTCGCCACGGCATGTAAGTCTACGCTAGGTCACGGTACCTCGCAAAAACAAAATGCTGAGCCATGCTGCCCGCATGGAAGGCGCGTCCTTTCTTCTGCCGAAGCCTTCATTGGAACAAATCTGCAACTCATTCCAGGAGGATGCCTGGACGTGTAAGGGGGCCAAACCATGTTTTATTGGGTATAGTCTCCAAAGCACCACACTGCTCCTGATGCAGTGGGCCTTCCGGCCACCAAATCAACCAGATCTGGGCTTCCCTGAACGTGCTTTTCTGTTACTCTTAGTCAGCCTCACATCGCTTGCCAGAACTCGGGAATTGCTCAAGTGAGAAACCAGAAATGAGATCGCTGCATCCTCAAATGAGCTTGTTGCCATTTGTGCATAAATGGCGCGGCGAACTCGTGCCAGTGGCACGCGCACGTTCCTTGATCGAGCGCCCTTCCGTTTTCCGCCCGGCCTGCAACAAGGAAAGCGCTAAGCTTGCGGTTTCCAAAGGACCTCCAACCGTTTGACTTGGCTGGAATTAGGACCCCAGCAAAAAAAATGCCCGGTAGTGGAAAACAAAGGGAACCCCACAAAAAAAAGGGGGGGAGCTAATTCTGGGGAAGTTGAAACACTCTATGTGGCTCCATATACCATGCGTTGTGGACCCTCAAAGCCAAATGGTTTCCACCCACGTCCCATGGATTCCTGGCGACACGGTGCGGTAGCAAACGCCGCCCAACAAAAACTCGCCCAGCCTTGCCGCGTCAAGGCGACGCTGGCCGCCCAACAAACGAGGCAAGACCTCAGTTGGTCTGGCACAGTTACTCGGTTGCTTTCTGCTCTCCTGCGAAGAGTTTAACTTTTAGTGGTTTCATGGAAAACCCATTAGTTGGCCAAAAGTTAAAGTCCTAGCATCCAAGCAAAATACACCAAAGTTAAAGTGTTCTTGCCCACGAGGACCTGGCTGCCCTCCGTAAACGCAGTGTCCGACTATCTGCCTCGCTTGCCAACATTAAGCCGCTCGTTCACGCAGCAACGCCTATTAGCCATTCCTGCGTCACACATTAATGTAAATGCGTCAGTCGCCCGGTGCAGATGGCATGAACCATCCTCAGAACCGTGATGTTGCGAAAATTCATGAAGAGGCAGCATTGAAATGCATTAAATGCGAGGCAAACACGCGAGGTCAAGAACTTGCAAGCAGAGTCTAAAAACCCAACCAAAAACCAATGATGAACCCCTCAACAAGTTACGCAATGTTGGAGTACGTGGGAGTCGCATTTGGGCAAATCAAATGGTTTTCTTTGACGTGAAGGGGAACCGGCGCCTTCAGAATTCCAACGAAAGTCATATTAACGGAAGCAACACAGCCGCGCGCAAGTCGCTTAACGACCACGGGAAAGCTCCGGCACACGCCCTTCACCTAAACACATGACACACGCCTGCAAGCAGCTAAACAGAACGAGTGAGAACGCGCAATGCAAAACCTGACGGCTGTTGTGAAACTTGGCTAGGTGTCAGGCAGCAAGTGCGCCTGAGCAGGCTGCAGCCCAAACCGACTCAACTCCGATAAGGCTGGGCGTAAATCTACACGTCTGCCGGCACGCGAGAGCCAACCCCACGCGTCTTGCAAGCTGCCTTGAGCCGCAAAGTGCGCGCCGCGTAGCTCGCGCGCATTTCGAAACAAGGTCTCCCGCCCATGGAAGCTGGCCAAGGCCAGAATGGTTTCCATGCTTCCAAAGACCGCGAAGGTCGGAGGCCAGGAAACGGGAGAAGACGTATAATTGGAGGCTATGAACGGGGATTGCGCAAGAGTGGCTTTTTGGTCCTCACGGTAGGCGGGCAGGATGAGAGTTCTGCCTAAGAATGTCATGCAATTGAGCGCGGGGAGTTGCGAGGAGCTTTTGCGGATTCAAGCGGTCGGCCAGACCATCGCTATGACAAGCAAACTGATCAATCCGGCTGTGCTTGTTCCACAGCTAGCCCGTTTTCCAGCGCTGTTCTGACGCGCGCAACCTGCGAGATTCTGAGTCTGTTTTGCTCACAAGCTTTACGCAACGGAGTTTGCAGGTCCCGTGCTTCTCAACCGCTTTCCCAGAAAAGGGGGTGAAGCTGGGGGAAGGTCCGCGCCATTTCTTGGTCGTTTTCAGCAATCTGTGTTCAGTCATGTTGCCCAGGAATCGTTTGCCTGCAATCAGGGGCCTGCAACATCTGCGCGCCTACTCCCAAGCATGGACTTCAGCGTTCGGCGGCAATCTAACGCGCGAACACGATGAAAAGCCCTCGCGTTGTGGGTGAACGGTGCCCAAATTCAAAAGGGACGGCCAGGCAACTTTCTGCACCTCCCCGCTCCAGACGGAGTAAAACCTCTTGACATGTCCATTCACTTTCTGGAAGCCACCCACACCATCACCCACCCAAAAAAACCGAGGATGCAAAGGCATCATGGGACAACTTGTTTTCCCCCAGATAGCTGAAAGCTATAGGGGTTCTAACTGCAAGTAAAGCAGGGGTGGGTGAGACTCACAAGCAGGGGTGGGTGAGTATAATTACTTGCTGATTTTCTTGAAAGCCCACAAGGCAAACTCCGCTGAGCTTGCCTCAAGTGAGAACGGCTTCCTGAAGGTCACCAACAACAAAAAACACCCAAGATAAAATAACATGAAACAAATAAAACACACGAAAAAAGAACTTCAAAGAAAGACAAAAGGCCAAACAGCTGGGTGTCCTATGGGCGAAAAACACCCGGGTTTGTGACCGGGATACGCCCGCATGTCCTGGAATCCAGCAGATGTCTTTGTAGGCGACTCTCAACTTCTGTCTTTTTCAGGAACCCCAAACAAAGGGTTTGGAACAGGAAACCATCAGGAAACCAGCCATTCTGGGGGGTTTCCCCTATTTTGAGACATATCCATATGGCGCTGCACGTCGCCCGCCCAAATGAGCCAGCCGGATCCCACAGAACCAAATAGAGCCCTGCAACTCAAATCCGCCAGCAGGGGCTTGGCGCGAAGAAAAAGAAGGCGGGTGGAAAGGCCATGGTGCAAGCAAACCTAGGCCTTTAAGCGTTCTGCCCCGTTGTGCTCCAAAATGCCCTTGATTCCCTGGAAGACATCCGATTTTGTCTGATACATCACTGCAACTGTCGTGCTTCTCAGCCTGGTCTCATTTCAAGTCATTCTGCGATTTAGGCACCAGCCCTACGTCTTCCCCAATTGCATCGCTCTTTCTACTCTCGTTCTTTCCCCTGTGGCATCGTTCTTTCACCACCTGCACGTGTCCTTCTCCACTTGCATCGTTTCGTTCTTTCCGAACACGGAGTGGAGGGGCCAAAGGATGCACGGGCGCCGAGCTTTGGGCAACTGAGTTCACTGGGAAACGGCTCCCAGAACCCGGAAATCCCGAGTCAGGGCCACGGAAACTGGCAGACCTTCTTTGTTCCGATGGGCTGGCAACTTGAAGCTGAAGGAGGTGTTCCTTGACTTAGAATTCGGAAACGAGTGTCTCCCCTGCGGTCGCGATTGATTGGACCTGCGCGTCGGTGGTTTCCTTCACCGCTTGGGCTGGTCTCTCGTATATGTTCTGGGCTACCCTCAGATCCCCCGCTAAAAGTGACTCACTTTTAGTGGCTCAAATGGAAACTACCACTAAACACTACAAAGCCGAAAAGGCTAAGGAACCGGATGGCTGGGAGCCACCGAGTGTTTCACCAGCTATTGTTTTAGACAACCTTCTTGGGGTTTCCTTTCTAAAGGTGACCAGGGGCTGGCTGTCAAAGACCTGGCTCCCTTATCTTGCCCAATGGATCTCAGGTACCCAGTACGGTACCCATATAGATATAGTCGGTAACCCTGCACCAAAAAATCGGGTGATTCCCTTGCATACCTACGTGTACAGCCCAGACGCACCTGGCTTCGGCTTCCAGTTGTCCAATGGAAGGCCCAGACCCTCCATTGCACACCCCAAAGAGGGGTGTTGGGGTCTCAAAACCTGGCCGTTTCAAGGCCCAAAATCAATCGACTTGGAGCGTCTGGGAGGTGAAAAATAAAAATATGGCTTCCACCGGCTTGGAGATCGGATGCAAAGCCACGCCTCATCTGCTTGGCTGACCACTCGCTGCGCAAAGCCCGGCGTCCTTCGTTCGGACGGCTGACGCCCAGTAGCCCCATGGCCCATGACAGCTGACGCCTGTCGTAAGTTTAGCCTGGGCTGTCCGTTTTCAGATGCCATGCTAAAAGTGACCAAGTTTTAGTGAATTAAATGGAACCCCCCCACTAAACCCCCAAGAGCTGAAAAGCTAAGGAACCGGATGGCTGGGAGCCACCAAGCGGAAAAGCCATGTGTGGCCAAAGCGTCTCGAAGACCCGTTGGGGGCACCAAAGACCAGCTACAGATATTTTGCCTTAAGGCATATCATCCCCAAGGTCGCGCTGCGATCCTACGAAAATGGAACAAGTCAATGAATGGAGGCTCAAAGGTCACTCTTCCCCAAGCAACAATGTTCAAGGGGATGACATAAGGGCCTAAATTCGGCATACATGACTAGTTGCGGTGCGTAGAGATTCCTCGTTAAGATTCGTGTAGTACATGTAGGGCCCTTGTAGAAGCCCGTGGTTTACTCATTCTACTTATTTTGCAGCTCAACAGATGCAATTCCCAAGATGAAAGCCACCTTGGTACATGGCCGTGGGTCAAAAATCGGGCACCCACATGGCTTGCCCGTTCGGTAAACGGAACCAAGCACACAAGCCTGCGGTGCTCTAGTGAAGAAAAAAAAGCTCGACCCATAGCCATATGGGAACACAGGCTAAAGCCTGCGAACCCCCAGCGGCAAGCTAATTCTTGAGCCACACCCACCTTCTTGAGAGGATTCGTCCAGAAAAAAAAGAAAGACTTGCAGCTACTAAAACTTAATCTTCCCAAGGTTGAAGCCCTGCAAATGGATGAAATCCATTTCGCACCTCAGAAAGCCCTGGCTGCTGATGATTCTCCTGCAAATACTAACAAACGACATGGTTCTTCAAAAAAAGTGGTTTCTTAGGAATGTCATCCATGGTTTCCACCCAAAAACCATTTCGTGACGTGCGATTTCTAACATTTGCACACCCATCCCACCCGAAGATCGCGAGAAAGAACAACGACGTCCTCTCTCGCAGAGCTTCGAGATGCTGGGAGTAGCTCTCTAGGCTCTGGATGCGCCTGGGCCGGGGGGGGGGGGGGCCCTGGCTTTTGGTTTTGAAGGGACGCCAAGACTTGGTTGACCTTGGAAGGGGAGCAAAGATTTAAATTTGGATTTGGATTTCAACCACTAAACAATAAGCAAACATGTAAGATGTTTCCCAACGACAACCATGGCAAAAGGGAAAACCAAACCCTTTCTTGGGGGAGGGGCTCCTTCCAACATCACCCAAATCCTTCAGCACCGAATCGCCTTCAAGTCACTGGGTAGACTTGGAAACAACACAGCTTCTGATTTTTAGACCTCCTAACAGGCCCCCCCGGATTAAGAAACCCCCGGTTCATCAATATTAGGGGGTGTCCTTGGTTTTCGTGGGGATTCAGACCACTTTTGGAGGGGCCCCCACCCCCATAACGAAAACCTGACTCCTAATCTTCTACCACGGATTTGGGTCGTCGTTCCATCTTTCGAGGCCTACACGTGAACGGTGGCGCTCGACTAATAATGCCTCCATAGAGCGAACCACCCCGAATTCATACACCAGGCCGCTGGGTGTCCTTTGCCGTGTAGTGAAACCAAGCACTAATTCCAGGAAGCAGCAGGCAATCTGGAATATCACTGCTGATTTGTCCTGTGCTTTTTTGGTCTCTCCCGACTCCCGGCCTCTCTGAAGGTGTTTGGGACCCCCCAAAATGGTGGGTTTCCTGTTGCTTTCCCTTTAAACCCACCAAAAACAGGGGGCATCCTCCAAAAGATCTCTGGTCACGGGCCTGGTGGATCCCGGTTGCCCATGTAGGTACAGTACCCCTGCGCTATGTTCTTTTAAGGTTAAGTCGGGTGTTTCCCTTGCCTACCTTTACCAGGTAACAATACGGATCCACTGGGAGGCTCTAGCTCGCCTTCCTCTGTACCATCTGCCCCTGGGCCCAAGACTAAAAGCTCCATCTTTTGGGGGCCACAAAAAGGATGTCGCTTCCGATCGGTGAGCTGGCTATAAACAAAATAGTTGCTGGTGCTCAGTGCAAGAGAAATGGAATGACCTTATAAACCATCCTGGTGGTTTCGGAATTTCGGACCAAAGCTTTGCTTCCAGATTCCCTACCGATTGCGCAGCAGCAAAACAACCAAAGTCCAGAAGGGTGGATGTGTCTGCCTATTCGACATAATGTTTACCTCGGTCCCCCAGTAGTGCTCTTCAGGGTTCCCCTACTAAAATCGACTGTACCCTTCAAATTCTTGTGCATGGGTGTCCTTTTTGGTGGTTTTGGTCGAAAAAATAGAGGGCGATTCCTGGTTCGCATGGTGGTTTTTCTTCATCTAGCAGCGATATCCATCTATTTCCTATGCGTCTGCCTACTCGGCATAGAGTGCCCCCCAAAGGGATACCAGAAGTCCAAGTAACTTCTCAAGAAGGCACGTTGACCCCTTCACCCTTGCTGTCTGCTTCGAGTGTCTCAGCCCCCCGGCAGCGCATCGCGCCAGGCAGCGATGCAGCACTGCAGCGTCTGCTGCAGCTGACGCGCCTAGGCCGAAAAAGTTCCCCACTCTCCGTGGCTGATCCTCCATTCGCGTTGTTGGCCCGCCTGTGTTGTGTTGTTGTGTGTTTCATGTCTTATTGTTATGCATGATTATCATATTTTTGCTGATAAGTAGTAATGGATTCCCTTTCAACCACCAGGTTCGAAAATAAAACATGTCCTTAAGCAACATGGAAATGTTGCGTCGGACTTGTGGGTGCACTTAACCAGTTAAGTTGTTTTGCACCAAGCTAGAAGCTGGGTCTCTGCCCAAATAAGCCCTGGAGGTTTACGCCTTCCAGCAGCTTCCGTGTTACTTGGCCAGACTAATTCCCCCCTCCCCCCCCGCAAGGAGTGAACCTTTTCTGGGCAAGGGAAAACCAAGAAAACCCGAGCAAAACTGCCACAAAGGATCATGAGGTCTGTCAAAGAGAGTGGCAAATGGGACATGCAAACAAGGGCCTGCGTTTATTCGAGGATACCCGCTGTTGATGGTTTTCTAGGGCCTACCTGGAGTCTCCATGACCCTGAACAAAATTGGGGTCATTACCCAAAATAATGGGGTCATGGACCCATTTTTGAAGGGTCATGGAGAGTCTAGGTAAAACAGCTGTTGCAAGGAAATAGTGCATCACCCAGTGAGCCGGGTGAACACGGGCTCGCCCACTTCTTGAGGCTGACCACTACCCAAGCCCTCGGCTTCAAACCCAGGGCTCCGGGTGAGCTGACTGCGGGGGGTTCATATCCCCAAACCAATCCACACCACCAAGTCAGGAGCTGAATTCCTTCCCTCCAACAAGCATGTGCGGGCGTGGCCTTTTCTCTGCGGGTATACCCTTGATTTTCCGGCTTCTTTCGGGAAACCCAAGCGAAAACAAATATGAAATGCTTAGGGGGTCCCAACACAAAGGCACGTGAAGTATCCTTGGCAGATCCTAAGGCAGTCAAACTAGTCATCTGATTTGCTGGCATGTTTTGGGGAAGGGTGTTGTGCCAAAATCCTGAGGCAGTCAAACTAGTCATCGGTGTTTTTTCTCGTATTTTCATATGGCCATGGGTCAAAACCCAAATTGTACCCTCAGTGAACATCCCAATCCAACCACTAAAATAGGAAGCCTAAAATGGGTGGCGAATTCACCAATCCCAACCAACCACAACGGTTTTGACCACCACAGCCACATTTTCCCCATGAAGCCAACACCAAAAAACCTCAGCGATCCGCCATCCGCTCCGAGCGCCGGGGGCCGCGGCATGCAGCAGCTCCACGGCCTTGGACAAGTCCTCCCGGCCCTGGGCTTCTCGGGCGGTTGCAAGCGACCCCCCAAGACCTGGAGTCTCCTTCCGACCCTGAAAGAAATGGTTGGTCGTTACCCAAAATGGGGTAACAAAACCCATGTTTGAAGGGTCACGGAGAGTCTAGGTAGAAATAGAAGGCCGGACTTCGGCGCGATTCGGCTGGTTTGAAGCTGCAGGATCCGTATTTGTGTGCTTGAAATTGCTCGACCCGCCTGGAAAAAAAGAAAACACACTCGGCTTCAGCTATTTGAAAGCGAACATGGTGGAACACAACGGGCTATGGCTTCACAGGGACACCTTTTCGGGGTTGACCATCTTTACGGGAGAACTGTGGTGACCGCCTGACCGCTATCTCTGATACGGTGGGTGGAGGTTTCATCAACCAGTATCCATAGGGTTTCCTCCTTCCCGTGCTAGGGATTCTGCCCAGGCTGAGACTGTCCCCGCTAGGGGACGGGGCTCGAGGGAAGGCTTGCGGGGTAGGGCTTGGCCCTGGAAGTTTGTGGGCCTGGGTGTGGGTGGATATCTCTCGGTCGTCTGGGGTGCACAGATTCTGCTTCGTAGCTCATGAGTCTACACGGAACAGAAAAGCTTCGTAGCTCATGAGTCTACACGGAACAGAACAGCTTCGTAGCTCATGAGTCTACACGGAACAGAAAAGCTTCGTAGTTCATGAGTCTACACGGAAACCAAAAAAACACACACACACATCATGTTGGAGCAGATCCCAGATTTGGGTAGGGCGGTTTGGTGGTTTGGAGGCTACGGCTAGCTGCCCCATTTGGTTTCAAAACAAAGGCTCCAACAGCTGAAACCACCAATGCAGACCATCTATTAAGGCCAACCTAGTTGCACCCCCAAAAAGAATCAAAAAGGGCGTGTCATTTTGCTGAGAGTGCCCCTTTCTGTGGTTTTAAAGGCAAACCAACAGGACCACCGCCATTCTGTGGGCCCCAAACAAAACAGACACGCCCAAAACTTTCTCACCGCTCCCCCGCGTACCAGCTGCCTCGGGTTCTCTGCACCGTTGCACCAGGTCCAATCCCCCCCATGTTCAGACCGCATGAGGACATGGTTCTCATCCTCAGACTGTCGAATCCTATCTCCGCCAAGCAGTCTCCAAGCGCTCGCTCTATCTCCTCCCAGCTGAAGTTCTGCGCCTGCTGGCTGGTCCTCTGCCGAAGGCCGCGCTTGACGGTGAGCTTCGCCTGGCACTTGGCGAGCTCCGCCGAGGGTTGGCCCAGGTAAAGCAGGTGCCACGCCGGCCAAAGCCTCCAACCACGTAACTCGGTTGCTTTCTGCCCCCTGCTAAAGTTTAACTTTTAGTGGTTTAGTGGAAAACCCACTAGTTGGCAAAAAGTTCTTCAGTCCGAACATCCCTTGGCAACAGATCGAAGCTACCTTTCGCTCGCAAGGGTTCTCGTCGAGCCGAGAACCGATGTCGTGTTTCTTTGAAGCCTGCCATTTCAACGGACCCCATGTGTAATGCAAGGGCGACCTATGTTTTTTGCTCAAAAGGCGAAAACCGGGTGGTTGAACCCCCCCAAAAAACGATGTTCACTCAAACAAACACGTGGGAGTTGGGGCCCCACCTTGATTTGACAACCTGACAACCCAACAGGGCATCAAGGTGCAACACGTACAACACAACGACCAGATGACTTTCACTCAAACAAAAGGCGAAATCAAGCTGGGACCCCAAAACATGTTAACTAAAAACAAAAAGCTGACTCAAACCCCCAAGGAAACCCTTTGGGCAGCCGTTGGTGTTTCACCGTGGAAGCCGCTCTCCAGACTGCGCACTGTTGCTCGCTCGCTGGGGCCCCTGGCTCGCGCGAAGACTCTGACCAGCGCGGCACGGCCTGAGACGAAATCGCATGGCCTGACATCTAGATGGGTGACTCGTCTTATGGGGGGACTCCCCCGGGGTTTCCTTCTGGGGTCCCTTTACATCCAGCCCAAAACGGGTGTTCCCTCAAACAACCCCTAGAGCTTCACGTGCTAAATGGGGGCTAAATAGCGGGACACATTCGCACAATTGCCCATGGCAAACGAGGAATGATGGGCAAGTCGCCCAGAAGCTATCCAGAAAAGTCACAAACTATGACCAAGGCCCACCCCATAGAATCTCCAACAGGGCGCTAAAACAGGTCTGTGGACCCCCACCACCTCCCATGCCTTGGATGCGGAAGCAAGATATCTCCCAAGATCTCCGGTGAGTCACCGAAGCCGCGACATGCGCATGGGTCAAATTTAGACCAGGAACTGAACCGCAGGTTTCAGGCCATGTTCCATTTGCCAGGGTTTCATTTTGGGCACCTGTTTTGACCCGCAGCCACATCTAAACGCGAGAGTCTCGTGGCCGAAAATTGCATGGCCCTGCTTCTTTAAAAACGTCTCCAAACCACGTGCTGTCTCCACCGTTGGACCTCATCCAGTTTTGGTAGCCATAGCGAATGGACATGCTCCCTCAATCCCGAGTAGCTGGGCATATCACATACCTTGGGCATGTAGTAGACGTAAATGGGAAAGCCCCCCCAAAAACAGCATGTCTAGGTCCTCCAATAGAGAGGCTAGAATAAGGATACCCGATTTTTTCTGTAGTCTATTTGAGTAGGGGAATCCTCCCAACCAAAAAAGGCGTGAGAAAGGGCACCTAGCTGGGGGACCTAGGTGTCGTTTCCCGTTCGGCTTCCCTTGAAAAAGGCACCCGCCAACGAAAACTTGGTTGCTTTCTGCTCCCCTGCTAAAGGTTTAACTTTTAGTGGTTTAATGGAAAACCTATTTGGCAAAACCTAACATCCCTTGCCAAGACGCACCAAAGAAAACAGAAATGCCCAACCAGGTCCCCGCCCGTGCCTCGCACGATCTCAGCCTCGCTGGCGCGCTGCCGCACGTCCAGCACCGTGATGTGTCGCCTGAGTGCAAAGCGCCCCACTCACCGCCCGGCGCGGGGCTCCACTTCTTGACTACTCCCACAAGGGCTTAAACCCAGGGGTGAGCCATGTACCCCAAGGGAACCCCTGGGTGTAAGTCTATTTGGCTGTGGGTCAAGATTAAACAACCGGACTGCAGACTTTAGCTCAATATGTCCATTTACCAGGGTTGAATTTTGGTTGACCCGCAGCCATTTGTAGGTAGTTGCAAAATGAATGGAACCCTCTCGGTGTGCGAGGAGGGCGCGGGGCGCGGGGTGGAGGTGCCTGGTGTCCCTTTGATGTCCCCGAGAAGTGGAGCGTCGCCTGTGGCATGCAGTCAAAACAATCAAGCGTTTGGTGGGCGGGATCCCTTTGGATTCCCTTTACGCATCTTAAACGTCTTAAATGTGCGGAGGGGTGCCAAACAACGACACGTCCAACTCAGGTTGGTTCCTTCAGCACTGGTGAAATTGCGGGTGACTGGGTTGCCTTGAAATGGCAAACCTTTCCAGAGGTTCCCCTTCTTATCCAAAGTAACGGATATGATGATGGGACTATTGGAGAATCCAAGGTACTATTTTGAAGACCCCCCCCAAAACAAAAAAAAACATCGGCGCCAAACAAGTGTCCTCATCAGTGGCTTCAAGGCGAATGGCTGGCACCAAAAAAAAGAGCAACAAAACAAAAAGAGAACTCGGTCATTATGTTGACGATTTCTGGGCGGGGGGAGGGGGACTTTGATCGTGGAAAAAACGTTGGGCCAGTCAAAGTGCAGTCCACTTTCCGGCAAGCCAATCATGGAATCTCCACTCGGTTGCTTGCCTTGGGAAAGCGGAGGTCGCCGTTGACAGAAACAATTAATAAACACCTTCCAGCACCCTCCAAGGGTGGCCCATTTGTACCCAAAAGTTTTGCTCACACAAGAGCACTGGTACAGAAATGGACCATTGGAGGGTGCTGGTTCCATGTTTTTGGGGCTCAACCCAACTGGGCGACGTCAACCCATTTGACTTCAAAGTGAGCTTTGCTAGGTCCTCCAGATTTGAGAGGTTACAAGAAGTTGGTACCAATTCTTTTTTTCTGTAGTGTATTTTAGTAGGGGGTTTCCCTCCCAACAAAAAAACAAAACGAAAAGTGAGAAAGGTTGCACCTAGCTGGGGGACCTAGTTTGGACCCATGTGGCTCTGGTTCAAGACCCCGTACCCCCAGTGAACATCCGATTCAATCCAACCGCTAAAATCCCGACTAAAATGGGTGGTGAATTCACCAATCCCAACCAAACTGGGATCCCACAACGGTGTTGACAACCACGGCCAAATGTGATGAAAGCAGGAGAAATACCAGAGTCCCCCAGTTCCGACCAACCAGTTTTGAAGGGTCAACCCCATTTTTTAAGGGTTGACCACGCCCATTTGACTTCAAAGTGAGCTTTGGGCTCATGGCTCCCGCCGCTCCCGAGCTTCCAGGCCAGGCCCGCCAGACCAGCTCCGCGCAGTGCACATCTGGCGCCGCCTTCTCGCGGCGCAGCCGGCCTCGGGCGAGGCTGAGGACTTGGCTGCGGTGGTCAAAGCCGTTTTGGGATCCCATTTTGGTTGGTAGGTGAATTCAGCACCCTTTTTAGACCTATTTTAGTGGTTTGAATCGGATGTTCACTGGGTACGGGCTTTTTGGCTTTTGACCCATGGCCACTTGTCCGGGGCTTGGAGAAAATCCGTGAGCTCCATGTCCTTGTCTTGCTGCTGCGCAGGGAATGAGGCAACGAGCCCCAGAAACAAGCCATTTCCCCTCATGTGGCTTCCTATAAATTCAAGAAACCCCGAAACCGGTTCATTCCCAACACCCCTGTAAACCATTTCCCGAATTTGGATTCCTTTCTTCGGGAAACCCCGTCATTCCCACCACCCCCTTCTCAGTCCTTCGCGACCCATGGCAGCTGCAGCAAGCCGAGGCCGAGAGCCAGGCTGGTGCGCTGCTGCAGTAGTCGGCCCAGCACCGAGAGGTGCATCACCTCCGAGCGTCCCCGGAAGCCGAGCGACCCCAAAAGGGAAGCCCCGCACATCCGCGCCTTGACTCATCTTCTCAGAAATTTGGGGCCATAGGAATTTGGGGAAGTCGGGGAACAAAAAGAAGAATAAAACAAAACAGCCTTGATTTTGGAGCCCCAAGCAACGCAGTTGGCCACCAAAGGAAGCAAATCAGGAAGGATTTTGCTGAGCCAAGCTTCACACATTTGGCCCATCCTCGAAGCAGTGCAAGATTCATCTGCACAAATGAGTCACAATGAAAACCTGGTATCAAAATGGTGTGCCCACAGCCGTGTCAAGAATACAGAAGGCGGCTGCACCCATTTATGGCTGGGAGTGTCCCTTGCTCGCCGGCTCAAATGGCTATGTCAAAACCCGAGAGCCACTAAATGCCAGTGAGCAGGTGGACCAACTGGCCTCATCGAAACCTCGTTGGAGTCTCCAGCCCGGAATGAAAAAGCTCGATATAATGTTGACCCAGGATTCATAAACCCGTCCCATTACTAGGGGGGCGAAACCCCCTCCAAAAGTGGCCTGAATCCAACCACTAAAAGCAAATTGGACACCCCCCAATCAAAATCCACCAGGGGTTCTGCTTCATCCGGGGCGAGCATTACACCCTTCCGCATAGAAGCTAGCAGTGGCAACTTCCCAACTTCCAGGCCACTGGGCGAGCCTTCCAATTGGGGCTGTGAAGCCAAGCCGGTTGTGAGGCCAACTTGTCCATGACATGACGAAAAAACGTGCGGCGTGTGTTCTTCTCTTTTTCCGTTTTTGTTTGTCCCCCCCCCTTTTTTTTTGTTTTTGTAGTTGTTTTTCTCAAGTCATGGTGTGGCAACCCACACTTCCAACGCCCAGAGGACAACGCCTGCTCAGTTGTTCAGTGACCCTGGAAAAAAAAAGAATTGGAACCCTCTTTTGGGAAGACCATTTTAGCGGGGGCACCCCAAACAAAAAGGAAAAAGAATCGGGGCCACTGAACAACTGAGAAGGGGTTTGCCCCCCTCTCGTCTGCACCTAGTCAAGCTCCCTCCGCTGCCTCCCGAAAGGCCATGAGCACCTTCGTAAGCAGCAGCCTGGAAGCCATAAGCCCGACGTCGGGTGGATGCATGAGCCAGGGTCAAAATAAGAGCTACGTTGGGTGTGTCGTTCTTTAGGGGACCCCCCAACAAATTGTGTGGCTTTCCTGGTGGTTTCCCCTTAGAACTACACAAATGATATTTCAACCACTAAACGGAAAAAGTTACCATTGCCCAGTGGATCCCAGTTACTACTATAGTAGCTACCCAGCCATTGTCCTTTTGGGTTTTAAAGTGAATGGATCCACTGGATTGGGTGTATCTTTTGTTCAGGGGAGCCCCAAATGGCTTCGGTCTTCCTTGCGGTTTCCCCCTAGAACCAAGAGACGAGCCACCCAAATGGGGGTTGATCAAAAGGTCTTTTACGATGACTATTGGAATAACCACAAAAAGATGACATGTCCGACTACATTGGAAAAGTTACCGCTGGAAAAAACATATATGTCCAGTAGCGATAGATTTCCCCTTTCAAAACAACAGAGGAAAAAAGCATGGTCTTAAGCAAATGGAAGTTTACAAGACTTTATTAACAATCATGGCAAACCTTCACGCAGAGCAGGTTGCAAGCCAAAAAAACCCTTGGCGAGGTCGGAAGGCGCTTGCTTGCTTGCAACCTAAGCAGGCCCGGAAGTTTGGGGGTGACCCTCCTGTTGTGAAACACGCTACGCTACCAGTAGTGGCTGTACACAATCCCCCTTGTTGGCGTAAGACTTTTCCAATGGACCAGAAGCCTCAGTTGTTCAGTGACCCTGGAAAAAAGAATTGGAACCCTTTTTTGGGAAGACCATTTTAGTGGGGCAGCCACCAAAAGAAAGGGGAAAAGGGGGCCTGAGAAGCTGCTTGTGAAAAATTAACACCATTAGGGCCATCTGCCGGGTGGGCAAGGGAGCTCAGGCTGGGAACTTTGGCTGGGCCACAGTTCCACTCGCTCATCTGGGCGGCTCGTCTTTTTGTTGAGGCAGTTTGGGTACCTCTTAAGGGGGGTGGGGGAAAAGGGGGAACCTAAAGGACACCAGCAATTCAGCGAATCGTTCAAAAGGGGATCCCCTATTTTGGGTGTGTTTTTTTGTTCGGGGACCCCGCACAATCGCTGGGTTGTCCTTTTGGTTCCCCCTGAACACCCACCCAAAAAAGACGAGCCACCCATCTGGCGGGTTGATCAAAAGGTCCTATGGGGGAAAACCACTAATAGATGGTACAGTTCCCACATGGGAAAAGTTACTCATGGGCATTTGGGGACCCTAAATGGAATATTGATCAACCCAATATATATATAATATGTATATATGTTTGCAACATGTTGAGCAGGGGCTTCGCCCAACCGAACCCGCAGTCGAGTTGAGGGGTCATTGAATCACCTCCCCCCCGTTTCTCGACCAAACCCATCCGGGCCCTTTGGCCCCCGGCACGTTGGCAAAGGACCGGCCAAGGCTACGGCCGATGATACCAGCGTGGAGGCCTCAGCTCAAAAGCCAGGCCCACTCACTTCGTCACTGGGCGCTTTGAAGGGAAACAACACGAACCAAATTTTGAGATGTGTTTCAACAATTCGAGTATGCTCTCGAGTCTTTCTTCCAGCCTCGGTCAAGCAAATAAATAATAGGTGACGAGCGCCCGCATTAAGCGAGTGCCGGAGCACTGCGGCCAATCCAACAGAATCCATCGCTGCCTATCGGCAGCGCCTGAATGAAGCGAGTGCCGGAGCACTGCAACCAGTGTGCAGCAAGTCGTTGGGATACCCAAGCTAGTTGATTGCGACATGGCCTCACCGGGCAGTACTTGTGTGTTTGCTGCGCAGTCAATCACAACAATCATGCTGCTCAAGAAGAGCGCCTGGTTCAAATTCTGACCAGATCTGAACTAGTCTCCACATGCTGCTTCGACGGCGAACCAGTCGCTGAATTATGCCGAGGCGACACAAGCCGTTTAGCAATCAATGGCCAGGATCCAGAAATGCTTCCAGACGGCTGACCCAGTAAGGAGCGGAATCCGAGTGGCCACTATAGTGGGTAACCAACCATGTTCCTGGCACTTTTCAACAGGTGGTTTGCTTGGTCACTTCCTATGTACATGTACATGTTTTAGTATAGAATTCCGCTTGGCTTTCTCTTGAAAGCGCGGGAAACAAAAAAGGTGCCCTCAAACACTTGCTGGTGCTCAGTTGGGAATGACCCAGACTGAATGAACCTAGGGATTCCCCTAATTACAGGAAACCAAATCGAGGATAGTTTCTGGGTGTCATTCCATGTCTCATCCCCTGCCTATCGAACCGGCAAGAACAAAAACACAGCTACACACATCTCCTTTCCAAAAGTAGGACGGCCCAGGTTGATTGAACCACCAGGTCCCTCGATTTTTCAACACAACTCACGCACGACAACAAGGACACCTGCCACACGGCTTCAACCCAAAGAGGACACCAATGCTCTACCACTCAGTTGTTCAGTGACCCTGGACAAAAAGGGAACCCTTTTTTGGGAAGACCATTTTAGTGGGGCAGCCACCAAACAAAAACGGGAAAAAGGGGGCCACTGAACAACTGAGACCACGGCTTCAACCTACCGGGCGCTGAGTCGTCGTGGATGGCGCTCCGGGCCCCGCGCGCTCGGTGGACTCGTTGGTGCGGAACTTGAGGCGAGCGCCCATGATCTCCGGGCGCCTCAGCTGCGATTTGCCCCAGCTCGGCGGAGACTCGGCAAGGGAAGCCCAGGGGAAATCCAGAAACATACATGGCTTCCTGGCAAATTTCAAGCAAATTCATGGCTTTTCTTGCGAGTGCAGAAAATACATGTTGTTGTTTTTTTGGTACGTGCAAGCAAGTTCATGGCTTCCTGGGTTGGAAGTGGGTGTTTGAGGGTACCTTTTCAGATTGGTTTCGGGTTAGTTTCAAAGCACTGTTTTGAGATTGCGCTTGACATGCCCTCGTGAGCATTTGGGTCGACAACAAAGAACAGGATTGAGTTGTGGGAAGCAGGTGGGAAGCAGGTTGGGTGGTTCCTTACCCTTTGCATGGAGCATCTGTCAGTAAGATGATTAAAGGCCTTCCATTGGTAACTATCACAGGAGTCGTGGACAAGCAATTCCCACCCTAAAAGTTTGGTCCATTTTCAAGAAACACTGGGCGAAACCCGTCGCCGAAAGCGATGCCGACAGTGACAACCCTTTCGGACGGGTGGACAAGCTGCATAGGCAAAGGGTCAACAACCACAAGCGCAAGAACACAACAGACCGACACACGCCTTCACCTTCTGGGAGCGCACTTTCTCTTTATCTATTTTGATAAATCAGGTCGCTCCTGCGACTCCTGCTTGTTGCCGGAGTCAGGGTCTGATTGTCTAGGTCCTCCAGTAGAGAGGTTGGAATAAGGGTATCCATTTTCTGTAGTCTATTTTAGTAGGAATCGGAACCCTCCCAACCAAAAAAGGGTAAAAGGGCACTACTTAGTTACAGTTGCCCAATCCTGCCTCAACCCCAAGCAGCCCATTCAAAGCCTCCCAAAGCAGCCAGCCCATTGCCCGCCTGCGCTCCCGGTGGGTGGCAGACACTCGCAGCATCTCCGCTAGATCGTGCAGGGTGGTGGTAATGACCCCGGGAGGCCTCAGCAGAATTCCGGCTCACAAAACCCTCTACCAGCATGGAACCCTGGTAAGTGGAACCATGGTTCCCAAAATCTGCGGTTTGCCCCTCCTGTTTAATGAATTTTGAGCCACACCCAGCAGAATTCCGACGTGAACCTCCGCCAAAACTTCCGGTCACTGGTTTCTGGCTCAGAATGCCAAGAGGCCGGAATCTCAATGTCCTCCATGGAGGGGAATACTCCCCTAAAGTAACAGAAGGTGCCCATTTTTTTAAAATCATTTGTTTTTTTGTTTTTGTTTTTTTAACAGGAGCTCTGTTTCCCAGGACCTTCCGCTACACATGGGTGCACTTTTTTCCTTGGGTTCCATAGGTTCATCTGTACAAAAGAAAGCTGGTCTTTCAAGGCTTCAAGGACAACACCCTGGGCCCCGTCGGGGAAAACACGCAAAGAAGGATTCATCTGGGGGTAGCTTCCATTTCCACTTCCAGGGATCCGAATCTTTCTAGAAAACCACCAAAACCCTGGGGAAATGGATCTGGTGATTGAAAAGAACGATGGCTGAAACTGAAAAGAATGGGGAATCAGCCAGTAGAATTAAGGATTTTAGAAAAGGAAACTCGAAAGGGTGGCAAAAACCGGCGAAGGAGCTCCTTACATAACTAGCTCTGGGCTGCCCTCAGATCCCCTGCAAAAAGTGACTAACTTTTAGTGGGTTACATGGGAAATCCAACCACCACACACTAAAAAGGCAAAAAAAGCTTGGCTCATAGGAATTCAGCCCCTTGGCTCACCCAGCGCGATCCGCGTCTGGGCACTCGAGCGCTTGAGTGCAACTTCCCCAAGGTCCCAGCAGGGCTGGCGGGAATCGCTCGCGAGATCGCGCGAAGGGGATCAACACGCGGCACATCTTGGCGATAGGTCCTCCAGATTTGAGAGGTTAGAATAAGTTGGTACCAACTTTTTTTGCAGTAGTCGATTTTAGTAGGGGAACCTTGCCCCAAAAAAGGGGTGAGAAAGGGCACTACTGGGGGACCTAGGATCCGACAGTCAAGTGGGCAAACTTTTGTGTGGGATCCTCTGATCGTGGTAACATGGCTGACTCTTAGCTGAGATCCAAAAATCAAAAGAGACAAAACCTACAAGCGGACCGTGGACCCACCATGATTCAGTTTCGGGAGCGGTTTGGACCATCTTTCTTTTGAAGAGACAACCTCAGGGACGGCTGGGAACCGCCAAGTAACATGGTGCCCTTTTTAAGATGGAAAACCAACACGGAAATTGCCACATGACATGTCCTTTCTGGGGCGCATAGCCCAGGAATCGCCAGGCTCAACCGGCGAGCCGGTCACAAGCACGTACCCCTCTGCTCGGAGAAGCTTCGGTGCCAGACCTCCAAAAGGAATCCAACACCACTTGATGCGGTAGCTCACCCCTCAGGTGCCACTTTCTTCATTCCCCACCGGTTTTTCGGTTTAACCACAGCTAGAGAAGACAAACTCGCAGGGGGGGCCATCAAGTTTTAGGTTTTGGGCACCTTTGGCATATGAGGATGTCCTGAGACATTGGTGTCTTTGACATACCGAACCTGGAAGCTACGCTCCGAGGCAGCAGAAAAGTTCATAGGGACCCTTTCGGAAGATGACGTTCCTTTTGAAATGGGTCCTTCACACTTCCATGTTTGTTAGCGGGACGGTAGTCTTACCCAGTGGATCCATTTACCTGCATAGTAGGTACCAAGGAAACCACCCTTTGAAAACCAACCAAATGGAAAATAGCTGTTTACCTGCTACAGGGTAATTAATTGGAATCCACAGGGTTAAAGGACAACCCCATTGGCCGAACCACGTTTGTTGGAACATGTGCGCAAAGAATACCTAGCCGTTTGGCTTGGTGTCATTGCCAATGCTTGCCGGATTGATTTGTGGAGGATCATTCGCCCAAGTTGCGGCCCACGTTCCATATGCGGCGCTATGTAGCCACTACATACAGGGCATACTTCCTGATTTCGTCCGGTGGGGGCTGGTTTGGATGTACAAACGATCGTCTGGGCACCCATTACCAGCTGGCACCCCGAAAACATCGCACATCGCCGCTTCTTTTCTCTCTTTCCGCTTGACCCGCTCTGGGCTGAGAGGGGCAAATGAGGTCGGAAGACGGTCCTGAAGACATCCAGGCTCAACGGACCTTCACCTTGACTTCAACTGAAGGCAGGTTGATCCCCACCCACCCCTCCCCCCACCCACAAAAGAAACACAAAAACAAACAGAACCTCAATTTGCATTCTGGAGCAGTGAAATCGATTCCATTTAAAGCCACATTCATTGCAGCAGATGGAAGTTTAAGGGCGAGCGGGTGTTCGGCTAAGCTAGGTACAATTTGCCCAAATGCGTTGGAATGAAGGGGACCCTCCCCCGAGCGTGACGAACTAACCCAAAGGAAATCATCTCGAGTGTTCCACCGTGCATAGTTTCTATGTTCAGACATGGATGCAATGACCGCCCATGACACGCAGGTGACCTGCCAAGCACTCCTCTCTCATAGACGCGGACCGGAGGGCGTAAGCTGTCCTCTTGAAAAAACAACTCCTCTTCACGCTTGTTCCAAAAAGTCCATGCTTGTAAAGTACTCATCTTGAAAAAGCACTCTTGTTCCAAAAAGCACTCATCTTGAAAAGTCCATGCTTGTTCCAAAAAGGAACCCTCGGTTCAATGCACGTGCGCAGGGCTGAAGACTTGCATCATGTTCAGCAGCTCAAGACGGAGGCTTGGCCAATCCTACTACAATTTCCTATACTTGAGCTACAAAACGGGAGTCCTTAGGTTGAAAGCAAATCATCTTGAGGATGACCTTTGAACAGCGCAAACTGCAAATCCCCCCCCCCCCCGCTGGCAGTGGAGAAAACCAAAGCAGCCTTGTTTGTGACTTGACAGGAATTTGATTATAGTGGGGAAGCCCCCTCTCCAAAAAAAAAACAGCTGAAAGGGACAGAGCGTGCCTTCATACTCGACGTTGAAAAAACTGAGAAGATCGGCCCGATCCACTGCAAGTGGGCCCAGTCAAAGCTGGGACTCACAATGGATGGGATGTATTTCCGAGCTGAAGACATCACCCCTAGAACAGTCCTCAAATGACCCAGGGAATGGTTCAAATCCCAAACCATCAATAAAACCACTAACTAAGGTTAATGTTGACCACACATTCATCAACCCCAGTTGATTAATAGGGGGGTGGGGGCCCCTCCAAAAGTGGTCTGATTCCTAAACCCCCTATTAATAAACAGGTTGGTTGATTTATGTGGGTATGGCTCAAAACTAAAGAGCTGGGGTTACGCGGGTTTGAGTCTTCTGTTCCATTTACCAAGGTGCCATTTTGGTACCACGTTTTTCGAGCCACGGCCATGTGGGGGAAGCTCAACCACGAAACCAACACCAAAAGCGGCTGAGAAGCTAAGTTGAACCGGATGGCCTTCGGAAGTCACCCAGCTTCTTGGACCCCACGGAATCAGCCCCGGCTGACCGTAAAAACCATCCATCGCCATCTCAGTCCTGTGCATACACCACCCACACGGGGGGGGTGGGGGGGAGGGGGTGGGGGGTTGGGGGGAGGGGGGGGGGAGGGGAAGAGGGGGGGGAAATAATTATGAATGTTTTGACTAGGGGCCAAAATGGGTGTGGATTTATGTCCACCATTTTCCAAGCGGAACGCCCAATGGAAAAATCATAGCCATGGTCCCCAAAGTTTGGAAATACGCCGGTCATACCCCGCTTTAACCACGAAAGCCATCCATCGCCGGCACAGTCCTAGAGCTTTAGATGTTCACCATGAAGTCTGCCACCTGCCGCAGCGTGGGGTAGTCAAAGGTCAGCGTCTGGGGCCTCAGCGAAACGTTTCGCCGAGTCCAGGATCGAACTTGTCTCCACAGAGCTATTTCCCTGATATGAACCAACCAGCTTATTGCTTGCACAATTCAAGCAAGGGGATTGTTGGGATTCTTGGGTGACCAACCCCTGCTTGCCTGACATTTTTGCTTGCTGGCGCGATAGGTAGAATGAATGTGCTTGACTGAACCCAGGCGCAATGGTCCCCTTAAAGGGATGGTTTATCTCGGGGTCATTCCCATTTCTCATTCCATGCCTATAGCACCCGCAAGTTTGTACTCGTGTTTTATGTGTGGGTGGGGCCTCTTTAATTATTGGGGCCGTTAGACATGGGGGTGGCTCAAAATCAAACAACTGGGGCCTTACGCAGGTTTTAGTTTTTGGTTCCATCTGCCAACGTGCCATGTTGGGAATTTCATTTTTTGACCCACAGCCAAATGGGAAACAAACTGCAAAGCGTCCAAGAAACTTCCCTCGGCAACTTGAAGATTAAAGAAACAGGTCGACCAAAAATTTGCTCATAAACTCAACAGGTAGGGATGTCCTCTTGAAACAGAACCCCACAAGGAAACTCATATAGGAGATTGGCCCAACACCTGGTGTTTAAAACCGCCAACGGTCTTAGCGTGGGCACCAAACTTCTGCTTTCATTTCTCTGAAGTGCTGTCAACAACTTCGGGCCCTGATATGCACTGTGCCGCTTCGGGGATGCAGCAAAGATGGAACCTGACGTTCGGGTCCTGGTTTAGACAATTTTCCTCTCAAAGAAACCGGGTCCCGACCGCCAGGTTCCATGTTCATTGGTGGGAGGGTATATTTTTCTTCGAAAGAGGGGGGTCACGGATTGGGGTTCTGGAGGGCTGCTGGGGACCTCGGGAGCCCTTTGATCCCCGAGCCCGGCGCATATTGATCTTGCACTGTCGCGTCAGGGTCTCCCTGAAGGAGATCGCGCCGAGGCCTCAATCGGACGAGTCCGTACTCGGCGCGCAAAGCGCGGGGTGGTCGAGTCCCCGGTTCTTTTTTGGGGAAAAAGGTCCAGGTCCCCTGCAAACTCACCCTGGAACCCAAACAAAAGGGGTTCCCAAACATTTTTGTTCTGCTTGCTGGAAGCCCATGTTCATCTGCAAGTATTGGCCCCTGTCCTTTCTGTATGTAAGCTAGCTCAGCAGTTGACCTCGACTAGATTAACACGCTTTAGAGTAGAGAGTGCAGCCACATGTAGTGTTTGTCGGAAAGGTTGGGGGAAGTAACGTAACTTCCCATCGAGGCAGCTCTTGGTGACCATTTGGAAAAAATGTGTGTGGCCCTGGAAAACCATGCTAAACCAGGGGATCTCATCGATTTCTATCCAAACTCACCTAAGAACATGGTCCGTAGAACCTTTCTGGCCGCGAAGTGGTCTTGGGGATTTTCTCGGGGGTAGCCGGGCCACAGATGGCACAACCCATCCCCTCAAGTCGTTGGGTGCGTCTCGAGATGCAGCACCCCGCAAGATGGCGGGTTCTCCTTCTAATTTCCACCTAATACCACCCCAAAAGGGTACAAAAAAGACACACCCATCTCAGGTGGACAACAGGAAGACCGCATCACCCCCGTCATCAGCTGGACTGGCCGACCGCCAACCCCAAAAAATCAAACAAATCATCGACCGGACAGCGTCCAGCGTGTGGGGACGGCCTCACCAACATGCAACCTACCAGAATTTCCCGCTAGGAACGTAAGTTTTCCAGGACCCCCCCCGCGAGGCCTCCATCTTTGTTCATTGGGAGGGTAACTCATATGTCATGATTTCCAAATGGTATCACAACGGTGGAAGCAGCTGCCAGAACAACAATATGGTGCCTGGTCCGTGGCTTCAAGACACTCCTCCAATACAACAGAGGCCGAGGGAGAAAAGCGCCGAAACGCGTCGCCGGGATTCCGCGAGTTTCACCAAGCAAACAACCTTCAAACAAGGAGAAAACAATCATGACAACGTGCTCATCAGAGTCAGGGCTCACACCGAAACAGCGGTGTGCCATTGATGCAGCTGCTCGGCTGAGTTGACGCACTTGACTAAAGAACTGGTGATGAAGCCTGCAACGACAAGTTAACAATACACACAGTTGAAATGCTTCTGAAGTATGTCTGGCATGGTCGACTTTACTTGCTGGTGCTCAGAAGGGATGAGGGAATGACCTTCAAGGGGAATTCCGGGTTCATTCAAACCCGCACTCGGTTATTCACTACTGAGAACCCGCACGTATACACCGGCATCCCTGAGTTCCTGTTCTGTTTTGGGGGGCACTCCCCTTCCTGGTGATTGAAAGGAACGAGACCCGTGGCCATCGACAAAGTATGTTTCTGGAGCTTGGAGTCTAAGGGGGCGGCCCTGCGAAGGTCTCTGAAAGTTTTCCTCGGGAACCACCTCAAAAGTGGGCTGCCCTCAGATCCCACGCTAAAAAAATGACTTTTGGTGGGTTAAATGGAAACTACCACGAAACACTAAAAAGCTAAAAGGCCAAGGAACCGGATGGCTGGGAGCCACCAAGAAAAGTGGTTGGACATGAAAATCCCCACCGAATTTTTGGACGTCCATTTCAGGTCCCCCAGTCAAATTTGTGGCCCTGAACTTTTCGAGCGAAGAGAAAGGCGCATGCCCATTTTGCCCTGACCTCGGTGACCCGTGCAGGCAAGGCGAGCGGCTATCGAGACCCATGTCCATGAGGCCTTCCTGAGTGCACCCGTCGCGATTTGGTTTCTGGCTACATGGGCCGTTGTTGTTTGTTGAGGGCAGCCGTTTTCGGTGGGTGTTGAAGGGAAGCCACGGTGAAAACCTTGGGGTCCCCTGCAAAAAATGTCACATTGTGACATGACTCTCAACAAAAATCCTGCAATTCATGCTCTTGTGTCTTCTTTGCTTCTCCTCTTTGGGCACAATTGTGTTTTCTGCACGCCACGCGCACGCCACGCGCGTTTCCTTGACAAGTGTCATTTGCATGTTGCGTTTTGATTATGTTGATTGCTTGTTTTGATTCGTCGAGGCATCACCACGCTGGATTTGTTTACTCTGAACGCCTTCCCAAAAAGGGTCAACCCCATATCCCATGTGCTTGGAACCCGCAGCTCATGCAACCCCTGCCCCCGCAAGGGTGGAGCTTGTTTCTGCCCAAAGGGTTAGCACCGGTTCTCCTGTGTGACCCAATGCGAGGTCCACTCAAAGCATTGGGCCTCTCGGGTATCCGATTCTATCTCATGAGTGTGACGTTTCATTGGGGACCCTCTGCTGGGCATCATTTGGGTGCGAATACATGTCCGTCAACCACTTTGGAGGTGCATGGTTCTCTCTTGAAATGTGTAGCCACATGTAGCAATTAGATCATGCTTCACCTAAACGAAGCATTCCGCGTAAGATCTCGGCGTTAGGCATTTGGTCGCAAACGCCGGCTATGAGGCTTAACCCCTCCAAAGGCTTTCCGTCATGTCATGTTGACCCCGTATTAATCAACCCCTGTCTATCAATATGGGGGGGTGTTTTTTTCGGTTGATTTGGGAACCATGACTGTTGGAGGGGAAACTAATCAACTGGGGTTGATTCATATATTCTGCGGTCAACATCAAACTGGTCGGGTTGACCAAAACGGCTAAACGGCTAAACGTCTCTGTGAAACCGGACCATGCCTATAGGACACGCGCACATCTGCGACACGGCACACACACACACAGAAGCCTTGGTTTTTCTAGGGCTACCTTCCAATTCCACTCCTTCCAAAGATCCGAGTCGTTTCAGGAAACCGTCAAAAAACCCAAAAAAACAGCGATCGGCATTGAAAAGAACGATGGTTGAAAAGAATGGAAAAGGGATCTGCCCCTAGAAAACCGTTGGGGGACCGCTTTCCTGGCCAGTCCACTCGATCGGATCTGAGTTTGGACCATCACACGGCGTCATTGGCGCACCTACCCCGCCCCTTCGCTCGCCAAGGCACGTCCAAGTGGATCTGGTCAACCTCTCCCAGGGCCTCGAGCGCCACGTTCCTCACCATCTCCACCGCCTGACTGCTTGAGTTGCCAGCGACCCTGGCAAACAAAAAATCGAACTTTCTGTTGGTCAGAAAAAAACAAATCAACAAAACATGGACGTACATGGCAAAAAATAGGGAACCCTCTGTTGATCAGATTTTTTTAACATGGACGTCAAAGGGCTCCAGTGAGCACCCGGGTATTCAACCTTCTCGTAGTTGGTGTGAAGCTCGTTTTGATTCATGAAACCCGCTCAAAGAGGTTGTTCAGCTCAACTCGCGGCGGGGCCGGCGGACAAGCCATCTTTGCTTTCTATGTCTTCAGCAGAAATGGAAGCTGGCAACCTCAACTGATAAGCAAAACCTGGTGTTACAAGTTGTTCGGATTGGTGCTTTGAAGCCTCTTGGTTACACCAAAGGTGACACGGGCTGATGCATCGAACCACTGTGCAAAGTTGCTGATGCCAGGCTATCGCCAAAAACCAAGGGGATTGCCAGATATGGATCTTGGAGGCATGGAGCGTGTGTGCCGCTCAAATGGCTATGTGTATCTATATATATACACACACTATATACCGCTTTGCAAGCTTTCCGTTGGTTGGCAGAAAAGCCTGAAATGTTGTTGAACAGGCCACAGAGTAAACTACTGAACCTGATCTCACAGGATACACCTCCCAAGGCCAGTCGTCAGCTTTTGGAAGAAACTTGGCAAAAGGACCAAATTGGAGGGGTGGTGGGGAGTTGGGGGGTGGGAGATGGGGAAGGGATTGTGGGGTGGGGGACCAGATCTCAATGTTCTGCGAGGCAGGTCGACTCGGAGGTGCAAATTGCCAGAAAGCAGCATACCAACCTATCAACTGGTACCCAATTTGAAGCCAGTTTTTGTCCTGGGCTTCTTTTTGTGGAACAACACCCAAGTGTTCGCAACACAAATTTCATCAAAGGTGACTTCAACCCAGTTCACTGAAGGTGGGAATCGACCAGCATGTATTCAAGAGACGAACGCCAAACACACCCATAGGATAGGATTTGTGAAAGTCCAAATCCGTGTCAAGTAAATTAGGGGCGTCAACACAGTGGCAGCTGGCTGGGGAACCCCCGACTCCAAAACGAGGATCACGCAGGTCTGGGGGTGACAGTCAAAAAAGGCAAGCCAGCATCCAACGCACCCCCCCCCCCCACACACACACACACACACACACACAAACAAACACAAACACAAACACAAACACAAACACAAACACAAACACAAACACAAACACAAACACAAACACAAACACAAACACAAACACAAACACAAACACAAACACAAACACAAACACAAACACAAACACAAACACAAACACAAACACAAACACAAACACAAACACAAACACACACACACACACACCCACACACACACACACACACACGCACATTTAAAAAAAAACAAAAACATCCAGTCTTCAGCTGTCACTGGGCCAAGGGACAAGTTTGGTTGCGCTGGGTTAGAACGCCCAAACCTTTGTGGTTATGTTTAGTATTGTGTCTGAGCCCCCATTTGGTACCGGTCCGCCGGTGGATGCCCTTATTGCAAAGAGAACACAAGAAACCCTGTTGGTAAACCCGAGTTAGGTGGTGTGGTTGGTTCTCTTGGGGGTGTGTCAAAATTGAGAATACCCCCCAAAAAAGGTGGTGGTTTTCCCTTGGTTTCCATTCAAAAAGGCCCTATAAATTGGGTATCTTCAAAGAAACGCAAACACGCGTTTGCTTGTGATCGCCACACTGTGAAGGGGGGTTGCGTCCTTGTGTCACAGGTGGGATTCGGACCCCAACATGTCTTCAGCTTTCCGTCTGGCTTCCCTTGACTGAAAAACCCAACCTGAGAGGCACCGTCGAAACACAAGCCCACATCTCACGCAATGCTTACCAGCAAGCCACTATAGTAGCGAATTAACCAAGTCTTCTTACCTCTTGGCTTTACATGATCGCTGGTTGCCTACTTTCATGGAAACTGGAAGCACTGGTCAGACTCCCCGGCCTGATCCATGGTCATTCTCTTCTCCACAACAGCCAGCGACACCTGGCCGAAAACCGCCGGAGACCCGGTGATACACAAGCCACAAGCCAGCTGAGGAATTGTCTGCTTTAAATTTAAAACCAAATCAAGTGATCACAAAAGCACGCACTGTCCTCTTGCGCACCGCACGTTTTTGAAGTCCAAATTTTGCGCCGAACTACTTTCGACAACAGCTTTTCCAGCTCATTTTGGAATCGGACTGCTGACATCTGCGGCATCCGAATACGAAAGCACCACTGGAAGATCAAATCTGCCACCAAGGCGCTCAGCCTCGAATCCCCATCGTTGGCAAAAACACATACTGCTGGCGAAAGCATATAATTGAAAGGAAGTAAAAGGTGCCAAGTGATGCCCAGGCACTCCCATGTCGGCATTGGAGTCGCGGGGAATTGGCGCAGACCCGGAAGCGTCTAGACCAAACGAAGGCGGAAGCAGTCAAAGCAGGAGCAAGGCAGCTACCAAGGCGAGGTAGCCAAACCGCAGACCAAGCCAAGCAGAAGGCCAGTGGCAGCTACACCGGCACGTCTCGGGCTCTTCTCAAAGCAGGCCTCCTTCAGCTGGCTGACGCCAGAGGAAAGTCCCTCCAGGTAATCCGCCAAGTTCGAATCGAGCCCCGTTCACCACATCGAAGGCTCGCAAGGCAATAGTGGCCCAAAAACTGGGTATGCTTGAGCAAGTAGGCCTGACATGGTGGTGGCTCAACCTTGCTCGATAATACTGCGCACGCACTCACATACTGGATTCTCTCCGGAATAGATCCAGGGACCACGTAAGGACTCACGCTACCGCAAGGTACCAGTTCCTACGGGATAAGGTATCCTCGGTTTGGGATTCACCCCACACAGCCCGAGATGCAGCAAAATGCGAAAACCTTCTCAGGGTCCGAAGATCCACAAACAAGACGGCGCCGTGGGCAATCCAAATGAACTTGCGCGGTTCTGGCGAACTAGTATGTCGCACAGCAGCAAACTCGGCGACACAAAGGCAGAAGCTGCGTCGCTGTATTGAGCTTGAGCCATGTCACATCATGGCATCAAGGCACCTTCACTGTGTGTGTGCTGCAGTGTGCCAGAGATTCTTTCTGCGCTTACATGCATGCATCCATTTTTAACGCTTTTTCACGAATGGGAGGCATGAGCCCTGCACATGAAACACACCAAATTTTCCAGCCCGTAGGCAATTGACAATTTCTGGGCCAGTTGCCGGCAGCAGCACTGAACATTCCAAGTGTTCTTCCGGCTGCCTGATCCCATGTTCAGCAAGAGCTTCCAATCGCCCTCTGCTTGGGCCGAAGGCAACTCCAGCACAAATAGCAGCGTCTACGTAGGCGTCCGCAGAAAGTGGATGCTGAGGTAGCGCGCGCCTTCCCGGTCTTGCTTCCAGTGTACAAGGTGAGCAGGCTACTACGCAGGATGTCGCAGTGGCGGTTCAAAGCCGTGTTCACTGCTTCGACCATCTTATGGAGCGCGTCCGCCGCCTTATTGGTGGTCTCCTGCTGGGCGATCATCTGGCGCGCGGCATGCACCTGTATTCCACCTCGCTTCCGTGCACGGGCTCGGCGCTTCCTGAGATGCGAGGGTTCGGCCGCATGTGTCTCAAACATATGGCGAGAACCATGGCTTGCCGTGTGTATAGGATGATCAAATGGACACATTCGCATCAAGTGCCACATGTGGCATGATGTGAGTCGGAAACATGTGATGCGATGCGGAAACATGGTTTGCCGTGAACTTCCCACAGGTGTCAACCAAGACTTGTTGAGCCATACTTATACTTAGTATGAGGCAACTTTTACCGTGAAACTCCTACAAGTCTCAGCCCCTTACATGTTGACCCATACAGAACATGCCATCACCCAGAAACATGATTGCCGTCAAGAGCGTGCAAGGCTTCACCACTTATACGTATTGACGCACGAGTGGCGTGACACGATTCGGAAGCAAGGCAGTGACACCGAATCCTGCAGAGACAGATCAAACAAGGCCGGGCACGCGATGCTCGCCAAACAGAACAGGCAGGGCACAGGATGCTCGCCAAACACAGCAGGCAGGGCACAGGATGCTCGCTGGCAGGGCACGCGATGCTCGCCAAACAAACAAAACAGTGCACAGCCGGCAGGGCACAGGATGCTCGCCAAACCATACAGACTGGTCAAAGGACATGCGCCTTCAATGCGCCGAATGCTGCAAAGCACACATTGGGCAAAGTGCCGGCAACATGAAAGGCAGCCCAGAAATGAACACTGCTGAGGGCTGCTTGAAGGGAACCCTCAACCTGAACAGTTGGCGCAACCCGGAATCAGGTTCCCAAAGTCTGCAATGCACCCTGGGGGAAACCGACCAAAGCAACACAGGGGTTATTTCCTCTCTGCGACTGCCTGACATTCTGCCGCAATCTCGCGGGACGCCGCCTGCCAGCAGCCTGACTTCACATCAGAAAGCATTGCGTCCCAATGCTGCTTGCTGTTTTGGCGGACCATCGAGTTCTGCGTTGGGTTTGGGAACTCGGCCCCTGAATACTTACGTTTGGCACTGCGTTGGATCAAGCGCTCGCCGTTCATGCAGCATAAAGCCGCCATCCACCCATGGACCTTCTTGCCGGCGCAAGCAAAGGAAGATGTTCAAAGAAGCGAAGCAATCGGACCACGGTGGGAATCAATGGAGGCAAGAATTACAAATTCAAGCACAGAATCTCCACGCGAAATGGTGCAGAAAACGTCCTCAGACCGGTTTGGGGGCGGAACGCAAGCCACACGCAAAAGCAGAACAAACGCAAGAGACAAAGACACTTCAAAAGCATACGCATCCATGGCGCTCACATTGAGCCGAAACAAGAAATGACCCGACTCGGCAGCCACCGTAAAACAAGCCAGGGTGTTCCAAAAACTTGCGCCCAACAAAAACAGCTCAACATCCGAACATTGACATCAATCCCCCCCTCCCTCCCCCCCCCCCCACCCCACCCCATAAGCCACGCAAACAGCAGCTACACTAGACAAAATGTTCCATAACAATACAAAAAGAAGCGCGGGCCAAAAGACAAAAAATGCAAACAAAAAAACAATGAAAATAAAAAATGCTTAGAACACCACGACCGTCTACACGCCGTGCACCAACAACAAGGTGAAAAGGTCAGCTTTGGGCAAGTAAGAAAGATCATGTATCTATCTAGGCACCTCTCTTCAACCCACATGGCTTGGAGATTTTCAGGGTACACCCTCGCTACAGACGCAAGTTGGAACCCTTTGGAAGGGGCAAAACCATTCTTCGACTCGACAACGTCCGTCAGATCCTGCAACATGAGCGGGGTTGCTCAGTGGGTTCGGTTCCCGGCAAAAACGAGCAAAGCTCCGGTGCCTGCTTTTTTTTTTCCGCCCGTTTAGCTTCCCGACGTCTTGAGTGAGCATCCCCGGTATGGCAACCGATCCATCCAGAGTGCACTCCCTCCAAGATCTGGCTCTTGGTCAACAACAGCCAAGAAACCAACCCTTGGGACTGATGCATCACCCCTTGGTTTCTCAACCAACTAAAGCACAAAAGACCTCAAAGGACACAACAATCAGATCAACGGACGAAGCAACCAAAGAACCTCAACCACTACGACAAAGGATTCACAGTAACAGTGTCCAACGGAACATCCATCACCTCCTACACAAACGACGGCAGCGCGAAACTCGGACCCCCTTAGGCGCGAAAACTGCCAGCACTGACATCGGACATGGAGTTGCCTCCCGCCCTTTGTGCAAAACAATCATAGCTTCCATTTGCTTTTAAGCCCCCAGGAAAAACATTTTAAAAAAAGGAACATATGTCAACACCAACAGGAACAAAACAAGACAAACACAACTTAAACAAATAGAAGATGGGATCCCAAGACGGCGCTCCCCTCAAAAGAAATAGTTGACCTGCTGAGTGCGAAAAGTAAGATGGACTACCCTCCCTCCCACTAACATACAGCACATAGGATTTCTTCCAGGGGAATTTGATCCAAGTATCTTCCCACCGATGCTGCGGAGGAAATGTGCTGGAAACGGTTCATGTCCCTCTCAACTAACAATAGACAACTGGATGCTTTAGACTGAACCCCCACCTCGGGGTTGTCACCTCTCACCATACGAACCCTGGTTGATTCATAGAGAGAGGCTGCCCCAACTCATTTTTGTGGGGGGGGGGGGGGGAACCAGCTAATGTACCAATCCCGAACTCGACTCTTTGAGTTGCGTGGATGTTCCTCCAAATGAGGCACCGGGACCCGCCCCAAATAGGCCTCTCTTTTGGCTCTTCTGAAAACCAGGCCCCGCATTTTGAGAAGCACCCAAATAGACCAGGAACCAGCCCTACTAAAAACCAAAAACAGTCCTAGGAAGAAAAACGGCACCTCTTTTTCCACCATGTCCAAAATCCCCTTCTAAGTTCTCCAGTAGAGAGGTTAGAATAAGGGTACTCTTTTGTCTGTGGTCTATTTTAGTAGGGGAATCCTCCCAACCAAAAAAGCTGGTAAAATTGCACTAATTACTGGAAGACCTGGCCTTGGTACGGAAAACTCCAACACATTGCAGTGGTTTATGGACCCAGTTGCTACCCATGGACACCTTACCCCCCATTGGCCCCCCGCCCACGCCTCCTCCGCCGCGGGCGCCCGCTTCTGCGAAGGCTGCGGCTGCGCCGGCGCCTCGGAAAAGAAATTCCGCGAGAAGCCCTGTTGTCTTGGTTGACGTTGGAAGGGGAGCAAAAAAAAAACACATTTTAGCAGTGAAGTGGAATTTGATTTCAACCACTAAACCACAATACACAAAAAATGTAAAAGATTCCCAATAACAACCATGTTGGTACTGTGGATGGTTGCAAAATCCAGACATCGCGCCACGAAAGGAAACCATGGGAATCTGAAAAAGGAATCACCAATCCTTTGGGGTTGTCAAATTAGCGGCCATTTAACCTTACGAGGTGGCATCAGGTGGTATGAGCCCCCCCCCCCAATCGAAGGCTTCCATGGGAAAGAAACCATAACGTCTGTTGACATTTGCAGCGGATCAATTCAGGATTCCTAGGTGCAGGATTCCGTCCATCTACAGAAGGGGCCAACTAACTAAATAACAATAATGGGGATCTGGCCTACTTTTAACACAAAGTCATAATTGATGAATGTGTCATGTATATAGCCGCTATTCTCCCTGTTTGAGCTTGTTTTTCTTGAAGCCCTGCTTTGTCACAGTCCTTATCCTGTTTTTGTCCTGCCAAAAGCCCCGACCAGTCCGTGGCCCGTGGCCTTTGGCGTTTTTCTTTGTTGACGGAAGACCAAGGCTGGGCCGTTCTTTCTGTAGATACACTCCCTGAAACTAACATGGAAGCTCCCAAAAGGCCTCTGTAAGTAGAACCAAGTTCCACGCTAGTCTAGGGTAGTCCAACACTTTGGAATGGTTTCCAACAGCAAGCGTGATAGTTGATTGCCTTTGGTACAAACAGAGTGACAGGGACCACTGGACCACCCTGAAATGGTCTTCGGCAAAACGAAAACAGATCCCATCTGAAAGAAGGAATCACCAGAAAGCCGCCCATCCTTTGGGGTCGTCAAAAAAGTGGCCATGTACCCCCTTTAAGAGGTACCACCAGGTGGTAATTATGCCGCCCCCCCCCCCCCCCCCAATTGCAGGCTTCCAAGTCGTCTTCATTCGCAAACGCAGCCACAAACTTCCATCAAGATCCCTCACAAGGGACAGGGCCCCAAAGTCAGCGCCCTCCAAACTTCAAACGCCGCTGAATCGGGAAGAGCAAAGCGCACTTCCCATCGGCCAAACAAAGTCGAACAGCGTTTTGACTACCACCAAACTAGTCCCAACTCCCAAGTGACTGAAGTCCGAAACGGAACTCAAGGAGTGAGTTGGCTCGTGTCTTACACACCACACGCGGCAACGGTATGAAAAAAAATCCGCTGGCACTACAAGGGGAGCCACATGCGTGCAGGACACGAACGGAATCGTTTCGTAACACAAGGGATGCAACGAGAATCGGAAAATGCCTTCGCCCTGCTTTGCATCTCCTTAAGCCAGGGAATTACCTTCAAAGTCACCTCAGCGGAAAGGAGAAGGGCAACACCAGTGTCTAACTTTATCAAAAACAACAAACAAGTCAAGCTGGGCTTTTCAAGATGGAGACTTACCCAAACATTCTTTCATCAGCAAGACACCACTAGAAACGCTAGAAAGGGGACCGGACTTTCTTTTCGAACCCAATTTGGATGAACTCAGTTCAATCGCTTCAACCACCCTGTGACTGCTTTCCTTAATCACAGAAACCCTAAAAACAGTTCAAATTGCCTTAGCCCAGTGTGTGTGTGTGTGTGTGGGGGTTGAATACCAAGGTAACCCAGACCCCGGTTGAAAGCTCCCTCTTGCTTGCTCTCCCTTTTCCGTGTCTGACAGGGGAAAAAAACAAAAAACGATTCCATGAATGCATCCACCGGCAAAACCCAAACGGAATCCTCGAGCAAGGGTTTGACCTTTCTCACGGCTCAATCCCCGGGTGCACCAAACATATCAGATTAAGCCTTCTAATCCTCACTGATCGAGTGGATTTGCCAACAAAGCCGAACAGCTGTCTGTTTACCACTAAAATGGTCCAAATTCCCCCAAGAAGTGACAAAAGGTTAGCAACCCAGGGAGTGAGAAGAGTTTTTCGCCAACCCCAAGAACCCTCCCCCCCCCAAAAAAAAAAAGAGGACACCCCGCCCAGGGAGTGAGAAGATTTCGAAAACTCCAAGACCCCCACAACAAAACCACAGCACAAAGAAGACCCCCCCCCCCTCCTTGGACTTGTTCACTCCTGCCCCGACTCACAGCCGGCGCTTTGATCTCAGGTCAAGCTGCGCCACTGATCTCCTGGATCTGGCGGATCGTGATCTCCGCCTCAAGGGCATCAAAAGTCGCAAAAAAACCACCTGGCATCAAACGTCGCCTACTCCAAACCATGCGAAGGACCAAGAGAACTACACAAAACTCGGAAAAGGACCTATAGATGGACTGCAAAGAATCAAGAGGGACTACTCAAACCATGGCTATGAATTTGGACTAGGGACCCTTTGGTGGTCATTTAGGTGGGGTATTTATGTCCACCAGCCACTTTTGAGGGGGGTCCCGATTAAAGTCCATAGCCATGCAAAGAACCAAGAGAACTACTCAAAACCAAGGAAAGAACCAAGAGAACTACTCACAACTACTTACTTGAGTCAGAAACAAAACCCGTTATCAAAATGGTCTACCCAAAACACAAAAAGAAATTAAGAAGACGGCCGCAACTATTTATGGTTGGGATTCTCCCTTCCTAACGTTCATCAATCCCCGGGTTTTGAGCACGTGGCTCACTTCCGATCAAGTGGATTGGTCAGAACAAACAACCACAAAAAAAAATAGCTTATTTCGAGTACCGCTGAAATGGCAACCAAACCACTAAACAAGTAACTCAAGTCCAGGAACTCGGGAAGGGAGACTAGGCTGTGGAGGACTTGCACCAAACAATTTGAGCCATGGTCAGACAATCATTCGCGAAATCATTTAGCCCCTGATGAGCAAACTGTTCAAAGCGGGTCGCAGATCCGAAAGCTGCGAGATGGTGGGCCCCTCTTTGGATCTCCACCCCTTCTTCAGATCAGGAGCCACGGAAAAACAGACAAAGTCCAAACAAGACTTCAGTTCAGGGTCGGGCCAACCGGCCAACCGGCCCTTGGCACATGTTCAAACCACTGCGCGTAAACAGCCTCCTTTTGCTTTCCCCGTTTACGGGCAATCATGGCCTGGTTCCAACAGATTTTGCCCGACCCTGATTTCCATGCTGATCTGGGTACCCGCTTCGGGCATCCACTTTCCCATGTCACTTTGATGGATCGACTTTCCGAGCCGCGTTGCGACCTAACCCCAAAAAGACCAACGCCTCAGGGCTCCAAAAAGTGGCCAATGGGCTCATCGCCTGCAGGATTCGAGCATCTCCCCAAGACACTCGGCAAATGACCCGAGGAACTCTCACCATGCCCAAACATCGAAAACAGGCGGACGACACGTCTCTGAGCTGCTGTGTCTCTATGTCTTTGTTGCTTCTTGATTCTCCTCCTGGATTCTTTCGTCTGCTTCTTCTTGTCCTTCTCGAGGCTTCAGAACCACGAGTCGCTCCGCTCCCCACTCCCCGCCTTCTCCATGCCCTCCTGGTCCCCAAGGGACTTGAAGAGGTCGTGGGCTTCCTGGCCGCTTCCGCGCGCACCGCTGACCGCGCGAAGGGACGCCTCCGTTTCCCCCTTGGGCCCATCCACGACTCCAAAGCCTCCAGCTGGAAAACAAAGTGTCGTAACTGTCTAGATGTCCAAAAGCTCACCTGTGAGTAGGCCAATCTTAAGGGGCAAATGATAGCATATGCTTCCATTTGCTGGCACCACCCAGAAAAAACAAAGGAACAAACAAAGAAAAAACACAACATATGTCCAGTAGTGAAATCTAAACCAAAAAGGGGGAAATCATGGAACATCTAAAAAGCCTCTTCTTTTCAGCACGTGAAAGCCTATGGGTTTCATCCGGGCCCCTGACAAAAACATGTTTCCAGTAGTGCAACCGATTCCCTTTAAAACCAACAGGGGAAAATAACATGTTCATTTCAGCAAATGGAAGATAATACCTGTGGATGGACGAAATCCATTTCGCACCACTTTAAATCCATGGGAAGCCATTGTTTGTTGGTATTTAGAGGGGAATCGAAGCGTTTCATGGTTTTTGGGCAGGGCTGTGGGAAATGCCAACTTCTGTGATACAAGAAAATGGTCCCCCAAAGACTACCCCGCCATATAAAGAGGGGATTCCTTTGTATCACAGAAGTGGTTGGATAAACCCCTTGGTGGTTTTGACCCCTGGCCATGTATACCAAGATGTTACCCATTCGGAAGGTAATTGTGGGTAAATATTGCATACATGGATTGTGGGGGAATCCCCATGAGCCACGTCCTCAAAACCTGGGTAGATGATCCCACAACCTTGTTTTTGGGCGGTGCGAAATGGACATCGCAACCATCCGCAGTAGCCCCCCCGTGCTCTTGGCCAAAAAAAGCCCGCCTCGGCCTGGAAGCGGCCACGGTCGGTGTCCCCGTCCAGGACAAGGCTCCTGAGTTGCGACTCGCGTCCACGGGCCGGAGATTTTGTGGCAGGCGGAGTGGGCCTTTTTTGGGCGGGTTTAAAGGGACAGGGTGGTTTTCAAAGAGAAACCACAGGTTTTAGGGTGGTTTTAAGCATGAATCGAGAGTTAAAAAAGGTTTGGGTATGCCCAAGAGCTATGGTCAATACTCGCGGCGTCTCCCGCAGACCTTAGATGTTGGCCGAGCAACCCCCACGTTCTACGTTAGTTTCATGGCCCAACAGGGTACAACAATCGTAACGTTCAGATTGTCGTCCGTAGTCAGTCAGCCCGAAACCATAATCAAACAACAACTAGATCCTCCAGTAGAGAGGTTGGAATAAGGGTACCATTCTTTTTCTGTAGTCTATGTTAGTAGGCATAGTAGGCGAAATCTCCCCCAAAAAAGTTGGTAAGAGGGCACTACTGGGGGACCTAGGTTATGTTTTGAGACTGACGGTTTGGTCATGTCAATGCAATGTCCCGGACAGCAGATGGAGTGACCTCCTTACCGTGGCTCAATTCACTTATGGAAGTGATGACCCTACTTTCCAAGAGGAAGTCTACATCTCTTGTGGCATCCACAGGAGATGTGATTTGCTCATCTCCTCCTGAATCTTGTCTACATCACACGCAAAATTGGGTGGGGATGTAAAAGGCATGTATAGAAAAGCTCCTGGATACTACATTTCCTGTCCGTGTAGGGATGGTTCAAATGTCGGATGCCTTTGGTTCGACTCCTTTGTACCCCCAAAGCAAGCAAAAATGACGCGCGCTTTTCAAAGGGTTGCTCCAAGCATAGGGCACAACTGCTCTTGAAGGGAGCCCCCTCCCCCCTCTCAAAAGGGTCCAAAAAACACACAGATTTCTCCTTCACCACAGGGCCACGCATAATTTTGGGGGGAGTCCATTTCTCTTTCTTGTTTTTTAAGAGAAGAAACAAATACTTTGAGCCACAGCCACCAGCCATTGGACGCCGGACGGACGCTGCTTCCGAGCCAAGGCTCTCCCCCAGCATCAGGATGGCCATGGCTTCGCCCTGCCTCGAGGCAAGCGTTTTAAGCGAAGCGAGGCGGGGAGAGTCTTGGTAGGGCGTTCCACCCGTTGGAATGGCGTCCTTCCCTTACCCCAAACTCAGAAAGAAAAAAGGGGCCTATCTGGGCGGCTCGCTGTTGGGCAGACACTTTTTTTTAAAAATATATTTTCTAGTTTTAGGGTTTGTTTCAGAATTTGAATAGAGTTTGCTTTAGATTGTTTGTCTTGCATTGAGACGTCTGGAACTCTTTTTGCTTGGCACCCCCTGGCTTTAAACCCACCAAAACAGGGGGCTATCCTCCAAAAAAAGATGAGCCACCCATCTCTGGTCACAGGCCTAGTGGATTCCAGGCGCTTCGCCCTTGAGTAAGTAACCACCTCTTGTCCTTTTTTTTTTAGTATCCTAGGTCCTCCAGTAGAGAGGTTAGGGTTTAGGGTACCAACTTTTTTCTGTAGTCTATTTCAGTAGGGGAACCTTCCCCCAAAAAAGAGTAAAAGGGCAGTACTGGGGGACCTAGTATAGGGTGGCAAGCCCTTGGTTACCTACCTTTACCAGGTAAATGGATCCACTGGGATTGGCATGGTGGCCAAAAAAAATGTGCAGACCCTACCCAAAATGAAGAGAACCAAACAAAAACTAAACACATGCCGACAACTGCGGAGGTTTGGGGAGCTTTGGGGATGGCTTTGGAAGGCTTTGGGGCTTGGGAGTTTTGGAAGGGTTTCAGCTGTATCAGCAGCTGGCCTGCATTTTCTCGGATCCTGCAAAAAGTCGAGGCAGCTACTTGCCGGATCTCATCCCGCGTGAATGGGCCCCCGCAAAAAGAATCCGGTCACCACCGGCATCGTTCCAACCAAAACAGATAAAAACCGACGTCTCGCACCTTGCTCGCACCATCCGCAGCAAGGAAGCTGTAGCTTAGTTCACATGGTCACGTTCCTCCGCACCACAGGGATGGTCCTGAATGACCTATCTGGGCATTCCTCTATAGTTCGGATGAATCAGAACAAAAGCTCTGAAGGTCTGAGCTTACCCTCGTCCCGTGGCCCGCGCCTATCCCATGTCTGCTTGAAGAGGTCTCTGGCCTCTGTCGCGGCCTCAGATGGCAGCAAACAACTCCACCCGCCCTTCATTGGTTAAAAAAGGCCAATTTTTTGGAACCTGAAGTTGCACCGCCAAGTGTAGAAGCATTTTTTCAGGGAGCATCCCAATTATCAAACACAAAGGAAACCATGAGGCACGGCGAAAATGAAATCAGTGTGGGTCCAAATTAAACTGCCAGGGGACCACAGCTTTTACAAATTGCTTGACCCACAGCCACTTGAGCACCCACCCAAAATGAGTGACTTGGTGGTGAAGCTTCGAGCTTGAGCTCCTTGGAACCCACTTCTGCGGTGTTCCAGAGCAGGTCCGCGGCCAGTTGGTCTGCTTTTTTTTACTTAATATTTGGGTTTCTTCGTTTTTTCTTGCTTTTTCTCTTTTTTTCCGGGTCCTCCATGTCCCTCCCAAATGGCTTGGATCTTTGACCGAACCTCAAACTGCGCCAAGGTCGATGACCCGCTTTCTGAAGCTGAGTGTCTGAGACGGGACCCTGCCCCAAGGAGACTGTAGCTCTGGGTTCGGGGAATCCGCCCACCCGGACCTCAAGGTGAAGTCTACCTTGGAGTGATGTAAGCAAATGACGAAATTTTGTGCAACCGAACATATGGAAGACTCCATGTAAGACACGTTTACCCCAGTCTAAACTGTCAAATCCAGAAACGGAAGCGGCTATGCCAGCTTTCATGTTTGTGGCCGGAAAGCCTAAAATGGCTAAGCCTCTGTCTTTGGAGAAACCTTCGCTAACATATTCGCATACATATCTCTCTCACTGAAACCTCATCCCTGTATTCTGCCAAGAAAAAATAAACAACACCACAACCTGACCCCTTCGCCACGGCTCGTGAAACGAGAAAAACATGTTTGGCTGTGGGTCAAAACCCTGGCCACCCAATCCGCGCGCCTGCACCGACGCGCTACTACGCCCGGCCACGGCATGGCACTGGGCCACCGAGTACCTGGCGCAAAATCCACTCAAAATGGGCGTGCCTGTTTTAACTTGCGTGGGGGTGGTGTAGGTGGGGGGTGGGGGGTTGGCGGAGGGGTGGGGCTGGGAATGGGGATGGAGGTGTGGGTTGGGGGTTCCTGTTGCTTTCTCTTTATAACCACAAAGCCCACCCCCGGTGATACTGGGAGCGTGTTAACGCGGTGAAACTGCTTGTGGTACTTAAAGGGAGAGAATAACTTGTGGGTGAACTTCGGAAAGCTTTGAACCAACTAAAAACCAACTCAGAACCTAAGGAACCGAATGGCTGGGAACCACCCAGCAAAGTCTGCGTGTGTGTGTGTGTGTGTGTGCCTCTTTTGAGGGTTGGGCCCCCAAAACATGGTGGCCGTCCTGTTGCTTTCCCTTCAAAACCCTAAAAAGAAACGCGACCAAGCCCCAATTCTCTCCTGCAGCCTATTTTGGTAGGGGGTTTCCCTCCCCCAAAACGGGTAAAAGTGGCAGGGACCTAGGCTTTGCAGCGGGATGGCAACCTCAAACCCAGGAGCTTCACGCCACCCCAAAGTCCCAAGCCACGCGGAAAAGAGAGGGCGTCTGCCGCCGACCGATTGGGCCAAACATGAAGCCTGACCCGGGATCGATCCCGGTGAGGTGTGCGTCAAAGGAAAAAAACAACATCGCCCATGCCAGCACCACCCCCCCAAAAAAACAAACACACTTGCATGTTGTTTGTTCAACCACGAAATCCCCTTGGTGCGGAGAAAAACAAACAAGTCTTGGGACGCCAGGTGCTTGGATTCCTCGTGCTTTTCTTTCAAAGCCCACCAGGCCCTTCAAGGGTTCCCAACGCGCGGCGCACGTGGCGATGCCCGTCATCCTGGGCGAAGCAAGTTTCGATCGATGGGAAGCGACTGGCGCCTGATCCGACCCAAAACGAGTCGGCTGTCATTTCTTTTGGGCACCTCTTTGTTTTGTTGGAGAGGGTGTAAGGTACGCCAACAGGAAACCAACCTTTCTTTTGGGGGTCCTTTCAAAAAAGACACACCCGTTTCACATGCTGGTTGAGCTGAAGCAACCAAAAAGGTGTTCACATGCTTCAAAAGCCAAGCCCACAGGGCCCAAAGATCCCTGTTTGGCTGGCCGTGTACATCACCCTTTAGTTGGAAGCACGTTGCCTTGTAAGGAGAAACTAGGGAGCGGCGCTGAACGCGGGACTCCAATCGAAGACAAGCCCTGTCTGCTCCCTTCCCCGTTTCGGAGGAAACCGGATTCCCACTTGCCGCCGCGCCCCCCCCACATCACCAAAATACTGTGGATGGACGAAATTCCTGCACCACTTACATCCATGGGGAACCATTGCTTGTTGGTATTTAGAGGGGAATCGAATCGTTTCATGGCTTTTAGGTGGTGCAGCAACTCGTCCATCCACAGTATGAACCATGGAGCCACCGGCACGCAGTCGCGCCAGTCCCGCGGCCTGCCTCCCATTCCCCCCAACAAAAGGGGTTTGGATGCCCGGCAGCACGCGCAGATCTTCCCGCCCTCGTGTGGGTCGATTTGCTCGGCGGAAATTTTGAAGGGAAACCTTCCCACCCGAAGAAATAAGTTAAGCCCAGAAATTGGGCAACCGCACACTGGCCAAAAATAGAGGTGTGGGCCCAGCCGGAAGCTCACTCTCTCTCTCTCTCACTTCCTGAGTCATGGGTGTATATATAATTATAGTGGAAGTATATATATATATATATTATTTATATTTATGTGCACATAAATACATCTACCCATGTCTTCCTCTTTCGCCGCCCAAGTCCACAAACACAGACCTCAGGACACCTCCGGAGCCATAATTGGCTTTTGGACACATAGATGGGTTTCCCTGGAAATTAAATGGAACAAGCCCCCATCTAAACCGGGAATCGCCCGACCTATTTCTTAAACAACCAAAAAGGACCTCTACGCTCCCCCCGGTGGGCCCCCCCCCGCGACCCCCGCGATCCCCTCGCGGAAATCTCGGGGCCCCGGCTGCTTGTCCCCCATCTTCCGCGCCAGCGCCGCGGCCTCCCGGGCAGGGCGCACCGCCTTGGCCTGGGCCGTCGGGGGAGCGGCCACGGAGAGGCGTGGGGGGAGGCGGGGGGGGGGGGGATTTTTGGGGCAAGAACACACCCGAAAATGTGTGAAAACCCCCCCCAATTTGGGGGTCAAGCTTGTGATCTCCCCAACATTGAGGCTTGCCTTCCGGTCCCCCTTAAAACCCCCAGGCATGGGGTACCCTCAAACAAAGACACAGACTCACTTGCATTTACATGGAAGGATGAAGAAAGGCGATTCCACAATGGGCAGCACGGAAAGTGGCAACCCAAACCCAAATCTCCAATGGGTTTGCACAAAGCGCATCCTGTGCTTCTTTGATTTTCCAGAAAAAAAAAAAAAAGAAAAAACAGCTTCCCCGACAAAAAACAAATACCCGACAGCTAGTTCTTCAGCGTAAGCCCATTTTGGCTGCGGAGTTCCGGAGTCAAACCCATCCAAACCACCAACTCGTTGGGGTAAAACCCGTGAAATCGAAACCACCAATTGGGAGTTCCCAGCAACTGACTGCTCAAGCCTTCCGATCTGATTTGGCGGTTTGGAGGTGTGGGGCTCAATTCCACCGGAGAAAATCGGAACCCCAAAGCTCTTTCCCCGGAAAAAGAACAAAACACGGCTGGGTGAAGGGTCACAAACAAAACTCCGACATATGTCGGCGATTTTAGATGTGGGGCCTATGGGACTATGGGACTTGGGCGCTTCCAGGATAGGAGACCCATTCTTATGTTAATTTGGACAAAGCGATCTGCATTCTTCCAAATCCGGACGGTATGTGAGCGAAACCACGTCTCATGCTCTTACCACCAAGCAAAAACCGTGAATCGAACCAGAGACGCAAGCAAATAAACAAATAGGCGACCAAACTCTGCAACAACCTGCTTGGCGGTTGTTATTTGCACCGTGTGGAGATTCAAGATAAAGCAGTGACTCCCCCCCAAAAAAGAGTCCTTTTGCTGAAGCCCCTGAAAACAAATTCAATGTGAAATCGTTTCACTTTAAAACCAACATAGAAACCAACAAATACTCATTTCAGCAAATGGAAAACAAGGGATGGTGTTTCAACGGGTCTCCCCGGCCTCATGCTCGGTGATGTACAGAATGGCGTCCTCATCCCTCATCTCCTACGAGGCTCCAAAGCAAGAACGTGTGCCATGCTTAAGACTCCGTTTCTTTGGCCTACGGTCATGCCTCCCTAGTATATGATGGTTGCCTCTTACGGACCCTTGCTACTAGGTGGATGACCATGCCTGTTAACCCCAAGTGAAAGGGTCTTTTGACCGTTGCCATGCGATCAACACGCAGGGTATCATCGGCTTTGGGCAGCCCGCCATCGGTCTCTTTCGATTACACTTCCTCCCATAGCACCCGTGGGAGGGTAATATAGCCCGAATAATAGCGCACAATACAAAGTTCTGCTATTGGGGCGGAAGCAATCCACCCCATTCCAAGTATTTAGGCTCGCGCGGAGGGTGGCAGTTGGACCACCCCACAAGTCACAGGTCCTCTGGTATCAATTCGAGTTTGTGGCTTTTTAGAAAAAGTTCAAAGAGCCCCCCACGGGAAGCTAAGCTAACACCATCCTACCTTGACCCCTTTCAACCCCACCAAATCCAGCTTCAAAGGGTAACAAGTTGCCTAAAACATTAGAAAAGAAAAGAACACATAAATGATTAAAATATTTACGAGCAACAAGGGACCCTCTGAAATTACCTTTAAGAACAGCACGCAGGTCATCCCCTTTGTACCATCAGCCGCACAACGCGCACGTGTCAAAGACAACAGCTAAGCTCCAAGACCTGATTCCACCAAATCGCCAGAAAAGCAGAGCACACGCTGTCTAGGCCCGGGGGCCCGGTGTTTGACCCCCAGCCTTTTCTTTTTTGGACCAACCCCAAAACGCAAAGTGGAGGTGGAAAACACATGCGTGTGGTCGGAAACACAGGGCCCAAACCTACACACCCAGGAACGTTTTTTCTGAGCTGAGCTGTCCGTTTTCAGATCCCCCGCTAAATGTGACTCGCTCTTCGTGGGCTAAATGGAAAACCCCGCTCCAGACTCAAAAGCTAAGAAGCTAAGGGGATGGCTGGGAGCCAACAAGTTTTGAGTCCTTGACCCTCCATCATGGAAGTGGATGAGTGGCTTCCCCAAAAGGAAAGTAGACTTTCCAAAAACCCCTTGTCAGCCTCCGCTTGTTGGAGGCGGGTAAAACCCTCAGCTGCCGTCCCCAACCAGACTCGTGACAACCCCATGATTACGCTGGTGCCGGATTTCTGGGGTCACTCATTCGATGGCGATATGAATCCGCACACCTCTGCTGGGGTATATCAACCAGTCCCTCTCCCCTTGAAAAACAGCCGAGAGTGCCGCCTGAGGCCCTCCTCCCCCGGGGCCGCCGTGAAAAAACGGGTGTTTGCTGTTGACCCCTCTGCAAAGAATTTCAAAAAACCCAAGTGAGTTCAACCAAAAGGTTAACTCCCAAAGATCCGTCACCCACGAGCAACCGAGTAATTAAGTCGAAATTCAGGTTGCCCTGGCCACCACATGCAAAACCGAGGGTTGAAAAGCAGGCACCCAAAAAAAAAGCAAAAAAAAAAAAAAAACACCAAGGAAGATCCACCCCCTGCCCAAAACAGGGGGGGGGGTTGAACAGGAGACTGCAAGAAAACACCGGCCCAAGGGGACCGACCCTCCTGGGAGCGCTTGATGATGGAGTTCAAGGTGGCCTGCGCTACGAGGTTCAACATCTCCACCTGATCCGATCGACTCGGCGAAAAAACGGTGCCGTGCCGAAGCGGTGGCAATTCGGCTCGCTGACGTGGAGGGTTTGGTCACTGCCAGGTACCTTGTTTTAGCGCCAGGGGCTCAAATCCGGATCCAAGCCACCAATCCAATGCGGCTACCTGAGATAAGTACGAGGATTTGCGGATTCTTCGGCTTTCCCCCGTATGTTGGGTCTGCTGGGACTGTCGCAAAAATAGGGAAGCCCTGCAATGGTTATGTCCCTCTTGGGGTTCCCTTGAAAACCAAAGGGATGGTTTCTGCTAATTACAAAGGCTAGGGGCTCAAATGCAAACCCAAACCACCCAATCCAATTCACCAACCAAGGGTTGCCTGATGTTGCCTGACCATGTGTATATTGTGTCTTCCGGAAAGAAGACAAACACATATGTCTATCCTTTCCCTTTGAATCCAGGGGAGCGAGAAAACATATACTCGTAAGCAACTGGCATGTTTTTTGCTTCCTTGCTGCGGGGACCTTGGCCCCATCTGGGTGGGATCCCTTACAACTGGCGCAGTCTCTTGGGTATGGGTCAAAATGAAAGAACCAAAAAAACCACAGGCTATCCTTGGCAAGCCATTTTCCAAGCCATGTTGGGTACATATTTTTGACCCACAGCCTCTTGGTTCTTGTGCAAGCAGGGGGTCTTCAGCGCCGTTTTCAGACCCCAAGGGCCAGAGATCCAGGACAAAGAAACGTCCGGATCCAGGGCAACGTGGACAGGGAGGGGACATGTTCCGGTTCTTTGGGTAGAGCCTATGTCCTTAAAGCCTTTACTTGAATGTTCAAACCACGTCGGGTAAACATACGTGTTCACAAACATCTGTCACTCATGCTAACTCATAACCTACTGAACATAGGTGGCCTTTTGGAAAACTAGATGGCCCTGGTAAATGGAATAAACCCCCATCTAAACCAGATCCCTCTATTTTGTAAGCAAACCAACCAAAACGGACTCATAACCTACTGAATCACTTGGTTTAACCTCGAAGTTTGGGCAAGAGAGACCCTTGCTACCCCGATGCGTACCTCCATGGAATGTGTCAAAGGACCCTTTGTATAACACCTGTGGGTACGTCTTGGCCAGCCGCGCGCAAAGCAAAGGAAGCTTCTTCCAATCACATGCAGTCACCAGGCATATTTATGTTGCAGGCAGGTCGGACATGAAATGCGTGGGGTACCCCAAATATTGCATCAAGCACGGAAGTGCGCCGTCTCCCGTTTTCAGAGGAAACTCGTCTTCGAACAAGTAGTTTGTGCCGCAAACCATGATTGTTGGAGGGGGCAGTCCCTTGTTTGGTATTGGTGGGCCTTGCACGCAAAGGTTGTAAACATGGCAGGGGCCGGCGGCAACTTGATGCGGTGGTTTTCTACTCACTTAGTGGCTTGACCATCCAAGGAGTGAAAGTAGGCTCACTTGCCTAAAGAACCTGGAAACAACATGTTAACCTTGGGGGGTCTTTGACTCAAAATCTGATAGTGTGGTACGTGCCCATCATGCCTGGCTGCGAATCTCTCAATTGGGAAAACATGTCCGACAGCAGAATGCGCGGGGAAAACAAAGCAGGGCATTCTCAGAACGGAGCTATCAAACATCCAAACTCAACTCTTTGAAGTCTTCCACCACAGTTTCATCCGGATGAAATCGCACTGGAACTCGACTTAAGCTGCTGCCATATCTGCAGATGTAAACCTGATCGATCAAACCATCAAGCCATCCTCCTGATCCAGGTGCTACTTGAGTGTGGTTCCTTTTTTGGGGCCGGTACCAATTCTTGGGAACACTTGGGTCATTATTTCAACCGTTTCTAGTATCAAAATCAGAAACTGGTTGGTGATTTCCTTTTAACCTACCACTTGGGGGGACCTTGATCCTGTAGAATAACCTCCATTTGCTCGAAACACTGGGCTGCCCTCAGATCCCCCGCTAAAAGTTTAGCCTTCAGTGAGGAAGATGGACACTAGCACCAAACACTAAGGTTTCCAAAAGGCAAAGTTGAAGCGGATGGCCAACTCGGGAGCCACCAGAAACGCGTCACTCGCGCCCCGTGTCCGGCGCCTCCGCCTTGATGTCCCCCGCCGCGCGGGCCAGCGCCAGCGCCTCGTTGGCGCTCTTCACCGCCTACGAGGCGCCCGTAAGATGTCCATGCACACCTAGACCTAGGTCCAGTAAATAGTAAATTATCTCAATTGTTCAGTGACCAAAACCTGCGGTTTGCCCCCTGTTTAATTTTGAGCCACACCCATCTCAGCAATTGAAAGTTTTGGAGCTCATGCGATCTCAATTGCACTGACCCTGGGAAAAAAATAATTGGAACCCTTCTTGGGGAAGACCACTTTAGTGGGGCAGCCACCCAAGAAGGGAAAAAGAGACTCGGTGCCACAACTGAGAATTCAATCCAAACCAACCAACTTGTTGGGGTAAACCCCACGAAGTCGAAACCCAGGATCGAGTTCCCAGCACCTGACTGCTCAAGCCTTGCTCAAGCCTAGGTCCTCCAGAGAGCTTAGAATAAGTGGGTACTTGATTTTTTCTCTGGACGTCTATTTTCGTAGGGACCGGAACCCTCCCAACCAAAAAAGGGGTACGGTGAGAGGTCGGGCAGCGATCGATCGCTGGGGGGCCCAGCTCTGTGTTCCCCAAGCCCAAGACCCTTGCCTGGTGATTGTTGTGAGTTCCAAGTGGGTTTCCCCTAGATGTTCGCCCCGCCACCCCAACAAGCTTTCCCCAGGTTTAAGACATGCTGTTCTTAGCTGTTGAACCCGAAAGGGGTCCCTACCTCAGGTCCACCCATTTGGAACCTTGCAAGAACGCGGTGCTCGGGTTGGCCCTCAAACGACGGGCCACATAGCCGTGGGCACTTGGTGGCGATGTTGTTTGCTGGTTTGACAGGCAGGGAATGAAAAATGGAATGACCCCCCGGTTCCACCCATCGCCGAGTTGTCTTCCTCGGGCATCCCCAAACAGTTCATTCCCACTACCCGGACGCAGACATTCCCTACCTATCGCGCCAGCAAGTTTCGCCCGGATCCATTTCCACGGATCGTGCTTTGCTTGTACACAAAGCCCTTGGGTTTGGAAGCCGGATATGATCCCTTCCCGCTTTGATCGAGCAACTTTCCAAAGCCGACAGGACCGTGTCTGGCTTTTTACTGTTGACATGGTTTTAGGCACAGGTTCTACAAGGCGACCGCCTTTTGTTTGCAGATCCGTTTGGTGCTAGTGACTTGTTGGTGGCGTTGAGAACAACTAACTGGATCAAATAGGTCGAACTGGCAACAGAACTCACCGGTCACAAAGCGAAGCGGCCAGCGCCAACCATGCAGCCGCTGGGACTGAGTGCCGGATGGCGACATCGAGTTTCGACCAGGCTCTAAAATATTTCAAGCAGAATCATGTTGGAGGCTGCTTTGATTGCAACGGACAAATGCAGGTGCACAAACAGCATGTTGACTTGAGTCGTGTGTTTTAAGAACCTGTTGCTCAGGTTGCCCGTTGCTTTTTATCATCGCGCACTTTCGGTTTAGAATTGCACCAACAATAATTGTAAACAAACATAATTGCAGCAGCCGGATGGCAAGCGGGTGTGTGTGTGTGTGTGCGCGCGCACCTGCCTGAAATCCACAGATACCCCCTACAGCTTCCTAGAGCCGCCCTTTGGATTGCCATCGGAAAACAGGCACCTGCTGGGTTGGTCCGCTCCCCCCCCAAAAAAAACAAGGAAACGGCCGGAGTGGAGCTCTGAAGATGCCCCAAGGGTGTCCCCACAAGGGTTCAAGTCCCCTGTGCTTTGGGCCAAAAGTCAAGTCCGTTTGCGTAAGCCTACTTCAAGATTATAATAATAATAATAAAAATGATGAAATCGATTCCCTTTAAAAACAACAAGCAACAAATCACATCCTCAAGCAAATGGAAGATCAGCCCACCGCTTTGCTGGGACCAGGTTGGCTGGCGGATGTGTTGAACCAGTCACCAGCAGCGAACAGCGTGGGGCTGGGCACCTCCATCTCGCTGGAGTTGGCGACGAAGAGGGCCGTGCTCGTCCTGGCAAAGACAGACGTGGGGTTTTTGTGGCTAGCCTTTTTCACGTTTGTTTCGAGGGAAAGGAAAAGGATTAAGGAGGACCCAACTCAAGGAGGGCCTAACTTCAGGAGATCCAACTGCCCCCAACCCCTGACCTCCCCTGATCCAAAGGTTCCAAAGAAGGATATGGGTATGGGTCAAAACTCAGCAAGCAGGAATCGGACCGCAGGTTTTAGTCCATGTTTTCATTTACCAGGGTTCCATTTTGGGTACCGATTTATGGACCCACAGCCAGGTGCGTGTTTTGTGGCTACCTTTTCACGTTGGTTTCGAGGGAAAGCAAAAAGGAGGTACCAAATCCCTTTCAACCATCAAACGCATCAACAAGGATACCTGCACCTTTCGCATAACTCTGCGAGTTGACTTATCGTCAACGGGAATGGGCATGGCAACCCCGCATGCACCAACGACTCGCTCACAAACAAACCCGCTTCCAGGCTTTCGAGTCCACGTCAACTCCGCGCCGATTCGATTTTTCGGATGAACCGGACTGGCCCCTAGTGTTCACCCCGGATTAAGCAGAACCCCTGGTTGATTAATAGGGGGGTGTCCAATTCCTTTTAGTGGGGATTCATCACTTTTGGAGGGAACACCCCCCTAATAATGTGACGGGTCTATTAATCCTGGGTCAACATTAACCTTCGACTTCCGGATCTTGAACTTTGGCTCCTTCGCACTTACCGCACATCCGAAGTGTGACACCTCGACCCAAGGTTCTGTCCAACGGATCGACACCTTCCCGATACCCTCGTCTGGCTACGAATCTCAGGTGGCAACCACCAGCTCCAACCCCAAGTTGCTGAACATGAATCCCCGTCAAGCCAGACGCTCCAATTCGATTGATCTTGGGCCTTACGGCCAGGTTTTGAGACCCACCCCAAAAACTTGCCCCTTAAAACTCCAAGCCCTGGGGAAGTTAATCTTTTACATACATATAGCCCATGTTACCCAAAAAGTTGAAAATTTGTGTTTTTAAGAGGTAAGAAAAGGGGTGTCCAATCGAGGGTCTGGGTCTTCCATTGGGTCTTCCGATGCCGATCGGAGCGTCTGGGTAATGAAAAACCCGGCCCCAGGGCTCCGGGACCCAAGCGCTTCGATTCGACCGCAAAGCACCGAATCGAATCCAGGGCTCCCGGCTTCATGGCATAGGCCTGCCAGCGCTCCACGGGTCGTCAGTTGCTTGGGAGTTGGTACCCGGTTGCTTTTGGGGGGGAGGGCTTTAAGGGGAAAACACCGGACACCAAACTTTTTTTGGGCCCGCTGTTTTGAAAAGGGCTTCAAAAGGGAAACAACAATTTTGGGGTCCCCCCTTTTTTTCCCGACAAACCCTTGAGAAGCTAAAAGGGAAGGCAGTATCAAACGCCAGATCTCTCTGTTTGACTTGCTGGGCACGTTCCGATTTTCAGGAAATGTTGCTTGGTCTGGTACCTTCCTAGATTGAGATTTTCATTCCAGGGGTGTACATGGTACCCCTTTTGCATACCCAAGAAGGGGCAAATGAACCCAAAAGGCCTGAGTTGTTCATACTCCTCTCCCCAAAAGGGGTATATACCCCTTTTCAAGTTGGTTGGACACCAGGGAAGTCAAGGGGTATGAAGAAGGGGATTCTACTTCCAATCATTCAGCCAGCTGGGAACTCGCTATGTTCCCTTGAAACACCATGGCAAATGGGGTCCAACATTCCGAGACCTCAGAAAACGCGGCTTCCTTTCGGGGCTGCAAGCAACATCCCCTTTAGCGCAGAAAAAAAAAAAAACGGCTTGTCCTGTTTGGTCGTCGAGGGGAAGCCACTTTTGCAAGTCTCACTTGAGTGGATGGGCACAAAAAAGCTCAAACTGTCCGGGTTGCCACTAAATGGTCTGCCTCAAAAGTGTGCTAAAGTCCGCAAACTCAGGGAGAGAGCTCAAGTGAGCACTTCAGGAAGGCTTCATGAAGGCGAATTACCACATACTGTGGATGGACGAAATCCTGCACCACCCAAGAAATCCTAGCATGAGGATTATCCTGTAAATACCAACAAACAATGGTTTCCCATGGTTTCCAAGTGGTGTAGGATTTCGTCCATCCACAGTATGACATACCCCCCAAATGGTCTCACTTCTGCCGATTGCTCAGAAAAAGGTCTCAACGTGTCCGTCCACCAAAAAGCTTTTTTAGGGCATCTGTTTTGTTGTCGGCACTTATCTTTGCTGGTACTTCTCTGGGGGTTGATCAAAGGTTTACATGGGATGACCGTCGGTTGGAAAGCCACCAAGACGATGTTTCAACCACACGGGCTAGGTTACTCTTGAGGGGCCCTAAATGGAATATTGATCAAACCCCACCTTTGTTGCTTGTCTTTGTTGGCACCTATCTTTGTTGGTACTTATCCTTGCTTGCGACCATGTTCTGTAGGTTCAGAACGCCCTCCACAAGAACCAGGGAATCGAATCCAAATCCAACACAAACCCAAACCACCAGTGAGGAGGAACCTAAAGATTGATCACTCCCCATCTCTTTGTTTCCTTTTAGCTTTTATACCGCATCCACCGTTTTGCTTTTTTCTTATCCGTTTTGTTCAGACTTAGTTCAGCTTCCTTCCAATTGGCTTGGATTGGTGGTTGGTGGTGAAAGGGGGAGCTTCCCATCTACCCTCTACAAGAAACCAGGAAATGGTTCAAATCCCAAACCACCAATCTCCAAACCGCCAACTACACGGTTACCAACGAGGTTTTGCAGCAGTGAAATCGATTCTCTTCAAAACCAGCAAAGGAAAATCACAACAATACGCATTTCAGCAAAAGGAAGTGTTCCACCCTTTCTCTTCAGACTTGTTCATTTTTCTCTTCGCCCCCGCCCTGAAACGCTTCCATTTGCTTAAGCCCCCTGCAAAAAACAAATCCAGTAGTGAAATCGATTCCTTTTGAAAACCAAGAGGGGGAAAAAACACACAACATATTCATTTCAGCAAATGGAAGTGAGGCTTGGCCCCTCATCCGCTCGCTCCCATCTCTCGCGCGCCTGGGAGCGCTTGTCGCCGGCCTGCTGGTAGAGCGTCTGGGTGCTGCGGCAGGCCCTCAGCGCCTCATCCTGGCGCTTCGGTTCCGGAGCGACATCCACCGACCCAAAGCGGGCGTCGTCGTCGCAGTTCGCCCGCGAGAGAAAAACAAAAAAACCTGGATCTTCGTCCTCCTGAAAAAAAAACGTAGTTTCCGCCTTTGACTGGATATTCGGGAAATCGTAGCACTTTTTGCCGCAAAAACCTGAAACTCCTAAAACTCCTAAAAACCACACTATTGCAATGCTCGCGGCCTTTGACAGGTTAAAAGAAGCTTTGCAGGGCAAACGACTTAAAGCAGCCCGAAAGTTTGTCAACACATGCAACGGCGGTCCAAAGTTGTGCAGTGCAGAAAAACGTACCCATTTTGACCGCAAAACGCCCGCAAATTTCCGCAAATCTCCCGCAAAAACCCGCAAACTCCCGCAAATCAGAAAAAGTCGTAGTTTTGATGATCAAGGCATCCCATGCGGTTCACTGGCACGTTGGCAAGTGCTGCGAGGTGAATTTACTTTGTATGGCCAATGCACGACTGGAAACGACGCAATTCGTATGTGTTTTTGCCCAAATTGTAGCTAAACCACTGGAATTCGGTAAATCGTAGGGGTCTCCTGAAACACCCAGAAATTTCCCGGAGTTTGAAGGTCCAGGAAGGCTTAAAACAATATATAAATAGCAACGGAAGATGAGTGGAGTGGCCCAACGAAAGAAGAAGAAGAAAAAAACAAGCCCCTGGACTTGTTGGTTTTTACTGAAATGTGTTTGTTCTTGTTTTTGTTTTGGAGAGAGAAAAACAATAAGAGGTCCAGCAAGTGCCTGGCCTGGACTTGTGGGCTCTCACTGAAATTCTTATTTCTGCCTGAGAAAAACGAAAGAGGTCCATGAACTCAGGGAGAGTAATGGAACACCTAATCCCAATCCCAATATGGGAACCATTGGTCTATTGTCCAATGATCGGGTTTCAGAGATTCTGACAATATCTCTGGAGTCCCCCCCTCCCGACTAGGGATCGAGTTTCCCTCAGCTTTGGCAAAGGAAGAGAAGAGGACCCAGTATTTACCTCCTGGGCAGCCCTGCTGTCAACTCCTTTGAATTACAATACACAAAGGCACCCTTTAACCCCTTTGACTTACAACCCCGTTCAGTGGTACGTTATGTGAACCTGTGTAAATGGTGCGCAAGACTCAAAGGCCGCTCAGGCCGTGTGCGGCCTGGGGGGTCTTTACAAACCTTTCTGGCCGCGTCCCGTCTTTCCTGAAATGGACAACCTGAGTACAAATATCCGACTAAATGCCCAAACCAATTCTAATCCCTCTCTTTTTTTCTGGAATCATACGTCACTTGTTCCCTCAGCCTGCGGTATATCTCTATATAAATATCTTATATATATATAGATATACATATATATATATATACATTATGTATATATATATACACATATATAATATTTTTATATGCTGTGTATCACATATACTAACGTGCCGAGTCGTTGGCTTCTCAGCCCACTTACGATCGCCTTCTTCGGCTCGCTCCCATGTTCCTTCAGGCTCGATACGTCCTCGTCCCCTTCGGCTCTTGGCGTCTGAAGATCGTAAGTGACCTTTTGGAAGAAAAATACTGTGGATGGTTGCGCAATCCATTTCGCACCACCTAAAAAACCATGGGAAGGAAGCCATTGTTTGTTGCGGTATTTACAGGGGAATCATTCATTCCAAGGTTTCTCAGGTGGTGCAGGATTTTGTCCATCCACAGCAGCGATGGGTTTCCTTCAGGTACATGGAACAAGACCAATCTGACCCAGCGGAACCCATCCATGTTTGACCAAACTAACCCAAAAAACAGATCCGGGTCCATATTTAGTCTCTGGGAAAATCTGTTCTAAGGAGACCCCGGTGTTGTTGTTCAGTGACCCTGGAAAAAAGGGAACCCTTTTTGGGGAAGATCGTTTTTAGTGGGGCAGCCACTAAAAAACGAAAAGGGTGCCACTGAACAACTGAGCCGGTGTTGTTGTTCTAGCCACTAAGGACGGCGATGAGATCGTGTGCTCCTTGTAACGGTGATCAACCCGGTCCCCACCCTGTCCACCTCCCCGCCCCCAAAAAAGACTTCCAAAAAGCCTTCCTTCGGAAGTCTTTAACGCAGGCCCGTACCCCCAGTGAACATCCCAATCCAACGACTAAAATGGGTGGTGCACATAGCCCAAAATGGTACCATTGGTTTTCGCCCACGGCCATATGTCCCCTTTAAGAATCACCTTACAGGGTACGCAAGTTGATTTGGCGAGTTGGCTTCTTGGTGATGTTAGAGATTGCTTGCGACTTGCCCCAAACAAAGTGGAATCCAGGGTGATTGAGAAAGATTGGCGTATGGCCCCAAAGCAAATACCATTGGCAAACGGGGCAAACAGAAGCACACATCAGTCCCTGTGATTCCAGGTTCAAAAGCAGGTAACCAGATAGTCTTGCCTCTTAGTTCTACCATGGATGGTTGTCTATGGTTCCCTGCAGTGGGAACTAAAAGCAGGAATCATTTTTGAGGATACTCTTCTGGTTTTGCTAAAGGACGCCAAAAGGACACCAACACCATTTTTGGGTGTTCAAGGAAGTTAAAAGGAAACCACCCCCACCCCCGACCCACCCCCCCCCCCCCCGGACCCCCCGGTTTTTGAGCCATTCCCCGGCTAACGAAGGCCGGCCGGACCCGGTCGCCCTGGCTCTTGCGGATCTCCCCCACCACGCTCCAGCTCATCCCCTGCGAACGAGTGATATGACCAGCTCTCACTTTTGGACCCCACCTAGGTCCTCCAGATTTGAGAGGTTAGAATAAGGATACTCTTTTTCTGTTATTTTTGGTAGGGGTTTTGCCTCCCCAAAAAAAGTGGGTGAAAGGGCACTACTGGGGGACCTAGCCACCAAAAGGGAGAGGGGGGGGAGAGGGGGAGGGAGGGAGGGAGGGCTTGAGTGCTTCTTTGGACATCCCTTCTTGACCAACCTGGAGGGGCTATTCCTTGCGCATACAAGACCGTGCCTGTGTGGCCTTCCGAATCCCTGGGTTCATTCCCACATACTGAGCACTACCTGATGTTCGGGACCCGGTCCCTTTCTAGGCCCTCCAGTAGAGAGGTTAGAATAAGCCGATGATTTTTCTGTAGTCTCTTTTAGTAGGGGGTTTCCCTCCCAACCAAAAAAGAACCGGGTGAGAAAGGGCACCAATTGCTGGGGGACCTAGGAATGGTCTTCCCAAAAAGTGACTCAAGTCCAGAGACTCCTATGGAACCTTCGGGACCCGTTCCCTTAAAAAAATGGTCCCAACCAGGACCCCCTGAATGTCGAACGGTTCCTGTGACAAGGCGGCGGGGGAGTTTGCTGACCAGGAGCTCCGAATTGCAACCAGCGAGTTAGCCTCCGCCTCCCGCCAATTAACCGAACCGCGGACGGACAAACGGGGCTCGCTTTGAAGGAAGCTCGGTTCCTTGCTCAGGAGGTTGGGAGGCTAGATGCTCCATATGTCGTGAAATCATTTTGAAGATGCCATGAGACAAACGAATCTCTGTTTTTTTTTTTTTTTTTTTTTTTTTTTTTTTTTTTTTTTTTTTTTTTTTTTTTTTTCCGGGGTTGGTACCAAATTGTTTGTCGTCTTTAAAGGGATACCAGAAGGGAAACCACAATTATTATCATTATCATTATCATTACTGTCTTTACAACAATCATATAATTAGCTATTATTGTTTGTTGTTTTTGTTTTTGTTGTTGTTGTTGTTGTTGTTGTTGTTGTTGTTGTTGTTGTTGTTGTTGTTGTCGTCGTCGTCGTCGTCGTCGTCGTCGTCGTCGTCGTCGTCGTCGTCGTCGTTCTCGTCGTCGTCGTCGTCGTCGTCGTCGTCGTCGTCGTCGTCGTCGTTCGTCGTGTTGCGTTGTTGTTGTTGTTGTTGTTGTTGTTGTTGTTGTTGTTGTTGTTGTTGTTGTTGTTGTTGTTGTTGTTGTTGTTGTTGTTGTTGTTGTTGTTGTTGTTGTTGTTGTTGTTGTTGTTGTTGTTGTTGTTGTTGTTGTTGTTGTTGTTGTTGTTGTTGTTGTTGTTGTTGTTGTTGTTGTTGTTGTTGTTGTTGTTGTTGTTGTTGTTGTTGTTGTTGTTGTTGTTGTTGTTGTTGTTGTTGTTGTTGTTGTTGTTGTTGTTGTTGTTGTTGTTGTTGTTGTTGTTGTTGTTGTTGTTGTTGTTGTTGTTGTTTTTTTGGGGGGGGTCCAAGAAGAAAGACACACCCAAAAGGTCCAGACGGGTGTGGTTGTCAAAGATGAGGACAAAATATTGGGTCCACTTCCGGTACTCAGATCCAAACCGTTTTTCTGGAATGCCGGGGTTCAAGCTCATTTATGGAGCCTGGGTCCAAGACCATCTCTGGGTGTCTATTTCCACGCCTGTCCAAAAATGGAGGGACTCCGGTTTTGGGATGGTCCTATAAAACCATGCAAAGCATATGCAACCAAGTGTTGGGTCGCCTAAGTTCACAGAGAACAACTATTTTAGAAGAAGCACAGGGACAAGGCTGCCCCGGACTGCCCGGAAACCCATGCATCATCTGATGCTCTCATGTACTAGTTCCTCCAGTAGAGGTTAGAATAAGAGTACCCTTTTGGTTTCTTCTTCTTTTTCTGTAGTTTATTCTATTAGGGGAACCCTCCCCCAAAAAAGGGTGAGAAAGGGCACCTAGCTGGGGGACCTAGTCCATGTGCTATTGGTTGGATGACCGTCCAGCTAGCGACAGGGAAGCGACGGCTTGTTGCTGCCAAAACCAGTGTCACCGGAATATAGTTCCTCGCCGAGAGGAAAGCGATTTGTTCAGTTCGGATTGCCGAGGACCAGTCCGAGGAATAAAATAGGATTGCAATCCCAACCTCTAAAAGATGGCTCGAAACCACTTCTGAAACTGGGCTGCCCTCAGATCCCGCGCTAAAAGCTTAACCTTCTAGTGGGTTGCATGGAAACTACCACTAAACACCAAAAAGCTAAAAGGCTAAGGAACCGGATGGCTGCGAGTCCGGACTCATCCGAAGTGAACAAAGGCACCGGGATCAGTTTTTCGTGCCGGAGTGGGCGAAGTCCGATCCTGATGGCTTCTCAAAGCAACCGAAGGAACGGGCCCCCACTTTTCTAAGGGTAGCTTCCAATTCCATTCTTTCCAGGGATCCGAGTCTTTTCAGGAAACCACCAAAAACCCCGGGAAAACAGATCTGGCTTTTGAAAAGAACGATAGTTGAAAAGAATTGAAAAGGAATTAACCCCTAGAATCAAGGATTTTGGAAAAGGAATCTCGACAGGTTGAGCAAAGGCTCTTACCTCCGCCTGCACGTTGCCTCAAGGGAATCACCCCCTGGAATAATAGTGAAGCAAGAACTTTAAGGAGAACCAGCCAACTCAAAGCCCTTTCTGGCCGAGGATCAGCGGTTTTTCCAGGATCGAGTCATCTGCAAGATCTCACTGCACAGGAATTAAACACAGCGAGTATTCATTGCGCCAGATTTGGCGCCCGATGGCCGCTAGCTGCAAAACGGTAGAGCATATCGAGTCACAATCAAAACCGGGAAACAGTTCGGCACCCAAAACCAGGCTTCAAGAATGAGGGCAGATATCTGCACCTAGCGTTGGACTGCTTTCTAACCCGCGCTTCGGGCCTTGACTGTGGCCGTCATTTCTCGCAGCCCGCGGAGAAAAAAAATGCACTGGCCAAGACCTGCGCCGCCAAATAAACGGCGCACCGGTTGAAGAGCTGGCGCCTTTCTTCCAGACTTGGGGGGGTTGATCAAAACTCGGTTGCTTTCTGCTCCCCTGCTAAAAGTTTTTAACTTTTGGTGGTTTAGTAAAAAACCCATTAGTTGGCAAAAAGTTAAAGTCCTAACAGCCAAGCAAAATGCACCAAAGAAAAGGTCCGATGAACATAGGATGACCATTGGGGAAACCACCAAAAAGATGATATTTCAACCACCAAATGTGAAGAGTTCGTGGTCACTTGGCCTTGGAATATTGATCAACCCCCATTTCTCGGGCTAAAGTCAAAACTCGGGAAGTCGAGCTGCAACTTCCCACGTGACTAAAGCAAAGACGCAAAAAAGACGAGTCCGCAAGAATCCGTCCGCATCGCGCCGCATGCGTCCAAAAGCCGGGGATGCAGCTCCATCAGTGCTACACCAAAACTAAAACTCAGATCCCATCGAGTGGACTGGCCAGGAAAGCGGTCCTCCAACGGTTTTCTAGGGGCTGATTCCTGTTCCATCCTTTTCAACCATCGTTCTTTTCGAAAACCCGATTTGTTCCCTGGGTTTTTGATGGTTTCCTGAAAAGACTCGGATCCCTGGCAAGAATGGAATTGGAAGCTACCCCTAGATGGTTGCCACTATGGTCCAGACCCCAAAAAGTTGAAGTCCATGAACTCAGGAAGTCAGAAAAACGGGCACACGGTTTCACCTCCTGAGCAAAGTGAGAAAAAAAAGAAGAAAAAAACTGGTCGCTGGCCGCTACGGAGTCCAAGCCCAAAAAGTGACTCTAAGGTTCAAGAACTCAGAAAGTGAGTTGTAGGCATAGGTGTCCTTTTGGAAAAATGAATGGTCCTGGTAAACGGAATAACACATATCTAAACCAGTGCCTTCTAATTTTAACCAAACTGACCTAAAAAGAACACCTATCGTTGGCAACTGATTCCCATGACTCAAACAGGACCCTGGATGCTGTCGCCCCTACCGCTGCCAAAAGCCAAAGCCCACTGCTGCAACACCGGCACCTTGCTCAGGGTGCCGGAAGGATGCATCCAAAGGCCGCCTGCTTTAGGAGCCGGATCCTCTAGGTCCTCCAGCAGAGAGCTTGGAATAAGGGTGCCAACTTCTTTTCTGGACGTCTATTTTACTAGGAATCGGAACCCTCCCAACCAAAAAAGAAACGGTAAAAATGCGCACCTAGCTGGACCTAGCTTAGGAGCCGGATCCTCTATGGTGACTTGTTAACTGGAAATCCTTTAAGCACCCCGCGGCACGAGCTGTCGCAGTAAAGCAAGTCACCTAGACTTGACACGTGCCACGGCAGGACTCAGTCAAACAAGTGAGAACTAATGTTGACCCCATAATATTAAACAACACTAAACCCAGGGACACCCCCATATGAACAAACTGGGGTTGATGAATATGGGGTCAACATTAACTTAAACGTTGCGGCTGAGTACGCCAAAGAATTCCTATCCTGAGCGTCCTGGTTGCTTCAGGCCGCCCCCACACAAGGCCCCACAAATTGGTTTCCTGTTGCTTTTCTTTAAAGCAACCCGACGATGGTGCCAAAAAACGCACACACACACACACACACACACGCCTGGGTTCTTTCAGCTGGGGCAAGTGGGTACCTGTCCATGAGCCCAAGACCACGGATACGGTGGAAAAAACCCGATTGAGCTCAGGATAGGTGCAGTTGGCCGGCCAATTGACTGTCCGACGTTTGCCGGGTGAAACTTCAACACGCGCCGCGGTCGAAGCAAGCTGAAACCTGCGCCGCAGCTCTCAGCCTTACAGCTCTGAGTCCCGGGCCCATTCATGGCAAGCTCGGAAACTCTGACCTCGGTCCTCCAGATTTGAGAGGTGAGAATCAGTTGGTACCAACTTTTCTCTGGACGTCTATTTTAGTAGAAAAACCCTCCCAACCCAAAAGGGGTGAGAGGTCGGGCACCTAGCTGGGGGACCTAGCCCGACCATCTGCAGACTACGTGGACATCGAGGATTCTCATCGATGAGCAAAAAATGCGCGAAGGCTCCGCACTCAATGCAAGAGACCCCCCGCGCAGCAGCAAAATCGTCCTGCCACAAAGCTTAAAGTCCAGAAACTCAGGGAGTAAGTTGGGGATCAATCAGGGATCCCGAGTTGCGAACATACAAAACACCACATTTGGCATAAACCACTTCTGGGCCCCTACAATGGAGGCCGAACAAGACAGAACAAGACTGCACAGTGGGATTTGTTTTGCTTACAACCAGCTGGAAATGGATATGCATGGACTGAACGAACTGAATGGCAGCATCGGAGTAACAGTCGATGCAGCTTCACTCCAGGCGCACTTTCTTTCACCTGCTGCCAAACCGTGCCTGCCACTCTTCCGCATTGTAGGCATACACGCGCTTGACTTTGAATGTTCCTTTGGCTGGAACGCATTGGACTGATTCCTCCATCGGATCCTCAATGGCGGAGACCACAGCGTCCATTTCCGCCAAGCTGTGCCCGCATCCTTTACCAGCGCTAGCTGCGCTTCCCATGAGCGAGCTGACCGATCGCCGATCCGGAAAGTTTCGCTCGGCCAATTCGAAAGGCTTGGGCCAGAAGACCTGTGCGGAAAAAAGCGAACTGGGAGCAAAAGCCTTCGTGTTTGCGAGCCCCTTCTAACTAAGCGTGCCCGGCTGGAAGCCAAGTGAGCATGGGTAGGTCATCTCCAGATTTGAGAGGTTAGAATAAGTTGGTACCCGATTTTATTTTTTTTTCTGGACGTCTGTTTAGTAGGGGGTTTCCCTCCCAGCCCAAAAAAAAGGACTAAGGGTGAGAAAGGTTGCACCGATCGCTGGACCTAGATGTTGGAACCACCGTGGCGCAAAGAAGCCGCTGAGCTTGCAGCATCCAAGACGACCAGCGAAAATCGGGGATCGCAACTGCCTGACCCACCATCCCCGTGAAGTTGAATAAGGTCAACTTCAAAACGCGAACACCTCTGATAGGTAGCATTTTGGGAAAAATGGCCATGGTACATGGAAGAAAGCTCATCTAAACCAGTGCCATCTATTTTTAACTAAACTAACCTAAAAAGCAAGGGCACCTATGCCCCTCATTAGAATGGTCCTCCGGTCAGAGCCACCGGCGAACAGAACTTTTTCCGAGCCGCCAAAAGCAAACACAGCCAATCATAGTTGAACAGAATGGAGAATGAATCTATAACTGCAAAATGCTTGTGGATGCTTGTTGGGAATGCGTTCGCGCAGTTCATGCTGGCATCTGCCCAACAATAGCATGGAGTGGCAGGTCTACTCGGGTCATGTTCTGCACCAGGACTTGGTTGCCCGGTGTGAGCTGTAAATTGTTTAAGCTTTGCCTGGAAAGAGTTGGATAACTTACCCGTAGAGTTCACATGTTTCACCTGTAACATTGATCTGGGTCACTCCAGATACTCACCGGCTGAGTGGATGGCCCAAATAAAGTCCAAACTTTTTGTTTACCACTAAAATGGTCCAACCCCAAAAAGTCCAAAAAGTTCATGAACTCAGGAAGTGAGGATATGCCTCCCAACTCTCTTTTAGGCTCAACCAAAACCGCGACTCGCACAAACCTTCAAGGCCTGTGGGGTGACACTGGGTGTCCATCTTACTTTGGGACCTGGTGGGGGAAATCCATGATGAACCAGGCAAGATGGGTCATCAATATGAGCGCCGTTTTTGTCACTTGCAGTTTGGCGAATGAATATCTTTTAGGTGCGAAAAGTATGTCCACCAGCCGCTTTAGAAGGGGTCGGGACCCCGAAAAGACATCACCGCAGCTCCTTTGAACATGCCCAGAAGCGAAATCCAACCTGGTGCAACAGCTTGACTTTCGGAAAACCCTAAGGCGGTGAAAGAGGGAAGCCAAGTTCCTCACTTTATGAACATGGAACACAAACGGATTCCATTTATCTGGGCTCCACTAAAAGTCAGTCTAACTTTTACTGAGAATCAACATTCGGGAAATCCAACCAAACAACTCAACTCAAACCGGGTTGGCCGGTCGAAATCAAAAAACACCCAAGTTTTATGAGGGCCACAAGTTGGGGGATTTTCCACGAGCCAACTCGACCCGGGCGTTGGCATGCCCTTCTTGTCCCCGCGCCTCGCCCTTCTTGTCCCCGAGCTGCTGAAATACCGCCTGGCGGCGTTCCGATTTTTTTTTCAACTTTTGGGTATGGCTCTTGGTGCATGGCTCCAAAGTCAACTTCATGGTTGGGAAGTTGAAGGGAGGTTTCTGGGAGGTTGAAGGGAACTTTGATGGTTTTTGGATGGTTCTCGGAGTAGGGCCGTGAAATAGAAACAAACGAAAACAGCTCCACATCTAGAGCAAAATGGGAGAGGGGCCCCGACATAGAATTTGTCCCATGTCTTTCCTTTTTCTAACCCAGCACACAAAGGGTGGCCTCAAAGAATTGGACACACCCACTCTGGAGGACACTGAGGACTAGTGACCACTGGGCTTCCATTTGCTTAAAGTCACTTTTTTGAAAAGACAACATATGTCCAGTAGTGATGGCTGGCCTTGAAAACAAACAGGACAAAAATGACAGGAACGGGGGCAATCTGAGTGAAAGTCAAAGTTGAATCCCCCCCTCTTTTGTGACGTCGCTAATGAACTGCATTGGGCTCTCGTCTCTTTTCAGGGCCTAGAGATGTAATCGCCCTAATCTTCTCTTCCGCCTTGGGCGACATCACCGATTCTTCGGTATGCCGTTTGAGCAGGGAGTCTTCGGCAAAGCACAAACAACTAGGTCCTCCAGTAGAGAGGTTAGAATACGGGTACCCTTTTTTCTGTAGTCTATTTTCGTAGGCGAACCCTCCCCCCAAAAAGGCGTGAGAAAGGGCACTGGGCGTCGACAACGCATCGTCACTCCAACATGCCACACTCTGCAAAATGCAAACCCCGTCACAGGGTCAATGCCATACGGGTTTCTGGAAGGCCTACGCATTCGAAAAGACCTCACCATCTAGGACTCAGACCTGAACACGAAGATTCCGGAGCACGTCCGAAGAAGAAAAAAAAACAGAAGAAACAAAAAGATACATTTTTTGTTAGGAAAAAAACCAGAAGACAACAAAGAGGAAGTCCCGAACAAAAGCAGGGTGCTTTCAATGGCTTTCAAGCCAGCCAAAGGTTTTTCCCGGATCAAGAGAAACTTGAGTGGCGAGCTGCTCTGGTGGGGAGATCCCGCCAGAGCGGTATGCAACTTGAAGGTGTCTTCTAAGCTCTTGAGTGCGGTGCTTTGCCTGGCAAAATGGGATTTCTGGGCACCGGTTTCAGGACTGTCCCGGGACTCCCGCGACACCGGACGGGTTCCGGGACCGGTCCCAAACGAGCTGGCTTGACCAGTCCCACCAGTCCAGGATCCTTTTTCCCAGCAGGATTAATTCGCCCGCGGCAGGCGGAAGCTTGTAAATGTACATAGAACCCAAACAAATGAAAAACCAGATGCACAGGCAAGCTAACTTTGAGAGACAACAAAAAGCAGCAAGAACCGGCGCGAACTTGGCGATCGCTTTTCTTTGGGGCTAGGCCCCCTAGGTCTAGGTCTTGCGTTGAAGCTTACGCTTGCATGTGATTTGACATTTTGGCTGGAGGGGCAAACAACACCCCACAGTGAGGCGTTCTGTGCTTTGGGCAGCCAAAGTAAGAGCACAAAGGCCAGGACGAGGAAAACGGAAAGATACGGAAAGACTTTCCAGCCACTCGGAGCCCCCAAGTTCGGGACATCTCATTTTCATTGGAAAACCAACTCTGAGACCCTCGGCGCCACGCCGAAATCGCCCAGCCCCCGCCTGCGCTTCTTGCGCCAAGCGCAGGGCGCTCTCGAAGTTGCCTCGCGCCAGGGCCGTGGTGTCTTCGCGTCTTTGAGGCGTTTGCCGCGGTCACCCCCAGAGGGTTCTTGGCCCCGGAACACGGAAAAAGTGGGTCACCCCCGGCAAAAAAGGGTCACCCCGGGAAAAAACAAGGGGCATCACAACCAGCACCCTCCGACTACCGTCCGTCTATTTTTTTCTTCGGAACTACCGGGTATTTGGCAGTACTTCCAAAAACAAACTAAAAGACAGTAGATCCCCTATCTACGGTCGTTTCACGTTGTCCCAAACAGTAAAAAGACAAGCCCACGGGGTGACACGGAGTGACACGCAGGCGACACGGGGTTACACGCAAGCGACACGGGGCGACACGGAGTGACACGCTAAAACTAATTACTGCATGTTGTTTGCAGCGATCTACTGTTGTTCTAGCATACTGACACGGGGGCAACACGGGGGCGACACAGAGGCGACACGGGGTGACACGCAGGTGACACCGGGCGACACGGGGTGACACACAGGTGACACGGGGTGACACACAGGTGACACGGGGTGAAGGCGCTTGCTGCACTTGCTGCCGCCCCTTGATTGCTACCACTCCTGCTATGGCATCTCCCCGTTGTAAGCAGTAGCTAGCAGTAGTTAGACTATGGGCATCTCGCAAATAAAATAATTGACAGTAGTTTTTCTAACTACGGTCGTTTTTGGGAAATGTCTATCTACTGCCCCCTGGGCAGTAGTTGGAGGGTGCTGGCAGCGGAAAAAAACAAAGATATTTTGGTTTTGCCGGGTGAGTGGAAAACAAAGCGCACCCGCAAAAAAAAAGAGAAAAAACAAAAAGCACATTCGGCTTGCCATTGGTTGGTGGTTTGGATTGGTGGTTTGACCCCTGGTCGTAGAGGGTACATGGGAAAACGATATTTGTTTTGCCTGGTTCGCGGAAAACAAAGAAGGAAGACTCCAAAAAAAAACAAGCCAAAACCGGGCTTTGTGAATTCTGGGGCTGTGGGTCAATCCAAAATGGGTTGCCCTTGATGATTCACTCTGAAAGGTCTCATCTTGGACACTTGGAGAAGGTCGGGGTGGTAGTGGGAAGCAACGGGGAAAACCACACAAGACAGGCTGACGTGACTTGTCCTTCAGCGAAAGGAACTCATGGAAAGTATCTGGGGCAAGCTTTAGGGCTCCAGAAAAGAATTCACCGGTTTGAGGTCTTTGACTGGCAGATGGGATGGCTGGATTCAGAATGGTGCCGTGTCCCCAATAAACATCACCCCCCCAAAAAAGGAACGGTCATAAAAAGAATCTCAGTGATGTGAAAAAGCAAAACTCGCCGCCCAAAGCCCCAAAGCATGGACAATTCTGTAACGAGGCGCCAGCCCGAGCCCACGAAGCAATGGCTTCTGGTACATGTTGGTCAACGAGGCGCCAGAAATACCAATCCAAGCAATGGCTTTTTTCATGGCCGTGGGTCAAAAATAGGTACCCAAAAAGGAACCCTGCAGGGAAACATGGGCTAAAACCTGCTGTCCCCTGGTGGGTTGATTTTGACCGGTACCCACATGTGGTACCCAAGAAAAAACAAGAAGACCAGGGGGAAACATGTTAACACACAGCAGCCTTGGCAGAACTGAAGGTCTGGAAACCCGTGCTTTCGAAACTCCACGCCGGCTTATGCATGAAAAGGTGGGCGACTTTGGCAAGCTGGCTAGTTGCTACCTCCTTTCCCCTTTACCCTCAAAAGATCAACACGCTGTAGGAGGCCCTGGCTGATGGAATGGTAGATCTGGGCTTCCATCAACATGGCGTTGGCCTGCGTGACTTTCTGGATAGACGGAATCCACTTCGAATCAGTTGGGAGTTCTGTGGTTTGTCAACTGGTATTCATAGCCCAGTGGATCCATTTGCCTGTATAACGAGGAAAAAAAAAACTGTGACAACCAACAGGAAAATGGCTCATATGGACAATTGTTGATCCCCTGGGAAAAGTCTCATCCAAACTGGTAGGGTTTTCAGGATTTTGCGTCCATCCACAGCATCAGCAACTAAACCTTCGGGCCAAGCATAGGTGTAGAAACTAGTCTACTAAAAGGAACTAGTAGGTTTAGGACAAACGGGTTTTCGTTGTAGCCCAAGCATCAACGCAAGAGTTGGCAACTGACCCATTTGGTTTCGAGGTACTGGAAACCCTCGAGTTTTGCCGTGGCATTGGTCCCCCAAGCCCTGGCCCGTTTACCATGGAGATCACTTTTCTGACATACAGGTTGATCATCCAAGTAGTGCTTTTGGGGTAGTGGGTTTGGGGATATCCTTCCACCAACATGAAAGTCTTGGAAGACAAACTTTCCCCGTGGAAAAGGTTATTTTTGCTTACCAAGCCATGCTTGGTGAGAGGGTAGTGGAACCCCATCCGGAAACCTAAACATGAACCTCAAAGATGCAATGCCAAAAAGCCAACCACCCCCACCCGTGTCACTCTTTGGACCTTTCTATATCCGACCCGGGAGGTGTTTCCCAGACCACACCTTTACGAGATTAGGAGGAACGTCGAGAGCGAAGGCCAGTTGCCTAGGTCATAAAACTGACGCTGATACCCGAAAGCGTGGGGAGCAGACAGGATTAGATACCCTGGTAGTCCACGCAGTAAACGATGAGTGCTAAAAGCTAGACCGCAAACCAAAACCAAAACCAGCGCCAAAAGGGCCGCACGTCGCTTCAACGCCGCCGAACTCCGGAGCGATGCCGCGCTCTGCCGCCAATTCCATTTATATCCAAAGGGAAAATGCCTAGAACCACTTAGGGAAAATGGTGGTTGCATTTAGCCAATTCCTTTTTGGTCTTCCAACCACAAAAGGGAAATGGCTCAAACCCCCTCCTCTTCCTCTTCCATGTCTTCGGGCGCGATCCCCCAAGCGCCCAGCGCCCAGCCGCCCGCGCCTCCTTGCCCCTCCGCCCCAGGTCTTTGCTCAGGCGCCGGATCTCCTGCGCCACCTCCAGCGCCGCCCGCGCGTCCCCCTGGCCGGCAAACGCTGAAGCGGGGCTTCGGATTTGGGCAGAACTGGATCTGCCGAAGAAAAATGTCCGGGGAGCACCTCTTGACCCCTCCAAATAAGCTCCGTTTCTTCTTTTGTTTCTTTGTAAGAAGCTCCGTGTCGGAAGCTGGGGCTGCCCTCAGATCCCAGGCTAAAAGTTTAACTTTTAGTGGGTTAAATGGAGACTACCACTAAACACTCAAAAGCTAAAAGGCTAAGGGGATGGCTGCGAGCCACCAAGGAGGTTGGTGAAACATCGGAGAGGCAACCCATGATCCAGACACAAAAACATAGGCGCCCTTTTCGGAAATGGATGGTACTGGTAGATGATTAAACCACCAGGTAAACCAGGAATCGCCCTCTATGAACGACCAAAACAACCAAAAAAGGCAACTATGCACAAGAATTAAGGGTACCTGTTTTTTCGAAGTCGATTTTCGTAGGGGAACCCTCCCCCAAAAAAGGGGAGAGAGGGGCATTTGGCTGGAGGACCTAGCAAAAATCCCAGCCTGGTACATGAGAATCTCGATGGCCGTCCTCGGAGCCAAAAAAACAAATCGCTCGCGCACGGCTCGCGAACGCCTTCGGACCACTTGCGCGGGAAGAGGCATGCTGTTGCCAAATTGGTGGAGGGGTTGCGCAGGTTTTGGTCCATATTTCCACTACTAGGGTTCCATTTTGGGTACCGGGTTTTTGAGCCACAGCCAAATAGGCACAAGGCAAAATCGGCCAGAAGCAAATGGCCCATGGGTCAAAAGCTCGGTTATTTTGCAGTGAACATCCCAATCCAACCACTAAAATAGACTCAAATGGGTGGTGAATTCACCTAGACCCACAGCCAAATCAACACATATCCCCTCTAAACATCACTTCACAAGGAAACTCGGCAAAAATCGGCAAAGGATGATGCTGAAAACCAACCGGGGATATACCAAACATTGCCGGGAATCTTGCAGACTCCAGACACATTTGTGTTGGTCTGACAGTTCAGATGGTCTCTGTGGATGATTGCCCAGCTGCAATACGAGACTAGCGGGTCCCTTCGACTCCGCTTCAGCCCAAACCTACTCCGAGTGTAAAGGGCCCTCAAGGGCGTCTCGACAATGCTCAAGGGCCAATCAGTCTGTTTCAAGAAAGCTGGAGGGACATGGAGGGACCTTTTGACAAAGTAACTGGGGCACGGGGGCACCTTTCACTGGCTATCTATCAAGGCTTACTGCCAAGCATGCTCTCAAAAACTCTCTTGACATTCAATAAGCCTGATTCATGACTGCTGCACTTTTAACAAATACTACTGCACTGCAGGTTCTCTCAATGTCCTCAAAAGTTGAGACGCCTCCGGATTTCTGGGGGAAACAAGAATTCCACCCCCCCCCCCTCGCCGTTCCGGTAGCCTGCTTTTTCAGGCACTGCCAGCTGAGGTCACGGTTCTTTTGATGTGGTATCAAATTAAGTCATGGTCACAAGCTTGTATTACCTTGCATCCAATGGAAGTGGACAGGGAGGGAGGCATCCCCGGAAGCAAAGTCTTCCAACACTGGCGATCGTCAGCTTCCTTGATTGGAGCGTCATCCCAATTTTGGAAAAGCAAGATGGGTGTCTGGCTTTGCTGAAGGAAGGTTGATTTAAAGAGAAACCAGAAGCAAAGCCGCCACCTATTTTGACACACACCCGGATCATTTTTCCGCCGCCTAGGACGGCTCGAACCCCTTAGTGATTCTGCAGATGTTGGTTCTGGCGAAATACCCATCGGATCTCTTGCGTCGCGAATCGCCTTTAGATCTTAATTGCAAACACATTTCCCCAGGTTTCACGTAGCTTGGCAATTATAGCCATTTTGCAAGGCAAGTCGCAAGCAAAACCTGGTATTGGTGTTAGGTCTACCCGATATGCAAAGAATCTGGGCGCATCTCCGTGCCTGTTTGGACTGTCCTACTTGGATAACCCCTCTGGCAATCTGGCAATCCCCCCCCCCCAAACTAGGGAAAATTTGGGCGATCGATTCCCCACAAAAAACCAACACAGAACCTGCGCGCGGCCCCTTTCCTGGAGGGGTGAGAGGTCGGGCACCGATCGCTGGACCTAGTATTGGGTGCCAAGCCCTTGGTTACCTACCTTTACCAGGTAAATGGATGGGATTGGCATGGTGGAAAAGCACCTAGCTTTAGGAAAATGACCTCCAAGGAGCCCTTTACAGCTTCTATGGTTTTTGGGAGGGTTCCCCCCCTGATTCTATGGTGCATATTTCCTTCAGGGTCTTCTCGTGGTTCATTTAAACAGGGAATGAGTCAAGAAAACAGCCCGACAAAAACCATTCCCGTCAATTTGCCTAAGTCCCCTGGAAAACACACGCATTTGTTTCCAGTATAGCAATAGATTCCCTTTAAAATCAATGGGGACAAATGAAAAAAACATCTTAAGCAAATGGAAGTTACTTTCTATGGTTTCTCAGACCATCCGATAAGCTTCTTGCCTCTGTTGATTCAAGCAAGTGGTGCTTGCTGGAAACTCAAATCACATCGATCTCCGGTGGATTGGCCAAAACAGGGTCTGAACCTTTGTCTACCACCAAAGTGGTCCAACCCCAAAAAAGATGTTTTAAGCTTTCAGGAACCGGTCCAAGCCCAAAATCTGTCATAGTTTTCAGGAACCCAGGGAACGAGTTTGTCCCTCGGAAAACGCTCTTTCTCGAGGTGCTGCAGCACTGTGCAGCGATGCGCCGCCTCTCCGATGTCGTCCAGCATCCTAGACTCCACCAGTGGGGCTCGGTTTGGTTCCGACACGAGCTAAAGCCCTTGTTCGGTGGGAACTCTGGATCTAAGAACCCCTTGCTTGATTTTGATATCAGGGGGTTGGCACCTTGTGCGGAGTCAGACCACGTTTTGGAGGGTCCATCACCCCACCACAATAGGACAGGTTCTACTTGGATCCGGGGTCAACATTGAACAACTTCCCTTGTGGCTTCCCTTTGAAGGGGACCAAACTCATTTTGCCCCAATTCGGAACGGCCCCACCCCCCCAAAAAAAAACTCGCACATGAGGTGTTTGTTGTTGTTTTCCTTGGATTTGCTTTTCCTCCAAACAAGTAACACAAAGCATGGGCGGACGGATAAACATACCCAAGTGTCAAAGCAAAACAACCTCATGGCCTCTGGAAACATGGATGTGGAAAAACCACCCCTGCTGTGGTACCCATGTCTGTCATTCCCGTGACGAGTGTCACCTAGAAGGGGGGGCTGCTTACCCCAGACGCGGGCGCTTCTTAAGCCGGTCCAGAAACGGTTCACGATGCGGAGTTCGCCACAACATGGTTGGTCAATCTTCCTCCCCCCATGGCTACCCTCCCTCCCACATGGCACTTGTCGGGAGGGTACAGGCAAACCTGGAAGATAAACTTTCTCTCGGGAACCCTGTCAGGTGCCATGTTGGAGGAAATGTGGTTGACATACTTCATCTCCTTTGGTGGGTTTCCCTAATCTAGGTCCTCCAGCGGAGAGGTTAGAACAAGGGTACCCGAGTTTTTTTCTGTTGTCTGTTTTAGTAGGCGAACCCTCCCCCCAAAAAGTTGGTAAAAAGGCAGTGGGGGACCTAGTAGTGGTCCCATGAAGATCACCTCATGGCCTCTGCCTCCACCGCGAAAGGTCGGCCGGAACCCTCGCACCCTCCGCCAGCGTCCGGCGCCAAGTGAATCGGTGGCTTGGGTTTGAAACGCGGCGGTTTTTCCCCACCCAGACGCTCCAAATCGACTGATTTTGGGCCTAACGGCCAGGCTTTGAGACCCCAAAACCTCTCAGAGGGGTGTCCAATGGAGGGTCCGGGTCTTCCATTGGAAGCCGAAGCCAAAAAACGTCTCGGAGCAAAAAAAAACGGTACGAGAAGAGCTCCAAATCCTCAAGCGGAAGCTGTTTTTCCGCTTCCGGGCGAAAACCAAAACCCCAAGAACCGCGAAGAATCCCAACCAATCCTCAACAAACAAACCCAGAAAAACCCAAACAAGTCCAAACCATATCCAAGCATAGCCAAGCAAACAAACAAACATACAAACAAACAAACACACAAGCAAAATCAAACAAAGACAGAGACACACAAGCACACAGATACACAGACACACTAGAAACACACAAACACAGAAACACACAAACACACACACAGACACAGACACAGACACAGAAACAGACACACAGACACACAGACGCGCAGACGCGCAGACACACAGACACACAGACACAGACACAGACACAAAGACAGACAGACACACAGACACACAGACACAGAGACACACAGACACACAGACACACAGACACACACAAAGACACACACACACAAAACAAACTCACACACGCAAACACACACACACAAACACAGACAAGAAAAAACAGACACACACACACACAACACACACACACACAAAACACACACACACAAAACACACCCACACACACACACATACACACCCACACGCACACACACACACACACAACCGCAACACACACACACACACAGAGAGACACCCACACACACAACCACAACACACACGCACACACACACACACACACACACACACACACACACACACACGCAGACACACATGCCAGACACACAACACACGCACGCATCGCAGCCAAGCAAGCAAGCAGACAGACATAAACAAGAACAAAAGCAACAAAATAAACCACCGTTTTTGTTTTAACACAAATGCAGAAACAACGAACAACAAACAAAACACAACAAATCAATTAGAACGGATCAGGGTGGACTCGAACCACCATTGTCATGTCCTTCTGCCAAATGTGTGTTCCTTTCTCGTGCTTCATGCCGAGATCCTCATGTTTCAACAAGAGTGGTTGCACTGTGGATGGACGAAATCCATTTCGCACCAGTTTGAATCCATGGGAAACCATTCTTTGTTGGTATTGACAGGGGAATCGAATCATTCTAGGACTTCTTAGGTGGTGCAGATTTTCGTCCACCCACAGTGTGGCCCATGCAGAGATCTTGGCCCGGAGGGCCAAGAAGCTATCGTCCACTTGCCCTCTGAGGCTACTTGTGGTTTTCCTTTGCTCGGTTGCTTTCTGCTCCCTGCTCAAAGTTTAACTTTTAGTGGCTAAAAGTTGGGTTTAAAGTCCTAACATCCAAGCAAAATGCACCAAAGTGAAGTTCTACCTTGGCCTGGATGGCCCTGCTATCCTCGAATGTTGACATGGGCTGAGGCTGCTTGTGGCTTTCCTTTACTCAGTTGCCCAAAGGACCTGCAACTAAAAGTTTCACCTGGACCAAAATGGGAAAACCAAAAGGTCAAAAGGTCGGCTTTGAACAACTGAGTTTAGGTTTCACCAAGCCCAGACCAAACCCGCGTTTCTCTCTTTCGCCGTTGCCCTTCGGTCGAGCAGCGTGGAGCTGTCCGTCACCGTGCGCAGCGCATCATCCAACCGCTTCTGCCTGGAAACGGTCGGCAGCGGCGAAAGGGCGTTTTTACTTGAAAGGCTTTGCTTGGGGTGGGGCTGTGTATGTCTTTCATGCTTGAGGTAGTTTTAAAGGGATTCAAAAGGAGAAACAGTTTATGTCTTAATCGTTGCCGGGGCAGTTTTACCGGGATTCAAAAGGAGAAACACCATGTTGGATTGCCGGGGGGGGGGTTGCCCGGACCGAAGGACGGTCACTCTTGGACGTGGGTTGGGAATTGTCTGAATCGTTTTTGGATAATGGGATTCAACAGTTTTGCTCACTTGCTGAGTGGATGGCCCGGAAAAAAAAGGCCACCAATCTTTATACTTACCGAGCTAAAATCGTCCTCCCAAAACCAAAAAGTGACTCAAGTTCAAATGAACTCAGGGAGTGAGAAGGAGAAACACCCATCTTGGAGTCCAGCGATTTTGACATCTGGCATGATCTCCGATCTTGAGATTCAAACATCACCCAACCATTGGAATCCATGGGCGAAGAAGCGAATCTTGTGTTTCACCTTCCTTCTTGGAAATTCAAGCCATTCAAGTCGGGCACAGCGCCTACAAGTTGGACACCAGAAGTTTGGTCCAAGGTAAGTGGTTGGGTATAGTAGTTTTGGGTTGAGTATAGGTCCTCCAGTAGAGAGGTTAGAATAACAAGGGTACCCTTTGTTCTGTAGTCTATTTTAGTAGGGGGAACCCTCCCCCCAAAAAGTTGGGTGAGAAAGGGCACCAATTGCTGGGGGACCTAGGAGTATAGTGGGTGTACTGGCGCTCTCAAACAAAATTTGAACCCAGGAACTTCGCCACCCAGGAACTTCGCCACCCAAAAGGAAGGCCGGAGATTCGTGCGCCCAAGCTCCGCGGAACCCTTTCTGCGTGACTGATAAAGTTGAGAAAAGAAAAAGGGGCCGAAATAAGATGCTAACTAATCATACGTGATGGTTGTCCCTCTGATTTTGCCCTGTGGTTTGATAGTACACCCAAGCCAAAGCTCATTCCACGGATTTCCTTGAAAGGAGCGAGAAGCCGCTGAAGATGCCAAGGTGGCGGGGAATTGGTTGCCCTGCTCCCAGATGAACAATTTCTTCCAGCCTGCCCCACAACCCCAACTGCCAAGTGACCCGAAACTCACTTGCCCAGAGGACCCATCAGTAAAAGGTTAACCTTTTGAAACCCCTAAAAATAGACCAACCAGGGAAAGCCAAAAGGTCAAAAGGTCGGAATTTGAACAACTGAGGAAAGGCACCCTTTCCTTGTTGCAACGTTGACCCCTTCCCTGGACTCCGACCACCCCCAAAAAAAAAAACGACGAAGCGTGGCGTTTCGATGCGTTTCGTGCTTTCGCTCCGTCTCTTGCTTGCGCCCCACCAGCTCGAAGACGACAAAACACGCGCAATGGTTCGAGCCCCTAAGCTAGGTCCTCCAGTAGAGAGGTTAGAATAAGGGTACCCTTTTTTTCTGTAGTCTATTTTAGATAAACCCTCCCCCAACAAAAAGGGGTTAAAAAGGGCACTATATAATAGCTGGGGGACCTATAGCCTCCATCATGGAAGTGGATGAGTGGCTTCCGCAACAAAAAAGTAGACTTTCCCAAAGCCCCTTGTCAGCCTCCGTTGGAGGGTAAAACCCTCAACTGCCATCCCCAACCAGACTTGTGACAACCAACACACTCTCACGGCTTTTTTCAAGCGAAAAAGGTTCGCCTCACGTAGATCTGGGCGGTGTTGTGCAGCACTGAGGCCTCCCACCGCTTGTCCTGGAGCCGAAAAAGGGGGGCGATTCCTGCGGGGAAAAACCACATGGTCAGTAGTAGATTCATTTCAAAACCAACAGGGGAACATAACAAATATTGGTTTGAGCAAATGGACGTGGCTCAACCACTAAAACTGATCTTAATTGTAGTGACCATAGAGAAGAGCCTGTGGTATGAAACCCTCATCTAGCCGGAAAAATAAACCAAATCGGCTTTCGGGGATGGGGTGGGTTGGTTTACCACATGGAAGCCCACAGCAAAGAAAAACAAAGATGCCAAAAGCTTGGCTGCTTGGACAGTCGGACGCTTCGGGACATGGGAGGTTTGGCCATGGGGCATGGTGGGCGTGGTGGAGGTGCGGGCTCGTGAAATACACTCCCGCCCTCCAGTCAAGGAAGCTGACGATGAAAGGGCTTTGAACTACGGAGCCTCAAAACTCTGGGGGTCCTGTGGAATTTCCTTCTGGTTGTCTTTTTGGCTGTCCTGTTGAATGCCCTCAAGGAGCACCACAATTACCTTCAGGACTCAATTTGGGTGTAAAGTGCCCCCATTGTCCTATTCCAACACTTGTCGCTTACATTCCACCCTGTGGCTGGACAAAACGCGCCGTCGCACTTGTTAACTGTATGAGTGGTTTTTGCCCATCGGTGCGAATCTCTGCAACCCACGTGACCATGGCCTTAACCTCAGTGGGTTGAAGGTCCAAGGGTGCACGTGCTTCCATATGTTTCACGCAGAAAACAACATCAACAAAACATATGTCAGCCCTAAAGGGAACTCTCTTGGAACTGGCAGCCTTAGGTGATGTGTAAACGAAAAACGTTGGGAATGGGAACCCACTTGGACGTGCGGAGTTTTCTTGGTTAGCCATTTGGGTTGGAACCTATAGGATTAACTCCACACAAAGAATTGTCTGTGGTTTATGAGTTGCTAACCTCGTTTTCCAGGGTCTACCAAAAACCCTTCGGCAATGGGGGATATGTCGAGCAAGGGCGACCCCCTTAGTTTCCTTCTTCAACAAAACTCACAAGGGCACTGAGCCTCTACAAAAGGCCACATGGGTCTGTCCTTTTTGAAAGGATATGGTGGAAAGGGGACCCCAAAATGGCGAAACTGCGCTCCTCTTAATCTACCAGACACACACAAAATCCCAGGCGCCTGTAGGAAACAAACATTGGGAACGGTTTCGCTCTGAAAGCCCTCAACAAACACAAATCCTTCAGGCGCCGCGAAAAAAAAGGAACGGTTTCGCTCTTAAACCCCACCAAAAAAAATATCCTGCAGGTGCCCTTACACCAAAGAAAAAACCTTAAACAAAAACAAAACAACAAAATCCTGCAGGTGACCGCCCCAAAAACCCACGCGATTCGCCCAAAAACCCCATGCCATCGGCGTCTCATTCGCCCCGAGCGCGGATTCCTGGAGCTGGCGGCAAAGGCTCAAGCCCCGCTGCGCGCACTCGAAGGCCTGGATGCAAAGAGCCACTTGGAATGAACGCCCATGGATTTCGATATGCGATTTCAAGCCCATGGGATTTTGTGACCACTTCTTGTAATACATAGAAACAAAACAACGTTAAACCAAAAAAAAAAGAATCAAGCAACAAGTGAAAGAGTCTCATCCGTTACCCGCTAGCAATCAAGATATTCCGGTCGAATGGTGCCAATCTGGGGTAGGTTCATTCCCAACACCCTGGGTCAATCCCCTATGGTGTCCTTTCTTCGACGGTCAATCCCTACCTATCGCAAAATAATTACTACTACTAATAACAATAACAATAATAATAATAATAGTAATAATAAAAATAATAATATAATAATAATAATAATAATAATAATAATAATAATAATAACAATAATAATAATAACAATAATAACAATACCAATAATAATACTAACAATAATAATAACAACAATAATAAAATGATAGCAATAAAACAATAACAATTACAAAAAGAAACAACAAAAAATGGAAGCCTCTGACAAGTTCCCGGATTCGTACATCGAGTCCAGCTCCAGGTGCACCATGACCTGATCCATCGGATCGATCCGTGGCCGGACCCTTCGCCAACTCGCGCGACCCGGGAGGCCAAAAACGGCGGGGGTGGGGGGGGGAGGGGGAAACGCGAAGCTTCATTCCACTTAGCTACTGGAAAAGGCGGCCAAATGGGGGGTACTCGAAGATTGTTTCCACTTACCTGGGTAAGCAGCATGCGAAGACCAAGCTACTTCGGCGTGAAAAAAAGGGGGGGGGGGGGGCCTGGGTTAGAAGGATACATCCAAGCAGCTGCTGAAGGATTTGGGTCCAAATTTACGCACGACATGGGCTTCTGAGGCTCGGCACTCTTTCCCAAATGTCTCATCCAGTTCCAAACGGGTCAAACTGCATGCAGTTCGTGGGTCGAGGCTTTGTCTCCCCAGCAAAAACTAGCTTGCCCAAAGGACCCAGAAATACAAGGTTAACCTTGGAGGGCTATGACTAAAACTAGATCAAGAAGGAAAACCAAAAGGTCAAAAGGTCGGCTTTGGGCAACTGAGAAAAAACTGAGGCGCCCCTTGCTTTTTGGAGGCCGCCTCTTCAATCGCCAAAAGCAAAACCCAGCAGCAAACGGGCGCCCCCGTTTGCATATGGTCGCAAAGGAACAATTCAGCCGACCATGCAACCAAGCAAAAGCCACGAAACCCGAAAAGATCTTCCTCAACTGGGGGTTTAACGCGCAGGAATCGAAGACTAGCCACAACTTTAAGCGACAAACCACAGGAAACACAAGAATTGGACTTCCATTTGGATCAGCCCCTGGAAAAAAATTAAAAAAAAAACAATATTTTTCCAGTATAGTACTACAGTACTAGATTCCCTTTAAAACCAACAGGGGCAAATAAAACATATTCTTAAGCAAATGGAAGTGGATGAGAATAAGACACGGGGTGCTCTTTGTGGGGGGGTTCGCCTTGCGGCCGCGTAGACCATGTAAACTGAACACATTCCCAACCAAGCGCCCTTACTTTTGAGCACGCAAGAAAACAGGAAACAAACAACGCCAAACCAAGCCAACAAACAAACCAAACAAAACCAACAAACAGAACCAACACAGCGCCAAACAAAAACAAACACGCGCCGAAGTCCGCGCCCACCGTGGTTCTGGTGCCGGAACCGCGCGGAAGGATTCCTTCTGCGCGCGGTTCCGAACAAAAAAAAGCAGGGCGGAAGGAACCCTCCCACCAACACACATGGAAGTGGACAGAGGGGTTACAGGAAAGTAGTCTTCCAACCCGCTGTCAGCTTCCAGGTCCTAGGTCCAGTAGAGAGCTTAGGGTTTAGGGCACCATTTCTTTTCGGACGTCTATTTTTAGTCGGGGGTTTCCCTCACCAAAAAAAGGCTGGGGGACCTCGCAGGAAACCCCAAACCCCAAGCCGCCCCCTGCCCCCCTCCCATCCCCGGGCCCCGTTGGCCCACAAAAAGGCGGGGCGCCACTGTGTCCAGCGCCATGACCTGGATTCGGGGGTTGGAGTTCTCCTCCAGGGCCTCCAGGCCCTCCTGCGAGCTGGCCGATCGCGTGCGAGCTGCGACCATCTCGCTGGCCCTTGGAGGAGAAAAATTGATGGGCTTCCCTGGATGGAAGAAATGGCCGTCCGGAAGAAGAGAAGCAACCCTAGGTTGCCGTTTTTTGCCGGGGTTTCCCGGGTAAATGGGGACTAAACCACCATCTAAAAGGGGCCAAACCTATTTCTTGAGAGGAGAACCAACCCAAAAAGGACACCTATGGAGCTGCACGCGCGCGGCTTGCGGAGAACTGACGGCCGAGCGAGCGAGAGGCCGCCAGGCGGCTGGTTTTCATATGCCGTGGAGGGTGGCGAATGCAAAAAAAAATGCAGCGCTTGATGAAACCAGGGTGAAACTTGGTATTTACGGGGGAATCGAATCAGAAACCAGGGTTTCTGAGTTGAACGGTGGTGCGAAATGGATTTCGCAACCATCCGCAGTAGGGCCTTTTCAGGGCCCCCAATTCCAATTAAGGGAGGGTTCGTTTTTGGGCACGCACCCTACACAACCAGGAAGCTGCGATGCCTCCGCTGGATGGGCTTCTGTAAAGGAATCAGGGGAAGGCCAAGTAGCGTGGATTCTCTGAACAAGAAAGCTGCACGATGCCCGAAGCATGGAGAAGCGGGAAAATTCCAAGGGAGATTTGGGTGTGGATCAAAAATACGTTCCCCAAAATAGAACTGTGGTAATGGAAACATGAACTAAATTCTGCAGTCCTCTAGTGGTTGTATTTCGACCCATACCGTACCCATTTGAAGAAGGCTCAATTTCAGAAGCGCACTCCCTCCCTGCAAGCCCGCGTTTTTCTTCCTTCAGGTTGCCTCAGGCCTTGCAGTGGGAGGATGGGGCCTGATTCCTCTAAAGGGCCCAAGCTGAGAACCTCGAGGTTTCCATCGTTTTTTGGTGAAAGCAACCCCCTGATTCTCCAGAAAACCGGGGTTCGGACCCATGAAAGATCATTTCTGATGCATAAGTCTGTTGCTTTGTGAACCTCAAGCTCATCCCAGACCGGGCAGAGCCTTTCTCCTTGTGATCACTTTCAAAGACTCGAATCCCAGAAATTGAATCCCCAACTTGCCCGATTTTGTTCTTGTGCTCAACTCCATATTTCCGGGATGTGGGTGACTTCTTTACCTTGACTCCCCAATTTGTTCTCCTTTTGACTTCCCTTTGAGCCTGACCCCAAAAAGAAAAACACGCCACATGCCATGACCCCCCTCTCCAACCACACAACCCTCCCCCCCCCCCCCCAAACAACCAACCCCCAAAACCCAACCCACCCCCCCCCCAACCCCAAACCCCGCAACCCCCACCCCCAACCCAACCGCGCAGCCCAACCCCCACCCCCGCCCTCAACCCCCCAAACCCCACAACAGGTTCATATTTCGCGTTTCTTCTCTTGCTTTTTGCAAGGGACTCAAGTTATGCAACCCGCCTGGCCAACCCAGGGATTGCCTTCGTGGACTGTGACATTTCCCAGACCGCTGGCGTCTTGTGGCCACCCCTTAATAAGGGCCCTTCCATTTAAAGTTTTGGGGGAGGCGCTGCCTGGATGTGTGGCTCGATTTTAAGGGCCCCTTTCCACCTTATGTGGGGCGTGTCGCCGCTGTTTTTCACGATAGGCGGTCAGGCGTGCCTCACGTGTGTGGCTCAAAGGCTTCAGCGCCGTAAGTGGTTAAAGGAATAAAAGAGTAGCCTTTTCCAGCTTTCCGCAGCTTGTGGCAGCTTCAGGCGGTCTCTAGTTTCCAATAGGATTCTCGCAGCTTCCTTAAAGGGCAAAAGCTAGTGAGCCACGCAATGAGGCGCGCCATAGTTTTTAATGCACAAGGACGGGGCTCTGCGCGCGCACACACACACACGCACGTTTACTGCAAACAATCGCGCGCATTTGCAGCGCGCCGCTAGTGCCTTGGAACGGCCGGGGTCGCCATGCTGTTTGGAGCTTACAAGGGAGAGACCGCTAGTTGAGACGGAGTTCGTTCGTGCCTCTTTTGCGCCATCATCTCGCCCAAACGTCTTGGAGCCCAACAACAAGTGAAAGCCCACCAAGGGCGCGCGTCTTTTTCACTAGCTGGCAAAAGACGGGTATGATCACTGGCGAGGTCGGCCAGCCACATCGCGAACGCAACCCAGTTCTAAGCGCAACGCGCCTTCACAGCAAAGCGTGAAGAAGAGCTGCCGCCCAGCTCTTTGCGCTGCGCCCAAGGTCCGTTCCACCTCAGGCACGCGCGAGATGAGCGCAATTACTAGTAGGAAAATTGCACAGAGTCCAAACGAACAAAGACGCCTGTAGAAGCCAGGCTTGTCCCCTGGCTCCAGCACTGGTGGCAGACCTTGTCGGGCAGGGCAAACCGGGTAGAGGCCAGGCTGTGGTAGTAAGCAAGAATAAAAGAAACATGTATGAATACGTGCATGCACATTCTGCTGGCACATTCTGCTGGCTCTCCGAGGACTTACGATTTTCGGCAGCAGTCTCAGAGATCCATTAGTTCCCCAGTCGTCTGGTTGGGGGTCGCAACCCGACGCTTTCGCAAGGAACACAACCCAGCCAGGATCATTAGTTCCGCGAGCTCCGACCAGTGGATCTCTGAGACTGCCGCGCAAAGTTGGAGCCGAGCTGTAAAACTGCGAAAAGCGCTGAGCTTCTCTTGGACCGCGCGTTGCAAGCCAATAGAAACCCCAAGAACTTGCGCAAAGCGCGGGCCCTCGGAAACGCGACGGGCCGCTTCAACCTGCCCACGCCTCTTTTGCTTTGCAGACCAGGCACCTCAATTGTGGCTCTGGCACTCCTTCGCCCCAGCGGCTTGGAGTCACCTTAAGTTCACCTTGAGCTCAGCTAGCCGGGGCACCAGTCGCCCATTGTGGAGCCATGGGCCGCGAGGCAGGGGAGAGGTGAGCTGAGGTGCGAAGGACTTCAAGATCCAGGTGAAGGTGGCGGCTTTGAAAGCTCCCTCCTTGCCTGCTGGGCTCAGGAGCCTAAGGAAATTAGTGTGAGGGTGAAGAAGGCCCCTGAGAAAAAGGGGACAGGTAAGAGGTGGGACCAGGTTGTGCACTGCCTCCCGTTTAGCAGGGAAGTGCGGCTGGTCAGGTTGGCAGCCCTCATCAAAGTGGCAAAACAGTCGCTGAGATGAAGGGGTTTAATGGAGACCACAGTAGTGGGGACGGTGGTTGGAAGTTTTTGGACTGGAGTAAGCTCAGGTGTGAGCCGAGGTCACCCAGTCAAACAACTGGTAATTTGCATGTAAACAATGTTACAATATGTAAACAATGTTATAATATTGTCCTTTGAGCTGTTTGCTTGTTTTCGCCCCATTTTGTGGTCTCCATTACAATGTCTTGATTTTACATATTCATGAAAACCAAATAAGTTCATGCGTTAAAAACGTATGTACAGATTTGCATTTTCAACATATTCATATCACAATAGTACTGTTAATCTACATAATATGATTGAAAACATATGCTGCTATGAAAATAAGTGATTGAAGATTTGCTTAAGTCCCCCTGACCCCCACCCCCAAACCCCGACCCCCCCCCCCCCAACCCCCCAACCCCAACCGCCCAGCCCAGCCTCCCAGCCTCCCAGCCCCCCAACCCTCCAGCCCCCCCAACCCAACCCCCTACCCAACCCCCCCAACCCCCAACCCGCCAACCCTGCTACCCAACCCCCCACCCAACCACCCAACCCCCAACCCCAGCCCCAACTCCTACCCAACCCCCCAAACCCAACCAGCCCCCAGCCCAAGCCCACCAAACCCCCAACAACCCTCCACCCAGCCCCCAACCCCCCCACCCCCCTCCCCAGCCCCCCAACCCCCCAAACCCAAGCCCAACCCCCCCCCCCCAACCCCCCAACCCCCCCAGCCCAACCCTCCAACCGCCCAGCCCCCCCCCAACCCTCCAACCCTCACTAACCAACCCCCCAAACTTCCTCCCCTCGACTTACATCCATCTCCTGGGCGGCGCGCAGCGCGCCCTTCACATCTGCCAGGCCCAGCAGGCACCGGCACAACGTCTGCAGCGCCTCCTGCGCTGAGCCATCCCGGAGCCTCAAGGCAGGCGGAGGCAGGCGACGGCAGCGGGCCCACGGCTAGGGCGAGACCTTTGCCAGAACGCGCATCGCATCCTCATATGGCCATGGGTCACCAGCCAACATCCCAATCCCCACTCAAATAGGTTCTAAAATGGGTTGTGCACCTACCAAAATGGTACCATTGGTGTTGACCCACGCCAAAATGGCAAAAAAGAAAGTTGCAAACTTGTACATGGACTTGGGCCCATGGAAAAGTGGACAGGTTTTCTGGCGGTCGTTTTCTCTCTTTTTTTTTATTATCGGGGAAGTGGTTCCCCATCCAAGCTTCCAGCCTTCCTGCAGCTTCCCAAAAGGTTTGTTTTTTCTCTCTGGCGAGGTGCCCGGTTGATCGCTCAAATCCCGAATTTCCAAACCACCAAGGAATACTTTAACGTCTTCCCGTGGGAAGAACCCCAAAGGAAACAACACCCGGTCAACCACAAACTGGGTGACCCCGTGAATGGGTTCGAACAAATAGGCTCCGTTCGGATGCAGAAACCACTTGATTGTCCTGAACTGCTTGCTGGTAGGAGTACGCACACGTAAGAAGCAAAGCAAAGGTGCAAGTTGAAGGCCCAAGGTGAACGTCTTCCACATATTGAAGGTTCAAAATCCAAGCACATCAAAGGAGCCTGGGGTGAACGGCTGATTGGTCTCGAAATGGAGCTTTCAAATGGGCCCTACCATTTCCCAAGTCGGAAATGGACCTCTTTTTTTCGCGGACCCCCCCCCAAAAAAAAGAAAAGAAGGAGAAAGAAACAAATCAATACGCAACAACACACAAAAACCATGGTTGGTTTCCTTTCGGGTTCCCTCTAAAACCCTCACAGAACGGGAACCCTCAAAAAACGACATACCCACATAGGGAAGTCAACAAAAAGGCAGCCAATGGGTGAGCTTGGGGTGAGTGTCGCAGTGAGTTTAGGGCTGAGTGCTGTGACTTGTGTTGTCGACCAGCTAGGACCACCAAACAACTGCATTGGTCGCATCTGCAACTGCAAAGTTGGTGTACCAACCAGGACCCGTCTTTATATATTGCTTGAAACAAGGAAAGCCAACAATACCCCCCTGCAACGACGACAAGGACAAGGGGTTAGATAGTTGTTTTTGGAGTACCCCTTTTGTGTGGTTCTTCTTGGAAGCCTGCAAACAAACACCCCGGCATCTCTCTTTTTTTTTGGGGGGGGGTCCCGAAAACAAGACGCCCGTGGATATTCAATTGGGCCACCTCCTTGTCCCTCCCAAACTGGCCATCTCGTTTTTTCCCATCTGCACGGTGTCCATCGAGCCCAAGTGGATCCGGCCGTCCAATCTTCGGCTCAACCAAAAAGACAAATGTCAGCTTGGCTGTGGCTCAAAAAACCGTACCAAAACGGAACCCTGATAAGTGGAAACCTGGGCCAAAACCCGCGTAACCCCTCCTGTTTCTTTTTGAGCCACTGCCGTTTGTCGAGGAAAAAAAAACACAAGTTCGCCCCTCAGGACTGGATGCCCTTGCCAGGGAGCTCGAAGTAAAACCACAGTTCTTATAGGGTGTCCGAACAACCCGGAAAAAAAAAAAAAAAAAAAAAAAAACTTTGCACAAGCGATTGCCAAACTTGGCCCCTCAGCTTTTTCTTCGCCAAGATGCTCCTTGAAAATCTGGAGACTCTCCTGGCGAAAGCTATGGGCTTTACAAGCCAAGCAGGGCTCCTCATACTTCCTTAAACAGCACCCCCCCTCAAAAGTAAACGCCTTTACTGGGCTGGCTAAAAGTGACTAACTTTTCGTGCCTTAAATGGATGCCCCCACCAAACACTAAAAAGCCAAGAAGCTAATGAGATGCCTGGGAGCCACCAAGTTTCGATCGGCAAAAATTTCGTGATGGTTCACCATAGAAACCAAGAAAAATACAAGGCGAATTGGACCCCTGGCTCATCCACACTTGCTGAAAGCTCGCATTGTTTTTGCCTTTTTCTTGGGGTTTTTCAGGACATGGGTGTAACAAAGCTTGGCCGGCCCCGTCTAACCGTATGGATCCGGATCTATTCGTTGCGCTGCTCCGGACTTTCTGGTCTGCTTCGGGGCTGACCAAAGGACATACCGATTGTCATAGTAAACTTCCGTGTGGTTCCAGCCAGAAAACAAAGATCGAAAAAGAAGACACATTTGTCTTGGCTTGAATTTTCATGGAAGGAAATATTTGGGTGTGGCTCAAAATGAAAGACCTACAGTTACGCAGGTTTTAGTGCTTGGTTCCATTTACCGAGGCGATTTTGGCAGCCTTTTGAGCTACAGCACCGCACCCATAATATGGAGACAAGACTAAAACCTGCACAACCCCCCACTACGTCCTCCACTAAAAAGAGCTTAGAATAATAAGTAAGGGTAGCACTTTTTTTCTGTAGTCTATTTTAGTAGGGGAACCCTCCCCAAAAAAAGGTAAAAGGGCACTACTGGAGGACCTAGCCCAGCTATGAAATTTTGAGCCACCCATATGGTTTCAAGTAGCCTACAACTCTGCAACGCCATTCTATTAAAACATGCTCCAACATGAAGGGACGGTTGCATCACAGCTCTGGCACACTCGAACGAGCAAGGCAAACATTTGCCCCCAACGCAATTCTAGGGCTTGATTCCCCATTCTGTTCAGCCATCGCTCTTTTCAAACACCAGCTGTGTCCCCTGTTTTGATGGTTTCCTGAAAAGAAGGATCCCTGGAAAGAATGGGGAAGCTTCCCCTGTAGCAATGAGAGAAAAGCACACCAAGTGTTGGCGATTTGATGTTAGAGGATTCCCCAGCGCCACAAGGAAACTGGGGGCTGGATTGGTTTCAGCCGAAAAAACAAAATAAATGTTCCACCGACAAAGAGAAACAACGACTTCAAAAAACAGCCCCATCATAGGTGTCCTTTTGGTCAAATAGATGGCAAAGGCAAATGGAATAAAACCAATCTCAAGCAGTGCCATCCATTTCTACCGAAACCAAATCAAAAAGGACACCTATGGGCCCCACCTTTTGCACACAGCTTTCTCCTAATTTCAATTATTTGATTTTATAATTCGAAATATGGCGTAGTTGGTAGCGCGCCAACAAACAAACAAACAGCATACCCCGCAAAGCCGCCACTTCCAGGCGCCTTGGCAGGAGACAAAGCATCTCGCGGACGATCCAAGAGGATGTACCACTTGGCTATCAGCAGACCTAGGCCAATCCGCCAATCCATCGCGCGTGCGATAGAGAAAGCCCCTGGGGGTCGGTGGTATTTTCATTTTTTCCACCGTTGGTTCTAAATCCCAGCCCGTTTTTTCTCGGTTGTATCGTGTGTCATGGTTTCAACCATCGTTCCTTTGCAACTCCTGCAAGCTCATCTTCCTTTGTCTGTCGCTCTTTCAAAAACCTGCCAGTTCCCCATTTGTCGTTGTGCTGCTCTTTTCAACCATCGTTCGTTTCAACCAGGACGGGAGCCCCGTGATCCTAGTACGTAGATTCTAACCATGCTTACATGGTCCCCGACTAAAACATCCAAGCATCTTCAGGGGAAACTTTACCCGTCGTCCAACAGGCGAGATGGAGAACCGATGTGGCGAAGAATCAACCAGCTTCCCGTTCAAACTCAACAATATCAGGCGTTCTCACTATTTCCTTTTGGGGGTGTAAACCACCATTTGGCTCGGGAAACACTTGAGGATGTCGGTCATTTCCACGTGCCCGGCCGCCTTTTTGACTGGTGTATGTTTACGGTTTTCAGAGTAAACACCGCCACCTGTGTTACTCGCGGATCAACGTCATATCCAATCATACCCTACAATCTGTGGGTATTTTAGTGGCCCCAAGGCGGCGGAGATCCTCACTTCTGGGGCGGTTCCCTGCTATTTTCAACCTGGTCTTCGCGCCCTGGGACGGCTCACGAAACCAGTTCTCCATGCTCGCTCAAGTGCTCCGCCACAAACAAGCTCAGGTGATATCCCCAACAGCATGCGGCGCTCTTTTTTAAAGCTCGCACCACCCCGCGGCCCTCGCAGAACCGTGGAACCCTGGTGGAGCCCTGGTGGAACCACACACACACACACTCACACACACACACACATAAAAAAAACAAGAGAAAAGGATAAAGTTTAAAGAAACCACGCAACCTGAACCCCGCAGAGATCCCACAGGCAAAGGTCCAACTTCATATTCGCTTCGCTTCGGATCCCGGGGGCACTCCGTCGCCAGCGGCCGCTGCAGCCGCAGCTGCCGCCAGATGCTGGCCGCCTGCCTCGGGTTGATCGGGGTTGAGAGGTGGTCCCGTTGGTGTCCCTTTGAAAGCCAGCCCCACAATGGTGGGTGTTTCAAATGGTAGCTTTGTTTTTTTTTGGTTTCTCCAAAAAAAGGTACCCCCCCTTAGAAAAGACACCCCCCCCATAGATGTTGAAGATAGGTCTTATTTGGATGGTGAATACAATCATCTTCACACCAGTGTTGCTTTGAGCTGTCAACCTGCTCGGGGCGACATCTCCCTAAAGCAACCCTACAGCCACTACTAAACCAGCCGCACTCCTAGCACACATCAGCCCCAAGCCAACCTTAAACCCACCCAACAGCATCCTGGAGTTCAGCCCTTTGCCGAGCCTAAATAGCCAAAATGAATCCCAACACCTACCCTCATTACGATCTCAGCAAGCCCAACACTCACCCGAAACCAGCTCCGAGCAACTTTCAACTACCACCAAATCAAAGCCAACAGGCAACCCTACGCCCGAGAACCAACCACCCAACCACCCAACCAACCACCCACCCAACCAACCAGCCAGCCAACCAACCAAGCCAGCCAGCCAGCCAGCCACCTGACCGGGGTTTAGCCGGGGCTAGCAAAAAAACTAGAGCCGAGTTTTCCCTTGACCCCAAAACAAGACAATCCATGGAAGCAAGCCGGTCGAATCCGTTTCAACCACCTTGTGCCTTGCAAGTGGCAACTCGCAATCGTTGATTTCCATCCAACCCATGACTTCTTCAATTTGCTACCTCAGCTTTGCCCCCCCCCCCCAAAAAAAAAAAACAAACAGGCCCTTTGAATCTAGCCTCTTTGTCTAGGTCCTCCAGATTTGAGAGGTTAGAATAAGTTGGTACCAATTCTTTTTCCTGTAGTCTATAATAGTAGGCTTCGGAACCCTCCCAACCAAAAAAGGCACGGGTGAGAGGTCGGGCACCCTGGGAAATCTTGTTCACATGGCATTGCAAAAACCGGCCGAGATTTGATGATGTGATCAGAGATGTCCCCTAAGACCTGGATCCAGTTATCTCCAGTTACTCCATGCTGCAAGGGAAAACTATGTTGTCAAAATAGGGAGACCGGGGCTCACCATGGGATGTTCCTTTGAAAACCGGTACTTTCAGAAACAAATATATATATATATATATTTTATAGGCGACAAGTCAAACTCTTAGTGTGCTAAATTGACCCCCCCCCCCCCCCCCTGAAACCCTAAACGGCTAGCGGGATAGCTGAGAAAAGCCAAGATATCTCTATATAAGTATATCGCTCGCGGGATTCCGCGGGATCACTAAAATCCGTGCTTGACATGTTGACATGCTGAAGGGCTTGGTTTCTTGCCCATCATCTCACAGCCTTCAACCGGAACTGCCTTGGGAGCTCCCAGGAGCCGCGCTCCCCGCCCTCGGCCCGCCCTCGGCGCCGCCCGCTCTCCAGGCGCCGCGCTGGGTGCATTTGATGCCGCGCTCGAAGAGCTCCTTCTGCACGCCCCCGGTCTGAATGGCCAAGGCGCCTCAGTGCCGCGTCCACGCAGAAGGCGAAACCCAAGACGTAACTCTCACTCGAGCGGATGGGAGGTCACTAAAACGGATCCAAGCTCTTGGTGTGTCATCTAAGACGGTCTTAGAAAAAAAAATATAGTCCAGACATTTCAACTCTTGGTGGTTTGCGTTGGCTACTGACTTAAACGGCCACCGATGCTGGCCCTCTAATTTCGGTAGCATGGATCAGTTCACCGCAAGGCTGAAACTGGAAAACAGAATCCCCTTCCTCACCTCAGGTGAATTGTCCAAGCCTTGCTGTCCCAGTTTCCATGGTGTTATGACTCTGGCTTGCACATCAAATCGCTTAGCCCCCAACATCCGATTCAATCCCCCCTTAACAATAGGTCCTAAAATGGGTGGTGAATTCGCCTTCCCCAACCAAAATCGTAAAATTGGTCTTGACCCACATCCAAATATATTTTGGGCCAATGGATCGGAATCCCGGTTCGTTCTGATCCACTCAAAGGCTCAACTTTCCGGTCGTTCTTCTTCTGGAAGACATCACCCCAAAAATGCTGGATTGGACCCTTTCCCCCTTATATTTGGCATGCTCAAGCCACCTGGAGTCATATCACCATAGGTGGACATTGCCCCAAGACAGACTCGCTTTAGATTGACCATTTCAAATAGTGAGACAAAGCCAAGAAAACGGGGGGGGGGGGTTGGTGCTGTCTTTTTGTTGTGCTTTTGTGCCCCTCAGAAAGGGCTCAAACAAATGTGTCTGAGTAAAAAGGTAAACCCGAAGAGCAGCCGTGGGATTCGAATCCATTCCCACACCCCAAACAGACGAAGAACGCCCTCCATTTGCTGAAGTCCCCCAAAAAACTACTAAGACATTTCCAGTAGTGGTAGATTTCCTTTCAAAACAACGGGCCAAAAAAAAGAAAAGGAGTTCATTTCAGCAATTGGAAGAACGCTGGCCTGCTTCTTTCCTTCGTTTCATTCGTGACATGCACACGGAACGCACCGCGACAGGCACCACAGCAAATGACTCAGGGGTTTGGGAACGAACCAGGGGATTCCCTCAAGGGAAACCAGTGGAAGGGTGAAAATAAGTCCATTCTCATTCCCTGCCTATCGCACCAAGAAGATCGCTTAAAATCGTTCCCAGCGAAGGCACAGGCGTGCAGCGCCCGCGCCCGCTGGCGCGGGGGCTCCACCTCCGCCCGCTCGGCCAGCTGCAGCGCCTGGCCGCAAGTCGCGTTGGGAGAGAAAAAGCAAAAGGAAACCAACCAAAAAGGGGCAACCAAAGGAAAGGTAAACAAAAAGGCAGGGGATCTTGAAGGCAGGCGATCTTTTCTGAAAGGCAAACAAAAGGAAACAAACAAAAAGGGTGGTTGAAAGGGACACCAAAGGCGCTTCACCAGGTTCTTTTTTCTGGGAGGTATAAAGGGGAACCCTGACAAGGCAAACCAAAGGAAAGGTCCCCTGCTAACAAAGGGAACCAAAGGGGTGAGTTTAAGGGGCAACCAAAGGAAAGGTCCGGTCGCGGGAACGATTTTCAGGCATCTTTTCCTTGGTGCGATAGGCAGGAAACGAGAATTGGTATGATTTTTCACCGTGGAATTGGTTTCCCCTGAGAGAATCCCCTGGTTCTTTCCCAAATTTCTGAGTCATTCCCGGTAGGAGAAGGGGAAGGGGAAGGAAAGGAAAACCAAACGGGGGTGGTTTAAAGGGAAACGGCACTTCACCACGTATTCTTCCCTGTGGGCGGTATGCACTTTAAGGGGCAACCAAAGGAAAGGTCCGGTCAATGAACGAATTTAAGGGATCTGTTCCTTGGTGCGATTGGCAAATGAGACTTGAAATGACCCCGAGTTCATCCAAATGGTTGCTTTCCTTAAGGGAATCCCCGGATCCGGTTGATTCCCAAACCCCGGTATCGGGCATCCTGAGCACCAGCAAGTGCAGCTTCCCTTGGAGCGGCGAACTGTTTGGCCCTTTGGAATCTCCCGAACGCCTGCGTACCCCTGGCCCTCAGCAATGTACGAATCGATCTCTTGGCACTCGTCGTACGCTCCGGTGCTGACATACACCCTGAAGCAAACAATATACTGCTTGTCCTGGTGGTCTACACGCATCGCGTGGACAGCGTCCCAAATGTTCCCCCAGTACCCGATGGTCCGGTCACAAGCGTCGATGGCCCTGGTTAGCTTCCCATTTACTCTCCACCGCACCAGGGACCTGTTCCAATCTGTTCCCGCCAACCTGAAACCACCCAAGGGATATCTTCGGGAAGTTGGGGCCAACTCTGGATTACAAAAAACAAAGGTCGTAGACACTTCCATTGCGCAATTGCCCCCTGACAAAAAATGGAGTATGTCCAGTGATAAATTCTATTCAAAACCAACAAGGGGACATATACTTGGTTGCTTTCTGCTCCCCTGCTAACAGTTTTCAACTTTCAGTGGTTTAGTTCGGAAAACCCATGAGTTGGATCAAAAAGTTCTTCAGTCCTAACAGCCCTTGGCAAAATGCACCAAAGTAAATCATATTAAGCAAATGGAAGTAGATATTCATACGAACCAGGAAACCAGATACCCAGGACATTGGGATCACAGGCTCGAGGCTCTGGTCGAATTTCCTTCACCGGAATCTGAGAACATGTGGCCATGGGTCAAAATCCGAATCGGTTAGCCCCCAGTGAACATCGACCAATCCCTGGTGCACCTATGCCAAACTGGTACCATTGGTTCTGAGCCATGGCCATGTGGGTATGGGTCAAAGTCAAACCAGGAATTGGACCGCAGACTTTAGTCCACGCTTATTTACCAGGCTAGGCCATTTTGGGGTTACCATTTTTTTTTTGACCCACAGACATGTTCACAAGCTTGTCAACATTCAGTCTGCCCCCCCCCCAAAAAAACATTTCTGCTGGCGAGTCTTCGTTTTGGGGGACCCGTCCAAGTGGTGGTGCTTTCCTTTGGTTTCGCTTCAAGCACCACCGAAAAAAGGGGCATCCTCAAAGAAAGACACACCCAGCGGTTGTTTCAACCAATGTTGGTTTCCCTTGGGGCGCCCAACACGGGGAGGAGCTTTGAGGTGGAACCTATGCTTCGGTTGCGTGTTTTTAGCGGAGTTGTCCTGTCGGTTTCCCTTATTATTATTATTAGTATTATTATTATTATGTTGATTAGTATTATTATTAGTACTATATTATTATTATTATTATTATTATTATTATTATTATTATTAGTATTATTATTATTATTATTATTATTATTATTATTATTATTATTATTATTATTATTATTATTATTATTATTAGTATTATTATTATTATTATTATTATTATTATTATTATTATTATTATTATTATTATTATTATATTATTATTATTATTATTATTATTATTATTATTATTATTATTATTATTAATTGATTAATTAATTATTAATTATTGTTGTTGTTATTATTATTATTAGTTAGTATTGGTATTATTATTATTATTATTATTATTAATTATTGTTATTATTATTATTACTATTATTATTATTATTATTATTATTATTAGTATTATTATTATTACTATTATTATTATTATTATTATTATTATTATTATTATTATCATTATTATGATGATGATGATTTTAAAATACAATAAAATAGAAAATAACAAGAATGGGGCACACCCAAAAAAGACAACCCCCTTTCGGGCCGTTCCTTATTGAGGGAGGCAACCAAACCAAAAGGAAGGAAGGCCTCTTTTGGACACTCATGTTGACCCCAGATGAATGAACACTCCTGATGGCTCAGCAACTACAACACACATGCCTCGTTCGAGTAGACCTAGGAAAAGGGGCACCTCATTTTTGGCAGTTGATTTTAAACGCCTTTCAATACCAGCAAACAATCCATCGAAACAAATGAGCACCCTCTCCCCCATTTTTTGCGGTTCACCCTTCCAATTTCAGGCAAACGATCCATAGGGGAAAAGGGGCATCCCTGGTTTGGCCGTTGACTTTCCATCGGCCCCCATAATGTTGACCCCTGATTAATAAACCCCTGGTCGAGTACTAGGGGGGTGTCCCCTTTTAGTGGGGATTCATCACCTTTGGAGGGAACACCCCCCAAATAGTGGCACGGGTTCTACTTAGATCCTGGGTCAACATTACTTGACTTGCCTTACGGGCAAGTTATTGTGGAGGTCCCTTATGGAGTGCGGCATGGATGTTCTTCATTTGGAAGACGACGTTCCTGGGTCAACATGACCAAAGGTCTAGGGGACACTTCCCCATTCTTTCCAGGGATCCTTCTTTTCGGAAAACCATCAGAACACCAGGGGAAACAGCGATCGGTTTTTGGAAAGAATGATGGTTGAAAAGAATGGACAAGGAATCAAGCCCTAGAATGATTCCAACCATTATTTTCAACCATTTTTGGATCTTTGAAAGATGGCTGAGTGCTTCTACCTGGACTCTCCTGAGCCTTTAATGATGGGTCCACCCCATGATTCTGGGAATCAACGCCCCTAGAAAAGGACGCGACTCAACCCACTGCCTGCTGCGGCTCGTTCTGCGCCAACGCCGCCGCGGAAAGCGCCAGCAGGGTCTCAGCCTGCGGCCGGAGAATTGGGCCGAAGCAAAACACCGCGCCTTCCTGGTGTCTGCGGCTTTTTGGTTGTTGTCTTGCTTTTGTTTTGTTTCTTTTGTTCTTTCTTTCGCTTCTTTCTTTCTTTCTTTATCTCCTTTCTTTCTTTCTTTTTGTTCTTTTTTTTTTCTTTTCTTTATTTTATTTCCTTCTTTCTTTCTTTATTTTCTTTATTTCTTTCTTTATTTATTTCCTTTCTTTCTTTCTTTTTGTTCTTTCTTTCTTTCTTTCTTTCTTTCTTTCTTTTCTTTCTTTTCTTTCTTTTCGTTCCTTTTTTGTTTCTTTCTTTCCTTCTTTCTTTCTTTTTGTTCTTTCTTTCTTTCTGGGGGAGGGTCCCTCAAAAGAAGAACCTGGAATAAAATCACAACGACGCCTAGTACCAAGTCTAAAGAGCACCATGCATGCAAATCAAGTGGGCTTCCCTTGCTTTAATTAAATTCCGCAGATTGGGGCGCTCCGGATCGATTCGAGGTCCACATTACGGGGTACCTTACATGTCCCCTTGAAGCATCACCCCGAATGCAAACTAGATCAACAGCAAAAAAGACGACGCCAAACGCAGAAATTGTGGCCCACGCTGGGATGCATAGAAAGTTGGCATCCCTTGAAGAGGACAACGAAAGGACTACCTTCAACCCATTTTATCCCCAGAGGTTCCCCAAAGGTGGTTTGCTCAGTGTTTTTTGAGGCGCGGAGCAACCGGTGAGTCAGAACACTTCGCCCACAAACACCCTTTTGTTTTGTTTTAAAGAAACACATGTCTGACAGGAAAGCCGCATGATATCCTCGTAACCTTCGCCTTTACAGCCTCCACCAAAAAGCCTTTGTCGGCGTCGAGGCTGGCCATTTTCAGATCCCCTGCTAAAAGTTTTCAACTTTTAGTGAGTTATAAATGGAAAGCTAAATGCTAAACACCAACTAAACCAACCAACTACAACCAACTAAACCACCCAAAGAAAGTAACCGTCCATTTTCAGATCCCCTGCCAAAAGTGAACAACTTTTTCCGTGAGTCAATTGGCCAAAGCCAACCACCAAAACCAACTAACCTAAAAGTCTCAGGAACCGGATTGCTGGCGCCTCCAGCGCTGGCTCTTTGAGCTCTTGGAAGACAGTCAGCGCCTTCTCTAGCAGGGCGCGCGCCTGACTCACCGGGTTTTCGGTCGATGGGTTGATAGACCCCTCCTAGTTTTGTCGGGGGATGTGTTTTATTTCAAAATCAACAAAAGGGTTTTTGGTCGACCCCGGTTGTTGTTTGTTTTATTGTAGTACAAAGGGGGGGTGTTCCCTCCAACCAAAAAAACTCAACCACTTAGGGGAGTCCCATAAATCCGGGTGTGTCCTCCAAAAAGACCTCATCAACAACATCAAAGCGATCGCTTCCGCTGCTTGCGAAATCCTTGCCATGGAAAATGGGCCTGCTAGGTCCTCCAGTAGAGAGGTCTGAATAAGGGTACCAACTTTTTTGTGTAGTCTATTTTAGTAGGGGAACCCTCCCCCCAAAAAAGGGTAAAAGGGCACGACTGGGGGACCTGGCCTGAATCTAGCACTGCATATGTTTGCGTGCCCCACATTTGGGGCTGTTTTGCCACATGGGTTGGATTCTTGATCAAGAGGCGTATTTACAAACCCCCAACATACAATCCTGCGACCCTCAAGCCCTAACATGGAACCCACCGAACTGAGCCGAAAAGTGGTCTTGGATCCCCTCACAAATGGAGCCCCCTTTCTTCTTCATCCGAGGTTCCCCCTTGGTGGGTGTATTTTCCCAGGTCCCCGGAGTTTCCAACTTTTTCCCGTGCCCGAAATGGTCGGAATCCTGTGGGGCCCGAACATGTCCACGCTTCGGTGGTACCCTGTTGGAGTTCGCAGCATTGGAGGCAGCACCCACGCAAAAAAGAAAAAAACAAGCGAAGCCAGGAACCTTCCGGCGCAAACGACCCAAGCCGAAACACCTTCAAGCACCTCTCCAACTGGCGCGTGCCCGGCAAAGCGTTCAGCCCGCGGGGCACTAAATTGGATAGCAGTGCCACTGCCAGCGCGTGCCCAGCAAAGTGTTCAGCCCGCGGGGCACTAAATTGGATAGCAGTGCCACTGCCAGCGCGTGCCCAGCAAAGTGTTCAGCCCGCGGGGCACTAAATTGGATAGCAGTGGGCCTTTTGCCTGTTCCTCGTATATTTTCCTAGGTAAAATGCTCGTCTTAGACGGGCATCTTCTTTTTTAAGCGATACGGGAGCTCACAATTGCACGTCGTTTCCAGGCCGCAGAAGCTTCACGAACTTGTCACCGACTTGGCATGCCACGGCCTCCCCTCCGAGCAGGGTCCGCGACTGCCTTGCGCACTGAGACAGCCCGCCTTGCGCACGGCACCTTCTCGCCGCAGCCAATTCATAATCGGGCCCGGTGGCGAAACACCAAAGCCGTGTTCCGGTCTATGCGCCAAATGGCACATAGACCAAGGAAGCCTGGGAGAAAAAAGAAAAAAACGAGGACGCGTTGGAACCCCCTGCCTGTGGGTGAAAACCGCAGGTTCGAGTTTTTGGTTACATTTACCAAGTTGGTGCATGTTGCTCAGCCAATCGGTCTCCAAAGGTCCATTTTCTGGCTGATGATTGGAAACCTCAATCTTGCTCGGTTGCCTCATGTGGGTAAATGAAAACAATCGCTAAACTCATTTCCCGAGTGGATGGCAAAACAAAAACAAACCATTCTTTTCTGATTTACCTCTACGTCCGAAGTCACGGAACTCGGGAAGTGAGTAACCTGGACCTAACTCCGGGAAATGTCCGGGTGTTTCTGGGCGGATTTCCAGAAGACATCCAGTCAAAGGCGGATAAAGAACTTGTGGTTTTCTTTAATTATCTTCTTTTCAGGGGGGGAAGAAGGTCCAGGAAATGTTGCCATTTGCTCGCCCCGAAGAAAAATGGCCAGCTTCGATATTTTTTTCTCGGCTCGCTGCCACGCCTCCTGGCGCTTCTTGTTGCCGCGCCGGGTCTCCGGAAGCCTGGCTCCGTCCAACGAGGGTTTGGCAGCTTCGCGGCGGCGCCCCCCCCCCCCCCCGCTTTTGATGGAAAAGCGGTCCATTTTCAGATCCGCTAAAAGTCTTCAACCATTTTTGGCGGGTTTAGTGGAAACTACCGAAAACCTTTTAAAAGAATCGGGGATGGCTGGGAAGCTCTAAGCTTCCCCAACCCTCGACAGGCTTTGAGAGGTCCGTGTTTGAGGGAAATCGAGGGTCGAGAATCTCCCTCACCCCAACCCAGACGGCTGATCGCTGGGGCCCCCGATCCCGAACTCCATAAACCAAGGCCCAAGTCCAGACTCCACTGCCAGGCCCCTTCAAAAGGGAAACTCTATTCGTGGCCTTTCCAAGGGGCGATCTGCAAGCATCAAGAGACAAATTTCGGCTCGCAAGTCGCAACGCCGCCTTTCTGCTTATTGAGCTTCCAACCAGCCCGAAAACAGCCACCGGAGTTCCTCCCGGTGGCTTAACCCCCTGCCGATGCCCCATCAGCTTTGAAAACGGCGTCTCACCGACTACGCCCAAGTTTTCGAGGTCCGCAGCTCGGATCTTTCAGCAAGGAATCAAAGGGGTGAAGAGAGACCGGAGTCACCACGAAAACCCGGCAACAACTAAAGCTGTTTTTTTTTACAGAACATGTTTTTCTTTTGTTTTTAATTAATTGAGTTAATGTATATCATCGCCTAGACCCCTGCGCCGAGAAAAAAGGCGCCTTCGCGCCCCATTTCCGAAAATTATCCCGAAGCTTCTACCCCGGTTTTGAGGCCGGGGCTCACCTGAAAAACCGCTCGACGTCTCCTGCTGCTTTGTTACCCGGGAGTCCAGTTCCGGGGCTTGTGACTTGGCGATCGCCTTGCCGTTACGGACCTTCCAAGCAATTCTAGGTCCTCCAGTAGAGAGGTTAGAATAAAGGTACCCACTTTTTTCGGCAGTCTATTTTAGTGGGGGAACCCTCCCAACCAAAAAAGGGTAAAAGGGCACTACTGGGGGACCTAGAATTGGAATCCAACCACCGTTTCATACCGTGGATGGACGAAATCCATTTCGCACCACCTAAACTTAAAAACAAAATGCTGGCTAAGTTAAGGTATTTACAGGGGAATCGAATCATTCCAGGGTGTCTTCGGCGGTGCTGGATTTCGTCCATCCACAGTAGATTCCCACCCCACTTCACAGCACCCATTCACCGAATCGTTCTACCAACATGGTTGTACATGTTTGTGTACACGTTTATGGAGGTCTTACTTTCCAAATCCCTTCGATTGGTGGTTTGGAGCTTGCGCTTTCCCAATGCTTCACCTGAACATTGCAACTCGTAGATGGTGGTTTCCCTTCATGTTGGTGTTGAAAAAGCAACATGTTTCAAACGGTTGCAACATGTATTTCTTTTAAGGAGCCCTGCTGAAAAACAGAACCACCGCACACCCATCAAACCTGCGACAAATCCTTCTTGCCCATCAAGCCTGCGGCTTTCGAAGAGAGTCTCCGCGCAGCAGAGTTGCAGCACCGCCTCCGCAACTCAGAGAGTTGCATCCCCACCCGGAAGGCTCATTTTTATCATCCTCCGAAATTCCGGGTGCCCAGTTTGTGGCATCCATCCACTTTCTTATGTCACTTTTCTGGGCCCTCAGATCCCCGAAAGTTTAACTGGAAACCAGTAAACACTGAAAAGCTAAAAGGCCAAGGAACCGGACGCCTGGGAGCCACCAAGTTTCGGATTCTCTCGATTTGGAGGTTCCCAAAAATGAATTGGGGGCTTCTTCGAGCCCCTAATAAGGGGGTCCATCATGGCATCATGGGGCTCCTTGCTGGGAGACAGTTCGACAGTTCAAAGGGGGTCCTTGACAACCATAGGATTCTTAACTTGAGCGAGGCGGGAACGAAAGCAGCGTCAGGCATGATCAGCTCAGCACGAAAACAGCATCTTGGGCAGTGCCGAATTCGCGTGCTCTTGACCGGCGCCGGGCTTGGCAAAGGGACAGCTTGGTTCGGCAGGCTCTGCAGCTGTGATGAAAAAGCACAAATGGTGCGGAATGGGCAAGCTCTTGACTGGCAGCATCGGCAGTAAGGGGGCACCTCCTTGCTTGGGGGAATCGCAGCAAAGTACAGGGCCCCCCTTCACCCGCCTGCACCCAAAAATGCGACTTGGGGCCCGCTCCGCTAGAAGGAGAGCGCAGCATGGGAAGCCACGAGCCGGCAAGAAACAACGACCTACGGGAGCAAACCGCCCAGACCCCCTCCCCCGGCGACATCGCGTCTACGGCGGTGCTTGCAGAGCGCAAAAAAGTTGCTGGTGGGACCACCTCGGAATCCCTTGTACAAATGGTGTTTCCGGTCAAAAACTGGCTCAATTTGGCCCCAGGTTGTTTGGCCCACCCCCACACCCCAGGATTGCTAAGCATAGCTTAGGTACAACAACTCCAGCAGTTGCTTTCGTGACTTCGTACCCACCAAAGCAACCATGGGGAAAGGTTCCATAGTCTTAAGGGGTCGGGATCCAAGGGCCTCTCACCTTTTGGTTTATTAAAAGGTCCTTAAGTTGCTTTTGCTTCAACAACTCAGCTTACCTTTCAAACAAACCCACACTCGTGTTTCTCTGAGAGGGCTTCCACTTCCACCAGGCAGCGAGAAGGAAGCATACAGCCTGCTGGAGTGGATCGGCCCGCAAGAAGGGCTTCAGACGCTCCGATTGGCTTGGGCTTCCAATGGAGGACCCTGACCCTCCATTGGACACCTCAGAGGGGTTTTGGGGTCTCAAAACCTGGCCGGCCCTTTGAAGGCCCAAAATCAATCGAATTGGAGCGTCTGGGCAAACTGTTTCTTCAGCGCCGCTTCAAGAGTGAAGGAAAGATGGGCGGCAGTTGAACAAACCTAAGGGGAAAATAAACAAGACATCGATTTCGCACATGCGTCTCTATTTCGGGGACCGCCTACATGGAGGTTCTCCTTTTGATTCCCCCTGTAACCCACCAAAGAGGGTCCCCAAACGAAGACAAACCCTGATCACTATACTAGGTTCTCCAGATTTGAGAGGTTAAAATAAGGGTACAAACTTGTTATGTAGTCTATTTTAGTAGAGGAATCCTCCCAACCAAAAAAGAAACGGCAAAAATGAGCACCTAGCTGGCGGACCAAGACCAAGTAAGGCTTCCCTGACTCCTCCACGTCTCTCGGCCCCCTGCGAGCGACGCGCGCGCGCTCTCGGCGGAAGCGGCCGAGGCGTCGCCGCCTCCCCGCGCGGGTCGTGGCGGCTGCGGCAGGCCGCCAGCTCCTCGGAGGACAGCCTCTCGGCCTGGTCGGAAGGGCTTTTTGCGGCGGAGGCGCAGGCCGTCGGGGGAGAAGACATCTATGTGTGTGTGTTTTTTTGGGTTCTAAAAAAAAAAAAAAAAAACTATTTGTTTAAAGCAACGAGTTGGCGCCTGCCGTTTTGTTTTAGTCGGGCGTGTTTTTGTTGGAGTTGGTGCCTTTTTTGTTTGGGTGTTGTTGAAGGGAAACACAAGTCCGGCTTTTTGGTGGTTCTTTTTAAGGAAACACACGAGGACAGCCACCATTTTGTCCGGGGAAACACCGGCAATCCCCCTCGGTGATAAACCGTACCACGGATATCATGAGGGCAACTAGGGTTAGCAGCCTTGCCCCGGCCAAACCTACTTCACTGGCTTGAACACCCCAAGTAGGGGAAAACACCAAGCTGGTTCTCTGCATGTCCCCTTTGAACATCACCCCACCAAAAAGGAAACTCGCCTCAATCGGTCAAAATGGCGATGTTTCTGTCAGACCTTCGAAAGGAGAAATGTCGGCAGCCCTGAGAAATGCAGCCTAACATACAGGGGGGGGGGAAAAAAAGGAACAAAACCGAGCTTTTGCTCCACAACCCGCAGAAGTGTCTTAGAACACTTCTTGAAGGGCAGTCTGACCGAAGATTCTGGTGGATATGAGATAGCAGGTTTGACCAATCACCTTGGGCCAGCTAAAATGTGGCCGTTTTGGGAACCCTGGTAAATGGAACCAAAGACTAAAACCTGCGGTTTCCTGGAACAAAAGACCGGTTTTGTTCGGATGTCTGGGCTTGAAAGGTATTTCGTGTGCGGCTTTATTGAGGCTACCTGTTCAAGGCAAACACCAAGGAACAATCTATTCAGGCTGTTTTGGAGCTCAGTTGTTCAGTGACCCTGGAAAAAAAGGGAACCCTTTGTCGGGAAGACCATTTTAGTGGCGCAGCCACCAACAGAAAAAGGAAAAAGGGGGCCACTGAACAACTGAGGGAGGGTGCGCTGTAAGTCACGGGGGGCACCTTGGCATCCCAAAAGGGCCCTCCCAGCCGTCCTCCCGAGGAAAAAAAAATCGCCCTTGCGACACATTTGCGTCTGGGGCCTAAAGGCCGGCTTGCCTGGCTGTCCCGACCGAGGACCGATTTTGGGCGATCCAACGCCTCTGTTTTTTCCGCGTGCTGGAGCGCAGGAAAGTTTAGGCCATTCTGTCAGAATGGACTCCGGATCAATGAAATTGTTCCATTCATAGGGAAGCCTCCCAAAACTGATGAAGCACACTAAAAGCCTGATCAAGATCAATTCTACTCAATCTGCGGTTCCCATTAGCTGCTTTGGTCCTGTGGCTGTCAGTTACCCAAGGCTTCAGTCCGAACCCCGCACTGGTCACATGCGTCACATCGGCCGAGGAATGCACCTGTCGTAACCCCGCCCGACCCGCCTCCGCCAGGATGACTTTTCTGTAGCTGCTATCCTCGGGAAAAAGCTCAACACACAAATGGCTGTGGGTCAAAAACATGTACCACAATGGCAGCCTGGTAAATGGAAACAAAGACTAAACCCTGCGTAACCCCACCTGTTATTTTTGAGCCACACCCAAATGGCGGCCTTTTGGCTTCTCTCGAATTGCAGTCCCTTCCATTGCAAGGAAAAGGACCCCTTGCTGAGGCTCCTTCTGCTACCAGTAGTTGGCGAATACATCCAGAGATGGAATACAACCTGTCATGAAGAAAGGCACACAGAGCAAGCGTCCGTTCTTTGACATCTCTATGCCCGAGTCGCTCGAAGAGTCATGTCGAGCCAGGGCAGGCAAGGTGAAGTCGGCCACACACCCAAGTGGTGGCCTTTTGGCTTCTCTCAAATTGGAGTCCCTTCCAGTTCAGGGGAAAGGACCCCTTGTTGAGGCTCCTTCTGCTAGTTGGCGAAATAGCCCAAGTGCAACTGGTGTGTTTAACCCTTGACCTGTTGTTTCCAACCAAACATGCCCCGATCATCAAAGGGGACACCAACAAAAAAATGCAATCTTGTGGGTCTTATTGATTTTGAGACACCCATTTGCAGACTGGCTGACACCTTGGACGTTACAGATACTAAGTGAACTACAATCATGGCAAGTCAACCAACCTCTGTCTCTCTTACACCCTGTGTTATTCAAGTTTAAGCTATGTTTGTTTGCCCAACCCCTACATTTGGTTTCTCTTTCAATTCGGCCAGAGATTGGTTAGTCAAACAGTTTGCCCCAACCGGGTTCGGAGCAGCTGAACATCAATTTTGAGACAGTGCGCGCCCAAACCAAAAAGGCACATCTAGAGGGTGGAATACACTGAGCAACTGGGATGTAGGCTGAACATCTTCGGGGAGACCCCAAAACAAACATATCAAACATATGAGTAGTGTCAAAGATTCCCTAGAGACGGACAAAATATCAACGCAGTAGTCTTGAACAATTCCCTGCTTCTAAACCCAGAGAACATCACAAAAGCATAAGATTCATAAGATGTTCTGAGACAAAATATCAAAACTCGATCCCTCTCAACCTAACGGCATCCTCCAGCATTTCGTATTTTTCTATGAAAGCCCCCGGAAGTTTTCCCTACCACCACCCGTCACCAACGCCTCCTCGATCCAGCCCTTGTTTTCCCTTCAAGACAAAAAAACAAAAACGTTTTTGTCTCAGAAAACCCGGAAGTGTTCCCTACTAAACCATCACCCACGCCTGGATTTCTCCAGCCCTCTTTTTGTTTCCTTCAGAAAAAAATAAAAAATGGCGCCACTGAACAGCTGAGTTTCCTTCACTAAAAAACCCAAAAAAACAAAAGAAAGAAATCTCCCCCGGGTCCTTGTAGAGCGCATCCCGGGCGCGCGCCAGCTCGCAGCGCACCAGAGCCCGGAGCCTCGGATCTCGATGGAGCGACTCGACTTCGACGCCGGTCGCGCACGCGGGGGGGGCTGCCGCGTGGGGTGGAAAGAGGAGATAGAGATCCCCAGGTTTTTATGGGGGGATGGGGGAAAAAGGGGGGAGGGAACAGGCCCTCTACTTTGTTTCTGTCTGTTTTTGCAAAGGGAGGGAGGGAGAGAGGGAGGGAAAAGGTCCTCTACTTTGCTTCTGAACGGTTTTTTGCAAAGGCTCCCTTTCTTGCTTTCCTCTTCGATTGGGGCTGGCGGGAGGGAGGGAGAGAGGGAGGGGGGGACGGAGGGGGGGACGGAGGGGGGGAAAGGGGGGGAGGCAACAGCCCTTAGTCCAAAAACCAGGCTTTTTTTGACCTGGTTGCTTCCATTTGAGTTGATTGCCCCACGTAAAAACCTGGCGCAGTCCGGGTTTCTTTGTTTGCCACCAACATGGTCCTGAGCAATACACTTCCGGAGCTTGGGGAGCGAGACGCCAAGAAAAGATTCTCCTTGTCAGACACCACACTAAGCCGGGACTTATTCACCTTGGCTGGAATTAGGACCCCGGCAAAAAAATATGTTTTTGCCGGGTTAGTGGAAAACAAAGGGAACCCCAAAAAAGCAAAAAATGCAAAAAGGGGAACTAATTCTGGGGAAGTGACCAGGTGCCAAGAGCTTAGAAGAGTTCAAGACGACATGATACCATACTGTAGATGGACGAACTCCATTTCGCACCACCTAAGAGCTCTAAGAAACCCTGGAAGGGTGAGTCCCCAAACAAAAATGCCTATACAAACCCTGGTGACTCACCCATGGTTTCATTCCGTGCAACCCGTGGGATTTTGTCCATCCCTTACCCCTTAAAACTCCAAGCCCTGGGGAAGTGTTCATCTTTTACAGACATATAGCCCATGTTACCCAGAAAGTTGAAAAGTTGAAAGTTTTTAAGAGGTAAGATCCACAAAAAGAAAGCAAGCACAGCAAACCCGACATGGCTTCTCGGAGCCCCGCGCTTCGGCTCTTGGAACCTTCAAAGTCCACAAAAAGAAGAAAAAACACCTCCCAGGAAGGAACTCATCTCCTGGATGGCCCAAGTTGCGTTGTTGTTGTTGTTTTTCCCTAAATTGTTTTATGTTTTTTGGGTAAGGTGGATTGAAAAAAAAAAGGGAGCAACTGGCGATCCAGGTTGGGTGTTTCTCAAAATTAGGTACCTATTCTGCCCCTGCAGGGTGGTTGGTTCCTTTAGGTTTCCCCTTCTCTCCATCCCAAAAAAGACAGACCAATTTGCCCAAACAACCTGGAAATAGAAGGTTGCCCTGACCAAAAAGCTGGAGGAGGAAAAAACTCAAGTTGCTTTGTTGGCCGATTCATGAAAGGGCAACTGAGCCAGGGAGAACACCAAGGGGCGCATCAGCAGTCACCTGGCCGAGTCGCTGCAGGCACGTCCCAAAACGGTCGCTCCCTTCTTGATTTGACCCCCTCCATATTAGGTAGCACACTGGATGGGAACATGACCCCCTCAATATTAGTCCACTGAAGGATGGGAACCCGAGACTAACAAAACTGCAGAAGGCATCCGGATCACTTTGCGGGGAGTGGCGCCCCGCTGTGTTGGTCCAGGTTGAAGAATCCGGAGTCAACATCAGCTTGGAGGTGCGCACTCTGCCGTGTGGGTAGGTGTCAGACTAGGCTACAAACAACCTTTTGGCTTCCCTGTCAACCAAGGCGAAAAGGCTTCCCTCAACAACCAACACACACCCCACCCACCCACCCCACACCAACCCACCCCCACGCCACACCCACCCACCCACCCACCCACCCACCCACCCACCCACCCACCCACCCACCCACCCACCCCCACCCACCCACCCCCACCCACACCACCCCACCCACCCCACCCCACCCACCCCACCCCACCCACCCACCCCACCCCACCCCACCCCACCCCACCCCACCCACCCCACCCACCCCACCCCACCCCACCCCACCCCACCCCACCCCACCCCACCCCACCCCACCCCACCCCACCCCACCCCACCCCACCCCACCCCACCCCACCCCACCCCACCGAACCCACCCCACCCCACCCACCCACCCCACCCCACACCCACCCACCCACCCAACCCACCACACCCAACCCACCCAACCCACCCCACCCCATCCAACCCAACCCAACCCACCCAGAAACCGGCCCAAAGGCGCCAAAACCCGCTGGGCGCCGACCCACCGAAGCCCCCCCGAAGCCCCCCCGCGCCTGGGTGTCCTGCTGTGCCTTCGCCCTGCGCAGCACCTCCTCCGCCGCGGCGCGGGCCTCGCGAAAATGTCTCGTTCTCGTTTCTGGAAGTGACCGGGGGGGGGGGGGTGTGGGGGGAGGGGGGTTGGACGTTGGGTCCCAAACATCCGGCGGAAGAAAAACCCGAGGTACTGGGAGGCGGAAACGAGCAAAGTGCTCCAGGGCCCTGTGTTTCGTGCCACGTTGGTAGGAGGGCAACCTTTTGTGGGTATAGACTAAATCGGTAAAACACCCACAGCTCCAGAACCGGAAAACGTGGCGGACTCTGGTCAAAGCCAGCCATTCAGAAAGCATCAATCCGCCAGGAAAGTCTGAGACTGTCGGATGCCCCGAGATCTCGGGTTGGGAAACCAAACAAAGGCCAAGCCGCGGCCTTCGGCCAGTCTCCTTGGTTCCTGTTGGGGCCATAGGCGTCCTGTTCGGGTTGAAATAGATGGGTTTCCTAGATTCGATGATTAAGCCACCAGGTAAACCAGGAATCGAAACCCATCTATTTTTCGACCCAAACCAAAAAGGACACCTATGCTCAGGAACAACATGCTGTTGGTGTCCTTTTGAAGGTGACCAGGGGTGGTTGCTCAAGCAAGCCGTGCCCTGGTTGCTTGACTCATCAGCTCACTTCAGGTAAGTTAACATCATGGTTGGGACCAGTGCAGAGGGAAGTGGTGCGCATGTAACTATTGTTGTAGAAACTTGAAAGGGATGTCATCGGAAGTGGACTTTTGTTTACTGGTTGGTGAATTTTGGCGCGGCTTCCACGTGCTTTTCCTAAATTCATCACCAACCACTGAACAATATATGTCGCTGCAACCAACAGGTTTATGTTTAAAGACACCCTCGCCATTAGTCCGAACCTAAAACCGAAAGCCGCCATTTTGTGCTCGTTTATTCTTGATGGAGACAGAATCAAAAAGTCCCAGCCCGCCACAGCACGAAGAAACTGGGAGAAGCGTGGAAACTCCGCAGTTTCTTCCACAACAAGCACCAACAGGGTTCTACTTTTTGACTACCCCAAGGTAGGCTTAAAACCAGGGGCTTTGCTTTTAGGGAAATCAACCACCCCTGGATTTAACTCTTTTTGGGGGTAGTCGAAAGGTAGAACCCTGAGCACCAACAGCTCATATGGCAAAATCTTCTGCCAGCCGCCTTCTCCTTTGACCGCAGGGCCCCTCCATATGTTTCATTGATGTATCGCCAGCAAAGAGAGCTCACTTAGTAGGAAACCCCAAACAAAAAGGGAAAACCAAAAGGTCAAAGGGTCGGGTTTGAACAGCTGAGCATAGGGATCCAAAAACCGGCTTCGGCCGACATGGCCATCGCCGAAATGATCAAAGCATCAAAGCCAAGGCGCTTCGTCATAGCGCCCATAGGAGCACCAAAGGTCCTCTACCTGGAATCAAAATCCAAAAGCGTTTTCTCCGCGCTTCGCCTCTGATCCCATAAGACCTTGGTCCCCCTTTTGACCCAAAGGCTTGCACAGCCCGATGGCCAATCATCCGCTCGAACCAAGAAGGTGGTGATTCCTTGGTTGACGTTGGAAGGGGAGCAACAATTTTATTTGTTGGCAGTTAGGTGGGGATTTCAACCACCAAACCACAATCAGCCAAAATGGCCGTGGCTCAAAAAAAAAACGGTACCGAAATGGAACCCTGGCATAAGTGGAACCATGGACCAAACTCCGCTTTTTTTTTGTCCTGCTTAATTGTTTGAGCCACCCCCCAAATGTAACACGTTTCCCAACCACCATGATTCCCACTGGCTTGGGATCCTTGACGCAGGAGCCCCTTGTTTCGAGAACTGGCTCGTGTGCCACATCTGCGCGGGCCCGCTCCCAGTATCGTCTCAGGATGTGAAAGAAAAGACGTAGACCCTCCCACCAACTAACGTGGACGTGCAAAAAAAAAGGCCCGGAAAACCAAGAGGAAAGACTCGTCTTTCTGCAGGGGTCTGTGCACTTCCATGTTGGGTGGGAGGGTTTTTTTCAGTATCCACAAGGAAAGTTCTCATGTGCCCCTTGCTTGATGACGGAGTGTGGAAGCAAAACATCTCGAGCCAGGAACTTCATGATACGTGAACAGATGCATGAGCACCAACTTGATACTAAGTTACTATCTGGCTTAACAATGCCACAAGACATCTCAAGTAGGTCGTGAATCCTGACAGGATTCCACACGTGCGAATCCTTCACGACACTTTTGTTCATCGTATGTCGGGAAGGTCGTGCACTTGTCAGTGAGGGCAGAGTCTCCTGACCAAAGGAGAAAAACACGTTCCTTGAGTCATCCACCAGAAGCTGTGAGGCGGACCAAAGTACCGGGCAACCTAAGGAGGCAAAGAAATTGCTGTAAAGGGCGGTAGCCTCCCGCACAATCCTGGAAGCTGACAGGAGGGTTTTGGAAGACTGAAGCTCCCTGTCCACTTCCATGATTGAAGGGGTGCTGTATGGCTTCCCAGTCTACACATCCGAAAAGGCTTTCACCTTTCGTTACAAAGCCAAGACCAACCCAATAAGCAGAACACTCAACTCTCCTCGTTTGGCACCCAAGGTCTGATAGCCTCCGATGGGCGACTTCGGCAACCAAAAAGCGGGGGAGTCTGCCAGAAGGCCCCGAAGGATGCACAGGGAAAAACCGAGCATTCGACTTGCTTCACAGGGAACCCCAAGGGTCATCTATAGAGAAATCACCCCGTTTGAGAGCAAGATGGCACATTCACTTGAAGGGGGGGCGTATCCAAAAACTCGTGACGCCAGGTGGCGGATTCTCTTCAAGGACCCATCTTGTTCCTAGATACTCATCCCCAAGCCAACAAAGTTGACTCCTCACAAGCATGAAACCGTCCTTAAGCTGGCTTGGGTCTTTTCCGGCCGCTCCGCAAAGCGGGAGCACAGCGCTTGGGGTCTTCGCTTCCGACTGAAAAAATGTTGGGGAGCACGTTCCAATGGCCTGCGCAAGCTCCGTCGCCATAGGCCTGGCGTAAGAAAAGTTCCTCTCGTTCCTCTTCGGGGGCCTCAATGGGAAGTCCCCGGAACTTGGTTTCTTTGGGGAAAACATATCCTCTTTTAGTGGGGAATCCCAGACCACTGTTGGAGGGAACCTAGGGGGCAACTGCAGCACTTCGGTTCTTGGCCCTTTCGGTTCAACGATAGACTGGACCCCTGTGGGCCTCTCGAAACGAACCGCCAAAATATGTCCTGGAGAGCACCACTTTTGTTCAGTGGCGTTTCAAGGGAACCGACCTAGCGTTGGGCCTTTCAGGGTACCTATTTGTGTACAGCCATTGTGCGACGCGGGGCATCGATTTCTTAACGGGCAAAGCCTTGTGCCGTCTGGGCCAAAGCTGGGTCCATCAAAGCGACATCCTCAAAACTTTGCAGGAAATGAGTGGTTTCAAGGGACACCAGCCGCCCTCTGCCCGGAACATAACAAGGTCTCTGGAAGAGATTAAACCGAAATGGTGGGGCTTGGAGTGCGTCCACTTGCGCCTTTTTCACCAAACTGGGTCACTATCTTTTTTTGGGAACCAACTTCAATTTGGTTGTAAGGGAAAACCAGCAAGAACTTTTGGGGGTCTCCCCTAAAGCGCAAGCGATTGCCTTTAGGGTTTTGGGTGATAGGTTTTCAAGGGAGTGGTTGCTTGCTCGAAGTTTAACTCAGGACGACCAGGTAGAAAAATCAATTCTAAAAAAACGACCAGGCGAAAAGCGCCAAACCGACACAGCCAACCAACCAACCCTCCCCAAAAAGAAAGAAAATGGCAGCGTACCCTGCCGTAAGCGGGGAGGTTGCAGGTTCAAGTCCTGCTGGCCCTATGCCTATGAGTTTGCTCCGGTTGGCCGCGGCTTGCCTCGTGCCGGCCAAAGGCACTGAGCCGTCGGCATTTCGAGCTGAGCCGAAAGCATCGGGGCAGGCGCGTGGAAGGCAGCGAGCCCCACTGGTCCAGCCAATCGACAAGACAAGCAAAGTTTTAGAAGTTGTGTTTGGCACAAAGTGAACTCGCTCTCCCAAAAAGTTTACAGAGCAGGAACCTGGATTGGATTGGAGGAAGGGCTGTGCCTTTTTTGGGAGTTGGTACCCCTTTTGCGGGGTCCCCCCCAAAAAAAAGGGGGCATTCCAAAGAGCATGCTGGCCCTAAACCCCCGCTCTCGTTGAGTTGATGGTAGAACCCCAACACAGAAAGGGCAGAAAAAAAAAGGGCGAGGCTCTGGAGGTCTGGGCTTCCAACGGATCCAACATGCATTCATTCCAGTGCACGCATCACCCAGCTACAGCCACGTGGCAGTTGGTCTCAAACCAAAAGAGAGACTCAAGTTGGAAGCTGCCGAGCAGCTTCCCTCTGGATTTTGAACCCCTGGAAGGAGGTACCAGGTTCATTCTAAGGGGCAAGGCCTGGTTCAACCACCGAAGCAAAACACAACGGATTCCTTTGCCTTGACAAGGGCAAAAGTTTGAACCGTTAACGAATGCGTTTGGACACAGGTGTAACTCCGCTTGAACCGCTGGCGGTTCTCAAAAGGAAACCGACACCAGATCCATCATGAGACGAGGGTTTCGACACAGAGCCCCAAAAAAGGGTTTGCGCAAACCAAAGGGCGACCTCAGAGCAAAACCGCAAACCTCCTTGCGGTTGTGGTCCTTGTGTTCCCGTGCCAAACCATACCAAGAGGATTGCCACAGCCCGACTGACCATGTCGTGGGATCAAAAGACACCGCTCCAGGCCAAATATTCCATCGAATTGCTGTGATTCACCAACCGGCAAGTGCCCCTTACTTCCCGTTCAGATAGTACATCAAAGCATCCAACACGCAGAAACCATCCAACCCAAAAGCAACACTAATTACACTCAACCAGTGAAAGCCTCCGAAGCCAAAGCATCTACAGAATGGCCTCAAATTCCCAATTCCAGACCCTCCCCCCCCAAAAAAAAACCACCCCACAATACGAAACCACTCCCCCAACCCGACAGGCGAAAAGAAACCTTCAACCAATTGCCTGTGCCGGCACGGGGCCGGGTTTCGCCTTGCTTCACGAAGGCTTCGCTAGTTCCCTTCAAATTCATCGCCAACTGCCAGGAACAATCTGACGTAAACCAAAAAAACAACATCGAAAACGCCTTTGGACCGTGCGCGACGTGTGCGGCGTTGAACATCCAGCAACAAAAAAAGAACATCTAAGGATCGACCCGCGCCTCCGGGCCCAAGAACCTCCGGTTTCTCATAGGTCCCGAGGTCCGAGTTCCCAAGAACGACTTGGAGCCTAATTTGTTGGCTCCCCCTTCACGCAATGTTTTGGCCAGGCTACATGGGGCCAAAAGCTGAGTTGGTACAAACCATCCATCCCCCGGCCATATCTTTTAAGACACAGCAACACATTTATGCTTGTTCAGCGCCCGCTTGCTCAGTGGCTTCATATCCAGCCCCCCATCCCACCCCCCCATCCCCGCAAACGCGCCCGCACCTTTCAGGGCGTCCGCGGCCCCATTGTCCAGTGGGACTTGGCGGTCCTCCAGACAACGCCTCGGCATGCGGCGCGCTGCGCCGGCGTGTTGGTCTCTCACTTGGGCGTGGCTCAAGTCCGTATGCCGGATGGTGCCTGGTCGGATTTTTTTCCCATTGTTGTGGTGGGTCCCGGTGCGGTTTCACATTGGGATGAGGGATAGATCCCAGCCAAAGTAGGTGTTCACCAAACACAAGTGGGAGTTTCTCAAAATAGGATTCGGACCAATTCTTGGTGGGGATTTAAAGGGAAACCAGGAACCCAAAAAATGGGCCCCTTGTACCGGTTCCTGCTGTGGATGGATTGTCGAATTGGTTCACCACCTAAGAAACCCTGGAATGATTCGATTCCCCTGGAAATACGAATAAATGGGTGTGTCCATCCACGATATTTTTTCGGATTGATTTTGAGCAACACTGCATCCAAATTCTCCGAATCCGCCCGTTCTCGCTGATTCAAGGAGCAAGGTGTGAACCCCACCCGGGTCAAAACTAAACCACACGGCCGCGGGTTTGTCTTGCTTGCATTTCCCAGGGCAACCCATTTCGAGTACCCCTGTTTGCCCCACACTGCAGTTCACAACTCTAGGACACCCACCTGGTGCCTTCGATTTATCCATTTAGAAACCCAACCAAAATACAAAGACGCCCCAAAAGACACCCCAAAAAGCACCCCACGCGGTGCTTGCCCCCAAAACAAAGGACACCCCCCACTTTCAGCGCAGGTTGGCCAAGAGTCCCAAGAAGTGGAGCGGCAGAGTCCCAGCGCTTCGGAATTCAACTGGGCCAGCCATGGCCAGAATCCGAGCTTTTTCTGGTTTGTAGGCACCCCAGGTGCTGCATGATCAAACTCCCGTATGAAAATGGGCGTAATCCCAGAACCATGCTTCAAGAATCAAGAAGGCGGGAAATCCGCGGCTATTCATGGTTGGGATTGGCCCTTGCTAACCTTCATCTACCCAGGTTTTGATTGTAGCTCACATGCCGTTCACATTTTTTTTTGATGTCCAAAGCTAGCCGCTGGGGTGTCAAACCACCTTCCTTGAGGCCCCCGCGAGCCGGCAGAAATCCCCGAGGCCGACCAGGGCCGGTTCAACGCCCGCGCCCTCGGTCGGCCGGCGGCCTGCCCGAACGCGGACGCGCGGGCCGTTGCCCGTCCGGGTGTCCGGTCAAAGATCTTCGACTGGGGAGTCCCTTGATTTTGCCTGGCACCGGCCTTAGCCTATGGGCCGGCCCAAATTGGGCAACCCCCAAAGGGTTGTGTACTTGCCAGAGCCTAACAGAGCTGGCACAAAAAAAAGGGAAATCGCGCACCCTTTTGCGTACCCTTTTTTGCGCAAGTGCCAGTACATGAGTTCGGTTACGTAAATGCCTTGCTGGGAAAAATGAAAACTGTGTCCCAGAGTGAAATCGACTCCCTTTCAAACCAACCGGGGAAAATAAACTGCGCTTGGACGAGGTGAGAAGATTTGGATTGGTCTCAAAGTGTCTCTGTATCTTTTGAGGGCACCCCATTTTTGTGGTTCTAAAGGGATGAGAGCACTTTCTAGTGGGTTTTAAAGGGAAACCCAAAGGAAAACCAAAGGGAAATGAAAGGAAAACCAAAGGGGTATTTTGGAACCTCTGCTTGGGTGTCTCTGATTTCATGCCTGACTTGTAAAATTCCTTGCTGCACGAACCACCACCGCGGTTCCTTGAGGAAACATCTGGACTGTTACTTAGCACCCAGCTCAGGGAAATTGACAATTCATGGATAACAGACAAATTTGTTCATTGAATAACAGTACCAATCATTTTGCCAGCCGCTCATTGCACCGACAAAAACTTATTCGACCTGAAACCAAGAATCCCTGAAGGGCCTCATACCCAGCTTGGCCAGGGCTAGATGTTTCCATATTCGCAGCGTCTCCTTTGTTTGGCCCCACTCTTGGGCACGCTCAAAAACAAGTGTCCAGACTCGCAGAGTCTCAACCAACATGTCCAACAACCTTTCTAGGTCCGTCTTTGTCTTTTCGGGGTACCCGTTGGTTTTGAAGGGCAACCAAAAGGGACACCGAAAAATCCGTTGGTTACGGGGTCCCCCTCAAAAAAGAAGAAGAATCGAGCCGCCCATTGGTCGAGGCAAAGCTGGGGAATATCCCTCGGAACCGGGACTCGCCTGTCGGCTGCCAGCACTGGCCTGGGACAGCGGGGCCGGGGGTAGTGGGGCCGCCTGCCTTAAACGAGCTTCCGCGGGGAAACTGGAGGAATGTCCCTTTGGACAAGGATCTCAACTCTTGCATGTCGTGTAGCTGATTCCTGAGAAGTTACAATGCGGCTGCGGGGCACTCTATGAAGCAAAACCTACCGTCGTGAGTCTGGGGAAAAGTCATGCTACTGATTTAGCCCGAGGTCCACACCCGGATGGTTGGCCCCTTGCGTCGCCTTATGACCCCTGGTTGACCCGGTTTAAGTACCTCTCTGGGTATCTTGGACGCCCTGCGGAGACGTCCACATTTTTAGTTGGACTGCTCGGGGTTTTAGCCAGGCGCGTCAACGCCGTGGCCCTTCCTCCGGTCGAACTTGGGGTCCAGGGCTGATTTTGAAAGTCCCCACGAGTCGTATGGTGAGTTTGGACTGGCAAAAAGAGGGAACCACTTAGAGATCTCCCAAAAAATGGATGGCCCAGAATCGGAGGTCCATGTGCCAACTGACTGTTACTCGCAAAAAGGATTCACCGATGAGTTTGACTTTCTCGGCATGTCTTTGGCCAGACCGAATGTGATTCTCCAGCTTCTACCTGTAGGACACGCCCGGCAAATCCCCAGGCCGCGGCGGAACTCTTTGTGTGCCCTGAAAAGCAGAGTCCGAGACTTGTTTCTTTGCCGTGTCGTCCCCTGGAAAAAGAAAAGAACACATATTTCCAGTATGAAATCGATTCCCTTTAAAACCAACCAGGAAAATGGACAATATTCTGAAGCAAATGGAAGTTCTTGGTGCCGACGAACGCAAATTGAAAGGCGCCTGCAGACTATCTTTGTTTGCACCGCCCCGCGAGGCCTCCCGAGTGCATGTTTGAACTAGGCGACGTAGCCGCAGGGGACTCTTGATGCAAGCTGTGGCTGGGTTCCCTGAAAAATACAAATGAGTTGCACTGCACTTGAGAGGGTGCAAGGCATACTTGCAAAAGACTCTGGAAGATAATCGCCTCGCTTTGTAAAGGCTTTGCACAGCAACATTCATTTCACGGAAAGCAGCAACCAAAAACCAACAGTTTTTCGCGACCATGGTTCAGAGTCGGTGCAGTCAATAGCATCAGTGGCCGCGTTCTCTTTTATCGGAACCCTCATTTAGTCTTATCTTCTTCTACGGCTCCTCCAAAAATCTCAACGTGGTCCTTGTGGTTACCTTCAATACT